CTGCCCTAGCTATGGCTCTGAGCAGTATCTCTGTTGTGACCAGTAGCCTGGCACTCAGAATTGATGGGCAGACTATTCGGAGGCTTTTCAGTCAGAAGAAGTAATCTTGTATGCAAATAAGACTGTATGATTGATGATTTTCATTTTGTTCTGCATAGCGGCTCTCACATCAGATGCGAGTTCCCTTTCTGTATTTATTAGTCAATACAATTATTAACTACATTCCCCTCATTTCCCGCCTTCGCCCCAAATTTCTGCAATTTTTTTGCTCTGGGCTTTGCCCACCTTCTTCCTCCCCACTAAAGATTGTAGTTTTTCCGAGACCATTGTGTCTCGATTTTGAGGCTCCAGAGCCATGTATGCCTCGACAAATGCACGAGGAGTTTGCCATCGTCGCTGGATTTCTAGCGCCTTTTCACCGCTCACGCCACGAGTACACATGAGCATTTTGAGGAAGATATCACGGAGGGATAAGACGTCGGATTTCGACGTTAGCGCCGAGAAGGTAGAAAATGTGACGCCGTATGTGAGGGTAGGATCTTTGGCGCGAAGTTCATCAAGAAGAGTCAGGTAGGATTGTGTGGAGGAGAGTCGTCGACTTGGAATGAATGAAACCTTTTTCGGGTTTGAAGTGTCCGTGGGTAGGCAAGAGCTCATATCTCCGTTTGAGGGGGACTCTTGAGCACCATACATGTTTCGAAGAAGCAGGGTCATACGGGCCAGATATCGAATAGAGTCGTCCAGGTTTTTGGTCTTTTTCATGAAATACCCATTGACGACTTGCGTCGAAGCAATTGCAGAAGCGACCATCTCGTGGTACTTCGGCCCGCTCCCGCTGCTAGCATCGGGGTGAGTGACTGTAAATTCCTCAACGAGGTAGATGATATTTTTGATACCAGACCGGCGCAGACGGAACTTCTGCTCGTGAAATCGGCCATCTTTGATAGAGCCGATAAGATCATCTAGGCGTTTTCGTTCGATGATCCAGTCTAGCATCACTTCATCGCCCTCCTCACCATGGCGCGACATGAACGCCGGATCGTGGCATTTCGCCACCCACATAACGTCGCCAAGTTCAAGGGCCCGCACTTGCGGAGTGATGCCTTGTTTCATGAGCTCGTTGGCGATGTAGTCACGATCTGTGGAAGTGCGCACTTCTCGCGTATCGAGTACCAATTGAATCGTGAAGCTGCCCGGGGGTAGAGTAATAGGTTCGGTAGGACCTTCGGTATTGGCGGCCCAGCCTAAGATATGTTGTGGTGTCTCGGACTCGTCGTTATCGTCGTCATTCTGAGCTGTAGTTCGTTGCGAGGTGGATGCCTGAATACCTGCAAAGGGCATCATACACTCGGAAGACCCAGGGATAGTCTTCTGAATACGTTTGGCAACCTCCCAGCCATCCTCAGAGAGGGCGTATTTCCTGAGAGGGCGGCCATGTTCGTAGACCAGATCCCTCTGGATCAGCGTCTTCATGGAATTCCATGCAGTGTAGAATTTCGTTGGGTCCGCAGGAGCCGTGAAAGAGCTGTCACAGTAAGGCTGAGCCACGTCTACTAGGTGGGCCTTGGTCATTCCCTGTGAAGCATTTTCTCCCATGGTAGCCAAGCCTAAGAGCAACGCATATGCACCGGATCGTAGAGCTGGAACATATGGCTTGGCTTTGCGGGGCTTCTTAGCAGGTTGGTCCCCAACACCGGTATCGGATGTTCTCTTGTTGGCTATTCCTCACAATTAACTATGGTTCTGGTATTGGCATAGGGTTTGGTGAGATAGTAACACTGACCTTGACCAGGAGGCTCTGGCATAGGCAAACCATGTTCCCCACAATAAGCCTTCAGTTTGTCCGTTAAACGGTCGCATAGCTTAGGGCCTAGCCCATTTAATTGCTGTGCTTGTGATGGGTGCTGGAATTCCAACGGGCATGCTTTCATTGACTCATAGGCCTTTTTGTAACTAAATGTCTGTTAGTTGAGCCAGCTATACTGGAAGGAAGTGGAATACGAACACAGTCACGCCTTTGCTGTTCCTCTCACGGGCTTGATCGAGCCACTCCTTGATCCAGTCTAGCAACAGAGGGTTCGCGCAATCCTCGCTCATGGTGGTCAGCGGCCATCGGGCTAGCCGGGATTGTTGGATGGTTGTTCAGCGATACTTGGACGCGCCGCGGATTTCCTCTTTGGGAACGCGATCCTAGTTAGTCATGTGATCACAGCAGCATACTTTAAGGAGCAAACGAAACATCGCAAACAGATCAAGGCAAGAGGATCTGATGAGTAATTTCAGTCTGATTTTTTCATGGAATTCGAATGGAACGCCAAAATCAGGTTCAAGCTTTCAAGAGTTCGAGAGTTGTTTGGATCTGATTTGGCGGCGCCGAAGATGACGTCGACACCCCGGCCATGCGGAGTACCAGGCAAGAAACCCTGCAGAAGACCTGTTATGAACCAATCTGTGGAAAGATCCAAGGTATGATCACTTATAGGTCACCTCCGTGGCTACTTTCATCAGTCCTGTTGATACTTTTCCTTTCTACGCCACTTCTCGCTCTTTTACGCCCAATATCGGCTACATACTAACTACTCGGGCACTTTCAGAACAAGGCCATCAGTATGGCGAATGCTGTGGACAAGTCCACAAACAATTCCTTGACTCCAGAGGGGCCAACCGATAGTCATGTTCTTTCCCAGATTGAGCCAGACGAAAAGGGCGCCTCACAACTAGGCGGAGACAGCACACAGACCATCGACCTCGGATGGACCAAGCCTGTTGAACAAATCGAAGAGCGATTGATAGCCGGTCTATCTAACGAGAACCTTTGGATGCTGATCCGAAGATTTGATAAGGTACGATTCAAAACGAAGACGTGCTGTATATGTTGACTGATGCCCCCATTCAAACTTGAAGCAAGTATACAACGTCAAAGCTGTTCCAGACGCTCCACTCCAAAACTTGGACTTGACCCGCGCGGATGACGATGAATTTACCCCAGATAAGCTTCGCGCCACGATCGAGCGATTCTATACATCGGTTATTGTCGCACTCGCGGGTTTTGTTAAACATGTTGCGCGACTGCGCTCATGGAAAGAACCTCGACGTACAGCTATATTTTGTCTCGTTTGTCCCCCACCCCAGGAAATGTTGGCCATTATGCTCACAAATTTTAGGTTTATTCCTTAGCATGGCTCCTAGACATCATTCTCCCTTCATTATTCGTCGCTTTGATCGCTTTGGTGATATATCCACCGTGCCGACCCATCTTGTTCCCACCCGCACCGATCGCTCTAGTGGATAAAAGCACCGGCGGCATCCAAAAGCCCCAGGCGGGAGTGCTTGGATCAGAGGATAGCATAACTGGTGCCCCTGAAAGGTTCAAGGGAGAGGCAGCCGAGCAGGAAGCTAGCAACCTTGTCGCAAGTGTTGCTAGTGTCGCCGTGGGAAGTGCAGCCGGGAAACATGACCAAGGAGTGCCTGAAGGTGCACCATTAGAGGGTACTGTTCCAGATGTCATGGATGTTGTCGCCAACACGGCCGATGCACAAAGCGCTGCTAGTGGAGGAGTTCCTTCTGAATCACACGACAAAACTCGACAGCCTATGAGAGAATCTGTCATGCAAGCAGCCAATATGGGAATGCAATTGATCAACGACATCACGGACACTTTCGAGAAACTTTCCAAGTACATGCCTTTCACAAATCTTTGAATTTATGGAGCCTTATTTCTCTGTCACTATCTAACCATCATGCTTTATAGTGCCTTGTCCGCTACCCCGCCATTCCCTCGATGGGTACCCCGTTTGCGGCTAGTATCTGTCCTGCTTCCATCCTGCTTCGCGGCTAAATCAATCTCTGTCTATGCTGCTTCAAAGGGGATAGGACTCTTCGCAGGGTTCGCCTTTTTCGGGGGGGCCCATCATCATGCGGGGCCTTTCTTTCTTGAGCCGGAAATACCCAAATTGGCAGAAGCTTCTCCAGATACAAAAGTTGTTCCCACGCGTTTATACATATCCGGGATATATTTGCTAATGATTTCAAAGCTCTCTTCTCAAGGGCGTTCCAACGAATGCGCAACTGACCTTAACACTATTGCGAATCGGCGAGGCCAATGCTTCACCACTTCCCCCACCTTCAACCTCTCAAGACAAGCCTTCCTCACGCCCAATCTCTCTTCATCACGAGGGGCTCGAACTCGGGGCCTCCAGAGAAGAAATCGAAGATGCTGCATCAGCCGAGCCCTCCAAGAAACCAGAGGATACTCCAGTGCATACGTCCCAGACAAATACGATAGCCTCCAGTATTATCAGCTTCTTCAGAGGAACCACAGCGACAGGAGTGGAGGGGAAACGAGGGTTCGACCGCATTAGGGCTACGATCGGTTCACGCCATGCAAAAAACCGGGTTGGAGTTCTTCGATCAAAAGGCAAACTCAGCTCACCAGTCGGACCAGTCAAGTTCGATGCCAGATACAAGGGAAAACGCGGCACGGTGATCATCGATTCTACAAGTGAACCTCCAGTGCTCTATTTCACAACTGATCCACTCCAAGATGACGACCTTCGGTTAACAAACCAGAAGAAGGGCTCTGTCTTGTTTCAGATTCCAGTCACCGATATTCGAGAAATGAAGAAGCTCGGAGGGCTAGGATGGAAAGGAAAACTGGTGGTTGGCTGGGCGTTGGGGAGCAAAGAAGTTGTTGATGGCTTACAAATTGTGGGCAAAGACCCCAAGGAGTCATTCCAACTTACGGCCATGGGAACTCGGAATCAGTTATTCAATCGGCTGATTGCTATTGATGGACAGGTTTGGGCTTGCTGCTGAATGGACTGCTGAATGTGTGCTGAATCAATCTCAGGTTTGGAAGTAAATTTCAATCTTCTATCACATTCAAATTAGTTCTTAAATCTCGAGCTACATTTCCAGGTGTTCCATCAAATTTCATTCATCATAGAGGGGAAACTTTTGCTCTACTTAATCACCGATATAAAAGCCTTTCAACAAAGCACTCATTCGGCCTCCTCCTCGGCTTCAAGACAAGCATCCACCATCCGAGTGATTCCCTGTGAGCGTTGCTCCTCGGTAAGGAAACCAATATCTACCAATTCTGTAAGGGCCTCGCCGACCCAGTTGTGACAATTCCAATCCTGGTGGTGAGGATCATTTCGCACTGGCGTTTGGGCACAGGCCTTCTCGATCATACTTTTGGTGATCTCATCCGATGGATTGGCAACCGTAATAAGAGCTTCTATCTTCAATCCCGTATCCGCTGGGATACATGATTGGGGTGAATATTCAAAAAAGGGATGCGCACCGGCGACGTGCAATATCTGGTCTTCGCCGTCTATATATCCCACGTGAAGCGCTGTGTGTCGGTAAATCGCCCAGTCGAGGGGGGTCCCCGCGGAAGACTGCGATCGTGAGTGTTGCTGGCACGGTGCTGATCTGATTTCGGTCAAGAAGCACTTTGCGTTTAGACTGAATGCGTTCAACTGCGCAGGGTGGATACGACCAGTTCTGGTCGAAAACCTTGGAAGTGAGAGACTTTGCTTGTGTGAATTGTTTACGTAGAGAGCGTACATGGTCACAGGTTCAAGGCATCTTGGCCCCAGGGCCAGTCGTGATTGGACACGCCAGCCTTATGCATATCCACTCCTGTCGAAGCTGTCTATGATGCGAAGAGGAGCAAGGCAGCACAAATAATCTACTGATTTGAGTACTATTGACGGTCTTTACAACATGGATATCTCAAAATTCATAAGAATAATACCCCCATGATGAATTTAATCTAACCTTGGAAACTTTTCAAGATCCTTGCAGAATATCCGTAAGTAGCACTAGTAGTATTGTTTTTATATACTACTAGTAGTGTCACTAATTTCAAGTTTGTCATGGCGACACTACATCCCGCTTGCTATTTATTGGTTTGTCGGCTGAAAAGAATAAGAAAAAAACCGAAATTCCTGCCAGAAACAAGAGAGATCGATCGGAGGAGAGAGAAAATGAAGGAGAAGCAAAAAGATGGACGAATGGCGATTCGAACGCCAGACTTTTCGCATGCAAAGCGAACACTCTACCAACTGAGTTATACGCCCTTTGGACATTACATCATCGACTTTCAGGGTATCTGAAGAAACTTTCTTCAAATCAAACTTCTGAGATGAAGGGACCGCGGGACACATCGAATAAAACTTGCATGTAAAGTGTATCTCCATAGAATGTGGCAAAGAAACGATTCAGTTTGTAGCCTCCAAGGTTAATGCTGTCCTATCTCACCAAAAGTGCATTATCCAGACACCTTCAATAGCCATTCTACTCTTGCCAATAACTAAGCTTTCCACTTTCCATCAATCGGCAAGGGAAATGGGTGAACGATTAAGCCTCTCCTCTGATCAGTGGAGACTCCGAGATTCAGATATGAGATCCGATTATTCTTTCAACATTAGAAGCACTCCTGCAATGACCGGCTCTACGACCTACTTGAAAGAGAAGTCGTGATGAACAAAAGCATACTACAATGCGACTGATATAAGATGTATGAAATTATGGCCAGGTTTCTGAAATAATGATCTATCTGAGATTCTCCACACTGAGGTCATGACTGCTCGTGTTGCTGCTTATAGTCACGCACGGCTTGTTCAAAAGATTCATCGCGTTTGAATCCCAGAGAGATAGCCTGGGTATTGTCAAACTGTGTAGGCCAAGACTTCAAGATGGGAATCAATGCTGGATCCTCCTTTTCTTGAAGCAGAGAAAGCTTGTCCTTGCCGCCCACAGCTTCCAGTGCATCCATCATATCCTGGACGGTGGCACAAATACCAGGAACGTTGATCTGGCGGATATGCGGGGGTACAGACTCCGCAGATAGACTAAGTGTATGAATGAGGTTGCTCACTAAAGTCTTCGGCGAGCAGAGCCATGACTTGAAGGCCCGATCTTCAATAGGAATAACGCACTCCTTGCCATCAAGAGGTTCGCGAATCATGCCCGAGAGAAAAGATGAAGCGGCGGCGGTAGGGGCGCCAGGGCGAACAGATATAGTAGGGAATCGCAGAGTAAATCCAGTAATGAACTTGCGGCGGGTATATTCGTTGACCAGGGTCTCACAGACAATCTTCTCGGCGCCGTAGGAGGATTCGGGGGTGGGAATGACGCTGTCAGTCACAATTTCTGGTAGTGGCTGACCGTAGACAGCCTGACTGGAAGAATAGATGACTCGCACGCCCGGGCAGGTGTGCCGTAGTTCCTCGAGAAGATTGCGAGTGGCATCGATGTTCACGCTCATGCCTAGATCGAAGTTCGCCTCGGACCCGGATGACATGATGCCGTGGAAGGCGTATACTGCATCGAGGGAGGCAGTGACAACCTCCTTGGCGCCGGTAAGAAGATCTGACTTGATTGCAGTCGCATTTTCAGGATAGCGAACACCCTTGGGAATCGGAGGTTGATTGATGTCGGTCAGAGTAACGCGGTAGGTGGAGTCGTTGAGCAGCTCCTTGGCCAGCAGTTGGCCGATGAAGCCGGCACCGCCGGTGATGAGAACGTGCATAGTTTCAGAATTCGATTAGGGCATTGAGTGGAAATTCAAGACCGGGGGGAGATTCTTGTTGCTGCCGCATATTTGACTTTAAGAGGCCAGGATGTGGTTCTCCGCATTCGCATCAAGTCCGAGGCGATCCGCTGTTGGATCCTCCGCACCGGACTTTGCCCGGCCTGAAGAACGTACCGGGTGGATCTGCTGCACGAATTGACTCCAGCTCCTAATCTCGGGAGTCCCCAAGTCAAATAATTTCCCAGGCTTGACTGGACCACTGGCACAGGAACTCGGAAAGCAAGCCGAGTTGGAGAGAAGTGCGACGTGATAGGTGATGGTCATCTAATGGGGCCAGCGGGGATTGGCGTTAGGAACGAGATCAATCCCAAGTAGATTCAGCAGCAGTAGCACCGGCCCCCTGTAGCAATGTAACACTGAAAGCCTCGGAATCGGCATGCAATGCCTCGAGACCGGCTGTTGTCGGTGGTGCACAGTCCCTGCAAAGGGCGGATCACAAGCCAAAGAACCCACTCGGGCTGTCCCGACTTTCTTTCCTCCGCTTCCCCCGCCATCGCCAGTTTCCCGGAGCATCACCGACTTTGACTTGCTTCTGCAATGGATGCCTCTCCTCCACTGAAGCGGTCGTCAACGGACGCTGGGTTGGATTCTCCAAAGGGATCGAATCGCTCGGATTCACGTGCACCAGCACCAAAGATATCGAAAGCCCGCGCCTGTGAGTTGCATCCTTCCCCACATTAGCCATCCACATCTCGTTGACAAGCCCTAGGCGCTGAATGCAAGCGCCATAAGATCCGTTGTGAATTCAGGGCTGGTGAAACCAATTGCACGAAATGTGTTCGCAGCGGGATCAAGTGCGTGGTGAACGATTTCTCCCAGAAGTTCGTCGATGATGATGGAGTGTATGTGCGCCGTCGGCCCCCCCCGCCTCCTACTTTCAGGTCACAATTGCACCGGAAAGCCAAGACGAATGGCTATTAACTCGATTGATTATCCAGATGGAAGTCACAAGCGACCACGACACTGCAGCAATTGCAGACTGCCGTTGGGCAATTGTTGCGACAGGCGGGATTGCCCGATCTCTCAACATTTACGACCGGTGATGCCCGTAATGGTCTTAGCCCAGCTGCCTCGCACCATAGTCACCGGCCCTCGATTGATGCGTCACATACGGCACAAACACATACAAGTCATCATGAGGGACCGGGGGTAGTGATGGACGTCACTCGGGAACACTCCCAAGAGCCTGACCTTCAAGATCCGGAACTCGTTCCGGCACCGATGCGCAGCTTATACGAGGTCACCAAGTTGCGCAATCTACGGAATAATCATATAGAGGCACCTAAGACGACGCTTTTAGAGGAGGATTTTATCTCAAGGGGCTTAATCTCACTCCATGAGGCGGAGGAACTTTTCGCCTACTTCAGTCGCACTATGAACCAACTCCTTTGGGGTGGTATCATTCTCGTCCACCGTGATTTGACGTCCGTTCGACGCGCATCAACGCTTCTCTCCGCCGCTGTTCTGACGGTTGCAGCGCTTCATATTCCTAACCGGACTGACACATTGAATTTATGCTATCGCGAATATGTATCTTTGGTATCAAGCATGGCCTTGACCCGAGCTCACACGCTTGACGATATTCGAGGTCTCTGTGTTGGAGCATTCTGGTTGTCGGAGTTGAGCTGGAAGCTATCAGGGCACGCAGTGCGCATTGCAACCGAAATGGGCTTGCATCAGAGCTATCAGCGCTTGATTCGTGGGAATACTGATCAATACGAGCGAGCCCAGTTGTGGTATCTACTATATGTTTGCGACCACCATTTTAGTATCGCCTATGGCCGACCGCCTGTTATACATGAAGATGTGGCCATTCGAAACTACGAGACATTCCTTGAGTTACCGATGGTTGCCCCGGGAGATATTCGTCTCTTAGCCCAAGTGGCTTTGTTCATGATCTTGACCGAAGCCTATCGGACGTTCGGTAGCGACACGGAGCAAGCCGTGACGGAGGAGGATTTTGGGCAGTTGAGGGTATATAACGTTGCGGTCGATCAATGGAGATTGCTTTGGCAGCCTCGATCAGGTGTGTGCTACTTGGAATGCCTTTCCCCTTCTTTTCTTTTTTTTTCTATTTGGATTGCCCACGCATGCAATGAACCACGAACCTATACTAAACCTTTGCAGGCGACAGCTCGTATGTTCGAACGTATCCATCAAAGGGTGTGGTACTGCACTACCACTTTGCCAAATTCCAACTCAACTCGCTGTCTTTGCGTGCCCTCTCCCCTTCCAATACCCCGGTATTCTCCATGGATCGCAAAGAGTCTGCCAACATTGCCATATCATCCGCGATGGCCTGTCTGAATATGGTCCTCGAGGAGCCCGATATCCGCGACGCGATCGTGGGGGTTCCCATTTTCACGCACACGATGGTGACATTCTCTGCGGTTTTTCTACTCAAGGTCGCTATTAACTGGAATTCGGCATACCTAAGCATCAATGCTCGACAAGTGCGGCGCTTGGTGGAGCGGGTGATTGAGCTGATGAATTGCGTCTCGGCGGGCGAGCGACACTTGACACGGCACATCGCACGAGGATTGGGTAAGATGCTCGAGCGTTTCGACTCTTGGGAGTCGGGTTGGCAAATTGGAACGAATAATGGGTTGGTGGATGGACAGGATGTACCAGGGGGCGCCAATGCGATGGCGCAAGGATTTCCACCACCAGACCTGATCTACGACATGGTCGGCACCTATGGGTTCGGGCTCGACGAGAACCTGTTAGACCCGAGCATGGCCAACTTCGAATTCTTGGCACAGTAAGCATGGATTGGAATGTACATAGCTGTCTCTCACTAAGGACTAAGAAAATCGAGGGGGGGGGGGGACACGAGTCTCCCCCATCTCCCCCCATCTTCCCCCATCCGCGCATCCCCCCCCAGCTCCACCGAACCGTGTAAGCTATCGCATGTCGTCACCCTCCCAGGGTTGCGCCGCCCCCTCCCTTTCCATTTTCCATTCCCCCCCCTCCCCCCAAGGGTTCATTTGCTCCATGCGCTCTCCCATTTAAGATCGGAGGCCCTCGGCTATCCTCTTCCTTTCCCTCCCCCTCTGTACTTCCGTTCCTTTCCCCCCCTCAAACCTCCCCCCAACCACCTCCCCTCATATCTTCCCATATCTTCCATCCCCATCATCCCCGATTCCGTCATGTCCACCCGCAAGAGAAAGAATGACCCGGAGGAGGAGCTTCAGGCTCTCCCCAGTGACGATAGCGAAGAAGAGGAAGAGTAAGCCCTACCATCTCTACGCCCTTGCGCCTTGCTTCAATTCTACTGGCGCATCACTTTGCGCCGATTTCCATAGAGTTTCAGCCAGATTCGGCTTATGCCTGGTCTTTTCGCATCAATCGCAATGGCCTTCCCCAGCCAGCCGACTACCGCAAGATCCGCGGCTGACATGATGCGCGCATTGATCTCAGATATGAGGACTCTGAGCCCAATGTCAGTGATGAGGGCGAAGAGGTAGATGAAGAGGCCGAGGCCGAGTCCGAGTCCGACGAAGATGAAGATGAGGAAGCTGAAGCCGAGGCTGAAGGTTCGTTTGCTCCTAGTCTCCATCCCAAATATCTTCTCCATTCCTACCCTCAGCTCCACCTGAATTGCCCTCTCAAGTCCCATTTGCTCATTTATTCGCGCAGGTCCCCCAGCAGCCAAGAAGCAGAAAACCGCCCCCGCCGCTGACAAAACCGAAGTCACCGAGAACGGCGCCAACGGTGACAAGGATGGCGAGGGGGAGGACGAAGTTGAAGATGATGATGATGAAGAAGCAGAGGCTGCCGACGATGCAGATGAGGAAGTTGAGGCTGCTGCTGATACGGCGAAGACCAGCGGTCCTGCTGAGGCCGCGGCAAAGGCCAAGGGTGCTGAGGTCCCCAAGGAGTCGGATCTCGCAGAGGTTGACGATGCGGAGTAAATAAAGTAGCTAGGATAGCTTGATTTACCTTGGAATTCAAATCTAAAATAGTCGCCATTCCAGGCGAACTGCTGTGTCGTCGCACTTGGAATCATCTTCATTCGTATAAGTTAAACATGGACTGGATCTCTAGAGATTAGCTATAAATAGAATTTCCCATCATGTCTTCATGCTGGTCTAACTAAGTGGACAGCTTGATTCGCAGTCGGTATCCTTTGTCGACTGTACCGAATGGTTGGACTTAGGGCTTGTTTCTGCGGCTGGTATGTCAATCCACACTGCCGAATGCCTGCACTAGCGTACTAACTACTTAATAGTTCTTTGACTACCTGGGCAGTTGTTCTACGCCGGTGCAACCTGGGGGAAATACATTCATGGACTCGGGATGGTTGCAAAGATTGTATGAATGATTGTCTGCAAAATACCTACATCCGAAGCATGAGAGGCGTGACCCACCTGCCCAGGTGCCTCTGCCTCAATTAAAAGTATACTAACTACTAGTAGTGTTGCTCCTTGCCCGCCGTGTGATGGTCTGGAACGATCGAGAAAATAATAAAATATATACTATATACCTTCTAACCTGCATAGTAACAATAGACCAACAGGAGCTTTCATGAGAAAAAAAACAGGGCTCATCAAGAGGTCATTATCGCCTTCCAGCGCCTTTTTAACTGAACACCCACAATTTATCAAACCGACCTTTTAAGTATCACTGCCGCTGCTTCGGAAAGTGGCACAGAGCTGGCAGTACTGATGGGTGAGATCTAGAACCGGCTGAGGTAGGTTGGTAGCCTGCACGATGCTGCGGACCTTGACGGCCCCCTCATCTTCAATGAGTTTGCGCACCAGATAGAGAAGATCCGGCGAGAACTATAATTCGAGATTAGCTGGATGGGTTTGTGAGTTTATCCATAAAGAGCAATCCATACCTCGGAATACCAGCGATATTGCCAGGCGATCAGACGAATCAGCGCACCCAGCATGCCCCTAGTGTCATTTCTCTGTTCGTAGAGCTTGAGGAGACCTCTTGTAGCCTTGGGCGAGAAGCGGGTCGCCAGACAAGCCTGATACGCCTCGATACCCTCATCGAAGTGGTGTAGGCGTTCGGCAAGCTCGCCTAAAATTTCCCATTCGGTGGCTGACTTCTTGTATTCCGTCGCCTGTTGGCGGGATTGGGCCATCTCAGTGCGCCAGATTGTATAGACTCGCAGGTCCTCGTAGAGCACCATAAAGAGATTATCCAGCCATCGCTCGCACAGACGTTTGTTGTGGAACTGAGTGTAGGCACCGTGGGAAGGATCGGGCTTCCAAGATCATTAGTACATTATGCAATTTGGTTTTGCAACCAGGAACTCACATCATCATTTCCCGACTTGACAACTTCCGAGGCCACGGTTTGTTCCGGGCGTTCAATGGAACTTCCAGTGGCCGCTTCGTCCGCATTCCCGTTCGGCACATTCTCTGCAGGACCTGAGACAGAGCCGGAGTCATTTTCATCGTCCCCAGCCTCATCATCCTCTACGGCCTGCCCATTTGTTTCGGCATCCAAAGACTGGGCCGGCTTAGGGACATGTGTACGCTCAACGCGGTATTCCTCCTCCATGACAAAAACCTCACTCCGGACTCTCAGAAGCTGATCCCAGCCAATCGCCGCAGCAATCTTAGTGAGCAGGTTGTAAGCCTTGAGGAATGTTCCCTGGTAGTTGGCTGCATGCAGCTTGCGGAGAGTAGGGTGGATATAGTCGTGGGGGTCGCCCTGCTTGGGCTGGCCCTCATCGATCTCTTCAAGAATGCTTTCAGAAAGGATTGGAAGCATAATGCGAGACGGCTGAGGCATGCGCGGGGTATCCTTGTCCTGATACGTGAACATAGGACAGGAGTTTAAAGTCAGAAGGGCTAAGTCCCATTGCTCCATGCCAACATATACCTCTGCCAGTCGGGCCCAGGTACTGAACTCACTGGGCGCCGCGGTGACTGCCCGCTTGGCGCATTCCAAGGCCATTTGACCCTCACCCTTCTCTTGGCAGAAAGAGGCCTGGCAATCGAGGAGGGCATAGTCCATGGGGACATCTTGAAGGGCATCATACATCAATCGTACTGCCTGCACTTCCTCATCCGCCATCAATTGAACACGAGCCAGCAGAGATGAGACCTCCACATCCCGTGTGCGTAGCTTCTCAAAGAGGTTGATGCCAGATGTGTAGCGTCCGGTGGTGTAGATATACTTGAGAATACCGGATGTCAGGTGGTTGGTTACGGTATTAGGAACCTGTGTTTCCGGGTCGGAGCTGAGTTGACGGCCTGTAGCATGGTTAAAAATCAAACAGGAGTTCCAGGAAATAACTGCTTACCCAGGAAGAATAGCTTTTCGGCAGCATCCAAGAACTTATGTTCCATCTCTGTGTTCGTGACTGGGTTGAACCGCCTGACACCAACAATCTTCTTGATGGCGTCTCCACCTCCATTATCAGCATACTGATAAGCCCTCAAGACGGAGCAGAGGAAGGTTTCCAGCCAGAGAGCCTCCGTAGCTACTCGCTTGTCCCCACGCTCGTCGATACAATAACTTTCCAAGCTCCCAGGAATCTTAACCTCGACGCGCATGTCTCAGGTGAGAGAATGCGTTGTAGCAGCTGTACCAACGTCAGCGGGAGTAACTTCGGCACGAATGATGAATACGAGGAATGCTGACCAGTAAATTCCCGAGACAACCTTGTGTGTCTTATCCAGCGGGGAGAAGGTGAGGGTGTTGACGTAGGCAGCAAGGCTGGCGGATGAGGAGGCATCGATTCCGGTCACATGGTGGTACACACCAGTCTACAAAGAAAGAAGATCATATCTTGTTTAGTAATTATACCACACAGCAACGCAGGGGGCATTGTAAGGAAATACCTGGCGGGTGGAATTGGCCTTTGGTTGCTTCACCAAGTACACCAAGTCTGGGGGTCCCAGTTCCCTAAGGCTCTGCAATGAGTCTGAGCGCGCATCAACGGCAACATAAATATCCTCCTCCTCATGGATCCTAGTTGAAAAGCACACGGTCAGTAACAATTCCTAAAGATAGCGCAATTGTAGACCCCGCGTAGAGCGGACAATGGCCAAGCGCATGCATCACCGGGGAACACGTAGACCGGGGCGTTTCAGGAGTCACATACTCAGGAACAGCGGGCGCGACCATGGCGCCTGCACATGCGTCGCAGGATAAAAAAACAAGGGTATTTAACGAAAAGTAAAGAGTCAAATAGAAAGAGAGACTGGTGCTTTGAGGATGGAGGGGGGGATTTGGGGAATGGCAGGAGATCCGTCCGAAGGAGCTTCAGGCCATCAGGCAACAAGGCGGAGACCGCCCTTGCCTGATTGGGTTCCGCGCGTGTGGACTTGCGCGCACCCGCGATTGACGTTGACGTTGACATTCAACATTGACATTACCAGGGTTCACTCTCCTTCTATTGTTGCTCGAATCTTCAGGCCTCGGCGATGCGGCCGCCTTTCTTCGATTCCCTAATTTATCCGTGACAGAGTCTCCCGAGGATCCTGACCCTGATCCTGAACCTGAATCATGGCGAGCTGGCTAGCTCTGAATCTTGAACCAGACGATGCAGTTGAAGAAGAGGTCGATGACACCAAGGAACTTCAGATTGAGGAAGCTCTGAAATTGTACCACAATGCCCTAAAACTTCACTCCCAAGGCCCGAATTTCTACACGCAGGCGGCCGAGGCATATGATGCACTCCTCAATTCGGAGATCTTTAGATACCCCGAATCCATTTCCGACTTCAAAAGGGCAGCTCTTCCAGACGCGCAGGCTGCTGAACCGATCGACGAACCCCCCCACAGATGGCATTGTGGAATATAACGTGAGCGACTCGACATCCAGCCTCTTCCAAACTCTTTACCTGTCCCGCAAGAACTACGGCAAATTTCTACTTGACGTCCTTCACGAAGCCGTTCGCGAACCCCCCGCGAACGAAGAAGCAGCACAGGATATATCTCGAAAGACGATTAAAGCATCCAAAAGGGCACTTGCGTCCTTTGCAGAAGCTCTAGAGCGGGACGACACTGATCTCAATCTATGGAGGCAAAGCGCACGACTCGGCAGTGCCCTACAAAGCTACAGGTTGAACCGATTTTGTTTGGAAAGTGTGCTGGCGGATGATGATAACCGACTGGATGTGCGACCTGAACAACTTGGGTTGGAGGAGATATTTTCGGAGGAGCGACTACGGAACACTCTCAAGTCCCTATTTGACGGATTGTCTGCCTCTCAAGTTCCAGTCAAGAAACCGAACAAAGCTCTCGCCAAATATCTTCAACGGCACGAAGATCTATATTCTTATCTACCAACTTTACCGGATGACCTTCACTCTCTGGACCCGTCAAGAGGTCCCCTTGCTTTTTCAACTTCTTCCTTGGAGGTCACTCCGCCTGACGCGACGTGGGAATCAATTGGCACATCCATACTGGAAGCCTTCAATAACGAGGATACTTCTTCGATTCCTAGCCGTTCAATTCGAGTCATTCTGCCGGCTAGGGACGCAACACCCGACAACGATGAGGAAATGGATGGCGCTGAGAGTGCCCCTGAGAATGACGATACCCAAGTCAAGCCCGAAAGCGGTGATGTTAACATGCTTGAAAATGGCGAGCACAGCACAAAGCTCGAGAACCTTCAGCCGGATACCACCAAAGCCACGGCAGAGCCAGGCGAGGAGCAATCAAGTATCGACCAAAGCGCAGAGCAACAGCTTATGGAATCCCTCGAAGGCGAATCCACTCAGCCACCGGAACCACAAGTTGAGGCCGAAGATGAGAAAAATACAGAAGGGATCGACCCAAAATCTCCGTCTGAATCCCGAAAGAGATCGTCTACTTCAGTAGCCAACGATGATCAGCTAGAAGGAGGCAGAATGAAAAGTCGACGAACTCGGGCTCGAGAATCGAATGCGGATGGTTTGGTGCAACTAGACGAAATCGCATTTGATCAAGAAAAGTATTACGAAGATCGGTTAGAGATCTTTGTTAACGCTGACGAGTGGATGTTCAACACTCTGAATTCATTGTTCTCCAAGTTTGGTATGGAGTCGTTAGGTACAATCGAGAGTATCAAGGCCAAGGTAGTAGTTGTGAATGACTCTGACGACGTACCGGATGAATCGGAGACTCGATTGCTGAAAGATCTACGCGATATCATCAAGACCTGGAACGATGAAAAATCTCGCCTCCTGCAGCAGAAGGATGAAATTTCTCCGCTTAAGGATATTCGTGGTACCAATCGGTCTGGCCTGTCTGTTTTCCTTGAGCATTCAAGGAAGGCTACCAGAAAACCTGTCCTCCAAGAAATCCCTGCCGGAGAAAAGGTTTACAGTTTTTGTGGCAAAATGAACGAATCCTTATTGCATCAACACCATGCCTTATGCGAGTGGTTGAAATGTCTACTCATGCCAGAATTTGGAGAGCAACTTTCAGAATGGTCCGTGATGAAGTCGGCTTACGAATCTTTCCAATGGCCGGCGAAATTGAAAGAGGCTGTCGTGGAAGCCTTAATACAAGAAGACGAATTTCTGTACTCGAGGATGAGCGATATTGTTGCAAGACTCGAACGTCGTGCCTTCGATTCTAGTGCGGAAACTCCTTTCGAGTATGAGTTAAGTGATTACTCTGAACTTGAAATGATCCAGTCCATATATGAGCTCCACCTTGACATATTCTCCTCTGTCGATGGAATGAGGGGCGATGTTGACCGAGAAAAAAAAGCTTACTCAAAGCGACCGTCTTGGTAGATGGGGAATTCTCTCACGTTCGTGCCTGGAGTATTTCATCCAGAACTGTCCATCCGAAGAATGCCTACAAAACATTTGTCTTCGTCATCTGTGGACGTCAGTGTTCCATCTCAATCTCGCGGGCGAGGCTCAACGTGAACACATTTTGCTCTGCCTTCAAGATCTGAAGCACATGCTTCAGTCTCTTAATTATCCCAGCATCAACCTTGTGAACAACTCTGCTATGTCCGAATTATCCACTGAGACGATAGATCAAGAGGTATTGAAACTGAAGTGCATGGATTTCTTCGCCAAGGTGTTCAACCCTGATGACGAGGACCCAGTATCGCTCATTGAAGCGATCGAGCCAATCCTGGAGCCCTCGTCAATCGAGTACCCCGATGGTACTCTCGAATCGAACGACCTTAACGACCCATCTTCCCATGCTAGTGAAATGGCCTCTTTCCTTGACCGTGGGGATGCTACTTTGCGATTGTTCCTATGGCGCAGACTCCAGGAAGCGTATCAGTCCATCGACTATCCGCCCAAAGTTGTTTCCTGTTACCTGCGCAGCATCGAGACAATAATGACTGAAGTCGAAGACGTTAAGCACGCCGAGGAAACAAGCAGTCATCGCCAAGTTACTTTGCTGGGTTGGCTCAAGTCACTTGATGGAATAATCGCCAAGGCTGTACTTCTCATATCGCAGCACACTGAGAAAGCCTACGAATGTATCGATATGGACCATTTGCAAGCATCCATGTCTGCAGTAGCTCGGCTGATCAGAATTCTCCATGGCTTCGTTCTCTATGAAGATTCCATGCGGGTAGGCCAAATTTCCGGGCGGGATCTTAAATCGACACTCGCTAAATCGCTGGAAAACTTCAAAGAGAGAATGCGAGAATTATATGTTCGCTGTTGGGTTCTGCTGTATACCATGTTTTTGGAAGCGATTTCTCAGAACAAGGATATTTTCCCTGATTCAGCGGAAGATCGTATCCATGTCCTTCGGAGCGTGCACAATGCTCTCGGGGTTCGCTCATTGTGCAGATACTCACAGAAACGTTTCTTGAAGCTCCTGAAATCCGAATTGCTTGCACTTGAGACCAAGGGCGATTATGAATTTGATATCTGTCAAGTTCTTTTTGACCTCCACGGAATCAGGTTCTCCCCTGCTGACGGCGCGGCGGACCATGGTTGCCCACCTGAGAAGTTAGACAAACCAACAGCCATAATGATGATCGATTTCGTGATGAAACAAGCCCAGAAGATGAATATGAAAGATTTCTCAAAGTCTGAGCTCAAGACTACAGTCGAAAAAATGCAACAAGCGATCGGACCCGCGAAGCCCTCATCTCAGTCACCCCAGATGACTTTCAACCGCCGCCTTTTCAATAATTACATGAAGGCGCCTATCAATCCTTCAAGTCTTCTTCGAGCTGTCCAAGGAGTAGCGGAACTTGCCCTGGTACCAGTACCTGGCGAGAATGCTCAAATCGCTACCAAAGGCTGGTACTTCCTCCTCGGTCATGCCGCCCTCACAAAATTTCGCTCCCAAAAACGCCTCAGCCCCGGCTCAACTTCAGAGTTGGATGATGCAATCAATTTCTTTAGACAGGACCTAGATCACGGATCGGGAAGGTGGGAGACTTGGTATCGACTGGCGCAAGCATATGACACCCAGTTGGAGGAAGACATTACGTGGTCGGCAGACAAAATCAACAACAATCGCAGTGATTTAGCAGCCACTCAGCGATATGCTATTCACTGTTATTGCATGGCTGTGTCAGTGGCGATCAGAACCGCCGAACCAACAGTGGAGACGCGCATGTTGCTCTCTGAGCTGTATACGGACTTTGGTATCCGCATGTATGCATCTTCGAGAGAACCTTTGTCCATGGGTGCTTTCGGATTATCAGAATTTTCGCGACACTTCAGTAGCGAGGAAAGCCAGCAGATGTACAAAGCTCAACCTTTTAAGGAAATGTCGCTTTACTCTGTCTGGAACTTCGCTAGTAATCTGCTCAGGCGAGCAGTAAATGACAAGCCTCAGCGCTGGTTGTGAGTGTCGCTTTGTCTCTCAATCAAGAGAGCCGTGGCGAATTTGCTAACATACGTGCAGGGCCAATTACTTCCTCGGAAAATGCCTCTGGAAAATGTTTAGCTGCGATGATTCCATGCGGACGACTCGAAGAAAGGTCGAAATGCAGGATGTGATAGACGCGCTGCTTGATTCTATCGCAGCCCTGCCGCAGCGAAAGGATTCAAGGGCAGACCCTATATTCGAACCCCATTTCAAACTCTTGTCCGTGGTCCACAAGCTTGTCATCCGGGGCAGTATGACTGTGAGTGCTCTATTTCATTTACTGAGAGTTAACCCTGACTAACACCAAACCAGCCTGCCGAGGCGAGTAAAACCCTCGCTGTCTCACCTTGGGCTCGTAAAGTCGATGCTCCCGATAATATTGAAGGCTGGAGATCTTATATGCTCGAAGTCATCAAACGGTTCAAGAGTGCCGACAAATCGAATTGGCATCACCGGATGAGTGCAAAGGTATGTTCAATCCATCCACAAAGTATTTTCACGGATATGAATTCTGACTCTATTAGGCTGCCCATGTGATTTACGATGACCAGAAGAATGCCACAGCGGCGGTCGCAGCCAAACACGAGATGTCGCAAATATTCACCAAGACGCTTACTATTCAGGTTTGGCGACCGGAATTCGAACGCCCGGGACGACATTTTGTATATACAACGCGCTATGTTTATTTCTTCGTCAGCCTTTTGGATCAACTTGATGATCGTGCGAGTCTGGATCAGCTCCTGCGTCGGGTCAGAAAGAAGCAAGGCGATTTCATCAACCACACGAAATTGTGGGAAGACGTTTGTTTGACTTACGCGAAAATGATCCGCAGGGCCGCAAGTATCAATGAAGGCCACGAGGAGGGTGTATTCCGGCCAATTGGTTGGGAGGAGTTCTCATCGAAGACTGCTCGACTTGAAAGCTTGAGCAAGCTCTCTGACGAAACCACGCCAGTCCTTGAACTAATGCGAGACTCCTTGGAGCTTAAAAAGCTCAACAATAACCTGATGAAGGTCACCATGTTTGAGGATCTCATTGCGGATCTGTATGCTCGTGTCTATGAACTCAATATGCCTCAGCTTATCGAGCAGGTCAACGAAGAAAATAAAGAGAAGATGAAGGTGGATCATCTTCTCATGGCAGGCGAAGGAACAACGGAGACCTCAAACCCCGCAACTCCTGTTCCGGCCTCTGATACCCCTGCTCCTCGTGGTCGCACCAAGGGTATTGCTCGTCGCGACATTCAGAAACGAGCGGATATGATTGTCAACCTCAAACTTGGTCCGCGCACAGCTACAAATAAGTTCGCTGCTACCACGGACGCCGAACAAGCACCAGCAACACCGCGCGCGCTCGTATCTGGCTATACATCCACCCCCCAGGACCCTAGCAAGCAAGTAACTGCAGACGATAGCACGAATGCTCAGAAGGAAAATGCCGACAGCGCTCGTGATAGTGACAATGAAAGTAATGCGGATGAAACGGACGACACAAAATCGAACAAAGTTTCAAAGGATTATGGTGCCCTGACTGGTCTACGAAAGAATGAGTCGGGTGACGCTGAAACTGAGAACGAGGACGATGCCGGCAGTGGCAATGAAGGGGCTGATGAAGGCGTCGAGGAGGGCGAAGGCGATGAAGATGAAGATGAAGGCGATGAGGATGAGGATGAGGATGAGGATGAGGATGAGGGTGAAGGTGAAGGTGAAGGTGAAGGTGAAGGTGAAGGAGATATCGGAACAACCGAGGTTGAAACCGGCGGGGAAGAAGCGCAGGAGGTCGATAATACGATCGACGAGGACGTGCAGGATGGAGATGACGAAGATCAGACTGCCAACGAAAGCAAAATCGCGTACGGTGAGAATGATGAGTCTGCCAGGGCCACCGATAATGAGCGTGAAGGATCGGCCACAATGATCAAGAACGAGGAAGCCGAGAAAGATACCGACATGGATACCACCCCTGCATAAGGATTCGTACGATTGATTCTCGGCAATTCGTCTTCCTATTTTTTCTTTCTTTTGCCGGATACCTCCAAGGGTTGCTTTTTAGGATGTCTAGTTCCACGGAGTGGGCGTTGGGTCGGAGCAGTGCCCGTTATTATGTTTTTCACCATTGATACCAGGACGTTTAGGGTCTATGATTTTCTTCTATCGAAGAACCTTGCAATGCACTTACACGATGCCGATCCCTCTTTAACGTAACAGTAATCAGATTTTGTACGTAGGGCCAAAGGGGGCCAGAGACTCGGCCACAAGGGAAAAAATTGACTGCAAAATAAAAAATGATACTGGGGAATAACCCTCGAAAGCAATCCACAAAACGCCTCAGCCAAGATTATCCTTGCCCACAGGCGGTACCCAATCGCTAACTCGCAAAAGATGAGCCCTAAAACGCGAAGCCTGAAACATTTGCTCAAATCATAACGATCGTGACAGAATAGATAGGGGTGAGTCGAACTAAATGTGGCTCTCCGGGGCTAAATCCCATTTTCTCGTCGATATTTTTCGCGGTTTTTTACCTGGTGAGGTAGGCGAAGAAGGTGTAAACATGCTATCGGTGAGATGTAGTTGGTTCATGCGCTGAAGTGCGTTCTCGATATCACTCTCTCGACTCAAAAGATTCGAGGGCTTGTTGGGCGAAGTGTGCTTTGCTCGGGGCTTTCGGGTAGGTGATTGAGAATTCATTTCTCGCTCGAGGGTGGCAAGACGCCGGCGAAGCCGTTCATTCTCATCCTCTAGTTCTTCTACCCTTTCATTCGATGATTGCTCGGGATCTTCGTAAACTAAATAATCTGTGAGCTTGATGTTTTGATACATCACACAGACGACTGACTTACTGCTGAATCCACGAGAAACGAGTTCGATCTTCTTGTCCACGTGTTCATCATGGTGACCAAGCTAGGGATCATTAGACACTTGCCGAATCAGATTTTGGGATATTCTTACCTGTTCATCCCAGGCCTTCTGCCAGCGTCGACGCTCCTCCTCCATCATGTCATCCATCTCGGCCCAGCACTCCTCCCGAACTTCTTGCTCAATCATGACACATCTTTCTTCGGCAGCCTTCAGTCGGAATTCGACCTCAGACCGTGCAATTTCTTCTTCGGCAAGTCGAATAGCAATGCTGTGACAATCGTTGTTGAGTCTGTTAATTTCAGCTGCGGCACGCTCCAGTTCTTCGGCCGAGGCATAGTTAGGCGAAGCACGTCCACTGATAGATCGATGGTGACTGGAAGTAGTAGAGACAATTGATCCAGTTAAAGAGGGAACGCGAGGAACTGTCACCTCACGAGCCAATGCAGAATAACGCAATATTTGAGATGTGGCATTGAAATCACCCCAAGGGTCAGCGGTGACCACCATGATTGCCTTCTGAGGATGGTGGCCCCGAGACATTTGGTTGGAAGAAGGGAAGGAATTCGAGAAGAGAAGCTCTGTGAGCTTACACTGACGGAATGGTACAAGAGCGGTCTATGAATTGTATTAGCATCAGATCAGGAGTAGAAACTACAGGATTCCCTACCTTTGTACCATCCTGGACACTGCTTTGCATCTGTAGGCATTGACCCAGATACATCAAACTCTCATTGATTTTTCCAGCCTCCGCCAGCGTGGCACCGGCTGTTTTGGCATTTCTGGCACGCTCAGATCCTGGGAATTTTAGTATGAGCTGAGAAGTAAACGTACAATTTTTTAACTTACCGGCCAAATCCACGACGGTCAAAGTATTGCCCACCCAATTTGTCTCGCCGTGACGCTTATGCACCTGTTTCTTGACCTCTAGGCAGAAGAAACCGTGGCTTCTGGAGCTGACACTGTTTGATCCAGTACCTGTTACCTTTCGCTCCGTGAGCCCAACGTCTAGAATTGCCAATGCCTCTTCATAGGTGCTGCAGGCAATCTTGCGAAGTCCAGCAACCACTTTTCGATCTGGCGATCCCTCAGTTGGCTTAAAAAGCAAATGACGTCGACGGTCCTTTTGAGGGTTACCGCCGCGAGACATAGTGTTCCCTTGCCCAGGGACGATCGATGGCGACAAAAGATCAAATATTCTATCATTGTAAACTTCGTACATCGACACCAGGACGACATAATCGGAGTTTGAGTTTAAATCGATGGTGAGGTGGCTAACGTCGGGGAGTCGCGGAGACACAACAGGCCGTTCACGAGGCTGCCGGCGGGGAAATGCTAGAGCGGGGGTGGGTTCCTTGAAGACATAAAGTCGTGATTTAGCTAAACGTTCCTGGTACATGTTGGGGCGTGTGTAAGGGAGAGGATGTAAGGATCCATAGGGTTTCCTTCCAAAGGGCTCAGATGACGGTGGACTAAGGCCGAATCGATCTTTGCGAATGGGACTGGATTGTAGATTTGGGCTGGCCTTTTGAAGGTCTTCTCCAGGTGGAAATGGGGGAAATCTCGAGGTCCCGTACCCAGGCGATTCATCAAGGGTATATAGGGTATTGGGGCTCCGTACCGTAAGTGGGGTGTGCGCGCGGGATGGGCTCATGGGGGTTTGGGCTCTAGAACTTCGGCCACGATCGGAATTGGGGTCACCATAGACGGCTTCCAGGAAGGTGTGGGCGGCGAATAACTGCGCTTCAGAGGCATCCGCTGCGGCCAGTGATGCAAGCATCATGGGACTGATGCTGCCGTCCTTGGTTTTCACGGTGGGTTCCAGCGACCGGAAGATAACATCCAGGGCCATTTGGGTGATGCCGCGTTCGGATTTGGATCCTAGAATGGTGTGGCTCTGGATTGCTCTGTCAGATTAGTTTTGTTCGCCTTGTGTTTACACAGCGATTGCCTGACCTTTCCACTTCCTGTAACTCCTAATGTTGCGACCAGTCCATCACGACCTTCCTTTAGAACTCCCCTCACCAGGGACTCCATTCCGGTGTCATGAAAAATGTCGAGCTGTGAGGAGGTTTCTTCGAAGACTTTGGTAAAACCAAACTTCTCCACGGCGCGCTTTCGTGAATCGGTAGGCGGTTCAAGAGTGATATGGGTAGGAACTGGTGCGACAATGTCGGTTTCATTCTGCGATGCCCCCGGTGGCTCGACGGCAAGGAAACGGTCGGATTCATCGATTTTCTGGGCGAGAGGAGGGCGCAAGCGGAGGTAGACTTGAAACAGCGACGCCTGGGGCTGTTTGGAAGGCATGATGACGACGATGAGGTCGGAGTCTGGAAGTGTGTCCAGAGTAGAAAAGTGGAGGCTCGTCACTGTTGGAAAGTTGCGCAAGTCGAGCAAGTCGAGACCGCGCGCCAGGTGCGTGCCTTCCCTTGTCTACAGATCTCCCTCGTGCCTTCCTTGTTGGGATGCATATGTTGTTGACCCAGCAACCATTTCCCAAAGAGGAAAGGCCAAATCTCGCGATCTATAGGTCCCGTGACCTTGACCTTCACGCTTTCTTTCTTGTCAATTGGAGAACATAATTTTACCGCATCTCTTCTGACAAGCAAGGCTCATTTGTCTTTCCCGGGGACGTGGCAATGAGTTCGTGTTTTTCCGTGTCGGGCGCACCCACGCGCATCTAGCAGTACGAACGACATTACCGACCACTGGCTCCTTTGAGGACCCCGTATTGATAAGCCAGTTAGATATGGCGCATCATCCTTTTTCCAGTATTTCAGCCACCAGAAATGCCTACTCGTACAACCAAGCATGTGCATCGTTGGCCGTTAAGCCTCCCGAAGATCGTCATCTGGACCGAGCGTTGACCTCGTATTGGGGCCCGGATGGTACTGCGCCACGCGTTTTAGCGGCGAACCTTGAACCAGTCACTGTCACGGATCCGCACTTTGGAACAAGGACCCCCGATTTACACTTTTATGATTGGTTTATGTGAGCTCGTTGTTTCTGACCCAATTAGGAAATTTCGTTTTCGCTTGCCTTTTGGCTGAGATCGAGGCTCAGTAGAGTTGGAAACATCCTTTCATCTAGTATTTAAGTCTCAAGATCCCATCTTCTTGGTCCATTTGGTAGAAACCCCGTGAAACAACACAAGCCTAATTTCCAGACCTCACTTTTTAAACCCGGTATTATCTACCATTTACTTCTCTATATCAGACTCGGATACGTACATCACGTGGATTGCGCTGCAACTATGACTTATCGTAAGCTTTGCAGACTATTGGTACTTCCTTGACATAATCCACTGACACTCGGAAGAGGAGGGAAGCCTGTGGTTCTATGCACCGAACAAAGGTGCACCTATCGCTTTTGCAATACTTTTTGCTCTTTCAGGGGGCATCCACTTTTACCAATGCCGGTATGTCACCTTCTTGCAGTCAAAATCCCCTTATTAACCCTTTGCAGTCGATATCAATCTTGGAAAGTGACCGGTCTTCTCCCATGGTCGGCGATTCTTTTCACCGCAGGTTTTATTACACGAACCGTCGGTGCATTCGGACAGTGGGGCAATCTTAACCTCTACATTGCAAGTACTGTTCTTCTGTTGGCAGGACCGTAAGATCGCCGTCGGGGCCTACCTAGGTCTTTCTGAGCATTACAGTCAGTTGCTAACCAATGCACTAGACCCGTCTACGAGGGTGCCAATTTCTTCATACTCGGCCGCATGTTGTACTACATTCCCTACCATTCGCCTATCCATCCTGGTCGTGTCTTCACTACATTCATTGCGCTGGGCATAGCTATCGAAGCTATCACCGCCAACGGAGCTGTTCGAGTTGCAAGCTCCGGTTCTACCCCACACGAGCAAAGCGTTGGCAAAGCCTTGCTTAAGACGGCTCTTATCTTACAACTTGCTCTTATGGTGGCTTTCACCGCACTTGCTGCAAAGTTCCAGATCAACTGCAAGCGAGGCGGGGTACTGAACCACAAGATGAAACGCTGCCTGATAGTCCTTTACATCAGCTGTGCACTCATTACAGTCCGCACTATCTACCGCACGGTCGAGTACTTTTCCGCCGCAAGCCTGAACTCGCAGACAGACATCCAGCATATCAGCCCTGTGCTAAAACAAGAGTGGTTCTTCTGGTTCTTTGAGACCGTTTTCATGTACAGCAATAGTACACTGTTGAACGTCTTCCATCCTATGCAAGTCTTGCCCCGAAATAACAAGATTTATTTGGCTCAAGATGGCGTGACGGAAATCGAGGGTCCTGGATACAAAGATCCTCGGAACTTTATACTCACTTTCTTCGATCCGTTCGATATCTACGGCCTTATTGTGAATAAGGGCAAGAAAGAAAAATACTGGGAGACTCAGGCGCAGCAGTCGACCGCTACCAAAGCTCCCGAGACTGCGTAGGTCATTGACGTCGGAGCTTCTTTCGTTGATTTGTTTGATTTGGGGGAGACTCAATATTTTCTAAGCGTTTTGACTTCAGTGAGAGACATTTAGGGTATCGATTGTCATTTATATTTGGTATCAGCTATAGACTATTGTTATTTTATAAAACTATCTACAATCCAGCTTCTGATGATCATATATCATCAACATCCTTGCCAAGTTCCTCATGAATCTGCCAGCTGTAGCTTGCAAATTTGCTACGTTGGCGAATACGCTCACCAAAGCAGAGGAACAATGGTGGCACGATGCAGAATAGACTTGCAACACCAGCAAGGATAGAGACTGCAACGTTTGCCCCCAGCCCTTCGAACATTTGTCGAGTGAAAAGAGGGACAATTCCAGACATGATACCCCGCACAAAGGCTACTGCAGCAGTGGCACTAGCCGAGTAACTCAGATAGCTGTCTGTGATGTATCCGTACAGGACACTATCCAACTCGGTCAATGCATATCCGACGAAAACCAACGACATTGTTGGTACAATCCAGGGGATGTTCGGTCCTTGAACCAATGGTGGAATAGTCCAACCGAACCACCAAAGCCCAATAGCTAGACAGGGAGCACCAATTGCCAAGCCGGTAAGCTTGTCCTCTGGTTTGATAGCAACTCCTTGGTTTCGACGTTTGTTGAAGATGTGGCAGTCTAACAAACGGGTCAAGGCGCTGAAACAAGTACCAAGACCAATGGCCATGAAGATAAGTGAAGATTGAGAAACAGAGAAACCCATTGCCATGTAGATGGGCTGCAATGCTTCGGTGAATATATAGATGAGAGACATGGCGATTGAGATCATGATTGCGATGGTAAAGATAATTGGCTCCTGGAACAAGAGCTGAGCGGGGCGGAATAGTGCCTCCTTCACAAAGGTGCGCAGATCGGGGGAGTGGTCGTGATTAAGAGCACGAGGAAGAGATGGAATCTCCTGTCGCATCATGTCCACCTCGTGGGTTAACAAAAGGGAGCATCGAGATTCGCGAATGAAGAAAAGGAGACCAGTGATGATGCCGATGATGAGGGCATATATAAAGAAGACCCATCGCCTATTCTCGTGATTAGTACTGGGCTTCGAGAGTCAGAATCATGGGAGAGCTGAACATACCAGTTAAGAGCTTCAATTATATGGCTGCTCATGATGGGTCCAATGATCAAGCCAATGTTCGATGCGACGGTCCAGAAGAAGACCACCCAGATGCGAGCCTGCGCGTTGAAGATGTCTTCGATGCTTCCACCCACAATTGTGCCTGGGACTGCAGAGAGTAGTCCTGCAATTATTCGCATCACAATTGCTGCGGGGAGAGAGTGGACAAATCCAATGACTGCGCAGCAAACACAGCTCAGCCCGCTGCTGATTATGTACATCTTTTTACGTCCAAATGATTCGGTCCAAGGTGGAAGGACAACATTTCCCACGGATTGTCCTAGCAGAAACCTGTAATTGAGTCAGATGTAGTTCTTGGTCGGAGGAGTTGCTTCGAACTTACAAAGTGACAAAGCAAAAGGTGGAATAGGTATAGTCGAGTTCATATTCATGTCGAGCTTGGGCGGCAGCAGCGGCCCCTGCAGTGCTGCTCGCAGTACTGGGAGATGTCAGTATTAGTTTGCAATTTGCGGTTGGAGAAGGTGAACGAACATAAAAAGGTCCAGAGCGCAAATAAGTCCAACATCGTATGTCTTCCTCCACATAGGCCAGTTCCTAGGATGCCTTGGATTGTCGTGTGTCCACCTTATAGATTTCCCATTGGGTGCGAACTCAAGGTAGTGCTCCTGCAAGTACTCTTGCATGGGGAACTTGGGCTCATCAGATGTCTCGAAATTTTGGAAACCCATCTTTGGCAACAAACAAGCCAATACTCATACCGTGTACGAGGAGCAGCAGGTCAAGAGAGCTTGGAAACAAACAGTTGTTTGGCAAAAGTTCGAAGGTGAAATGTAGTTGGGTATAAATTGTTCCAGGCTAGCAACCATGGCAATTCATCCAGCCTCGTGGAATGACAGCCCCCCTCAACGATTTGTGCTTGGGCCGTAGCCAATTTCCACGTAGAAATGTGCTTGAATTGGATGTTACTGAACAGGCGCTTTCCAGTTTTTATTACCTAGGAATGATTTGCCAAAAACTTGCCAGTATTCGATGCCTTTCACACGTAAACGGAGTGCTCTTTTCCAATAAATCCCATGCAATTGAAGCCTATGTATCAGTCATTCATGGTACCAGCCCCATGGCCTTGAATCTAGGGATGTGGAATGTCTTTCACATTCCTAGGGTAGCCGGGGGCTGGACTCCTGTCGATCTCTGGGGATATCATTCGCTGGTCGCTAAGATTGACCAATAAAAATAGCTAAGTTTGAAGATGGTGTTCAGTTTGACTTTGGCTTGTCTAGGAAGAATCCAAGTCGAGGGCTTTTTAGCCACCTTTACATTCTTCATTGTGGCGACAAGCTGATGTTCCTTCGTAGCTCTCTAGCTGCTTCTATGCACAGAATTAAGCCATGTGGCTGCTTGTCTAGCCAGTATAAAAAGGGACAGAACCAACTTAAATGGAAGTGTCTTGTGAACCAACCAGCTGACAGACCTGCCATTTGAAAATAATCGCCCAGACTGGAATTATGAGCATTGAGCTCAAAGTGAGACACTCAAGTTCTGGCTTTTGAGACTCTGAAGGAATTCATGAGATGAAACCCTTAGGGTTATATATATCTTTTAGCGTCTGCCATGCCATGCAGATATAGCGATTATTAAGCTACTTTGTGAAGATGGCCCACTATACGTGACGAAACAAACGCTATATCTGCATGGCATGGCAAACGCTAAAAGATATATATAACCCCAAGGGTTTCACCACGCGTATTTCCAAAAAAATACCTGAACTATATGGTGAGTAGAAGCAATTGAAGTGCAATGATAGTACGATCTCCGCAGCCCACATACCGTTAGGGACCATGTGGTCCTGTCCTACTTGTTATGTCGAATGTCATGTCTGAATATTATGAGAATCCATAGCTTCGAATAAAGCATCGAATCAAACTATCCTTCCCAGTCGCTTTTGACTTTTAGATGTGTTTTCCTAATGGTTAGTTGTACTACTGTTAGTACCAGGTTCTGGATAGACAGCAGCTTAGCACAGACAAATATGTGTAGTATGCTGCTTTATTGGATCTAGCCCTTAATGACTTCATCTGTACTTTAACCCATTCAAAAAGGTCATTTCTCTCCACATGGTTGGGGAAACGCGTGTTCATATAATTGTATACTGCAACTTCGCTTTGTGGTTGGCCGAAGCGCGTTCTCATTGGAGCTGGCGGGCCGCCTTGATCGACGCTCCGAGGCCAGATCTCCGAACTTCGACTTCGCCATCACATTCGAGCTCGACCAGCACCCGGGGAACTCGTGAGTTTCACCACACAGGAGCTTTGTGGGGTTTAACTAACACACACAGATTCTTTCTTTACAGCTCCCGACGAGATCACTCTATCCCCAGCGTGCCGTGTCGCACGCGCCCTCGCTTTCCTCTCCTCTTCCCCAGCTCCGACACCAGCACATCGCCCACCATGCTTTCAGCACTCTCAGGGACAAATGTCCGCCAAACAATCGCCCAGGTCATGAACTTTGGCCTTGTCCTAGGAACTGTGCGAGCTCTTGGTCCTGATTTCCATTAAGCGCGCTAATGTCTTGCCTAGGCCTTCATGATCTGGAAGTCACTGTCCGTCCTGTCCGCTAGCAGCTCTCCCATCGTGGTCGTTTTGAGTGGTTCTATGGAACCGGCTTTTCAGAGGGGTGATCTTCTGTTCTTATGGAACCGCGCTCCTCGCGCGGAGATCGGTGAAATTGTTGTTTACAATGTGGTGAGTTGCATTTGCCTTGATTCCCGTCCGTTCAGAGCTCATACCTGTCTCTTTTTTTTACTTGCAGAGAGGAAAAGACATTCCTATTGTGCACCGCGTATCACGAACATTCCCGGAGGTTGAAGGAAAGAACAACAAGGCCAAGGAGATCACAGTGTATGTCTACAACTCAAATGACGAAAATGCTGGGTGAAATGACACAGGTTGGATACTGACTATGAGAAATAGCGATGCGACACCAAGCACCCACATGCTCTTGACCAAGGTGGGAAATCACCCAACCCCCAAGGTTTTTTGCCGCTCTGGAAGCTAACCCTCTCCTTCTACCTTAGGGCGATAACAACCTCGCAGATGATACCGAACTATAGTAAGATTAGGTTGATATGATAATACGGCTAGCATTTTCTAACTCGTTTCCTCTCATAGTGCACGCGGCCAAGACCATCTTTCCCGTTCCGAGGACATTGTTGGAAGTGTGCGAGGCTATATTCCGATGGTTGGATACGTGACGATCATGCTCTCTGAACACCCTTGGCTGAAAACAGTTCTTCTTGGCTTGATGGGCTTGATGGTCATGCTTCAACGAGAATAATTGGCGAATGATTAACCTCAAATATCTGAAATACTTCTCAAATGCCTCAAAATCCCAAAACTTCAAGTGTCCGATATAGGATGCACACTTGAACAGCAATGGACATGAATCATATCAAACTAAGCTGAAGCTGTGTGGATCAATTTTCTGTACATTTAAAATCCAATGGTTCTTTGTAGCAGCATAATATTGGCCAAAGGGGTTTGTTTAACGAACGCTTCGAACGGGGCGAACGGGGCGCCGCCTGACGTCCGTGGTTCTCCACTTCACTCGGGGTGGTTCTAGCTTCGAGCTACCAGGTTTCACCCGCACCAACTCACGATTTTCTCCTTTCAAACCCCTAGGCATATCTCAGCGTCGTGTGGCTTGTTTCCTTCTGCTACGATACCTTTATTGTGTTGTCGCGTGCATATTCCTTTTGTCCCACAGGTACCCTCCTACACACCCCGCACCACCACGCCCCCCCACTACCCTACGGCTTGATCAACCTCCAGACAACATGGGCAGCCAGAAGCGCATAGCCAAGGTATGCAATCCGGCCCCTTCGCCTAGCTGTTGAATAGTCTACTAACATCCTGTTCACTGCCAGGAGTTGGCTGAGCTCGTCGAGTCGCCTCCAGCAGGCATCACGGTCAAATTGGCGGACGAAGCCAACCTGTACGAGTGGAAGGTGTTGATGGATGGCCCAGAAGGCTCGCCGTACCATGTATGTCTATCCAAGCAGCAGAAGCTGTGTCTCAAAATGCCATTCGATCGCATTGCGAGTGGTCTTGTGCACGCCGTCAAACTTGCCCTTGTGGTTCCTCACTAACATCGCCGTCCCCTTTAGAAAGGAAAATTCCAAATCAAACTCGTCCTGCCAACTGAATACCCTTTTAAACCGCCTACTGTCTCTTTCGCAACCAAGATATACCACCCCAATGTAACAAATGATGATAAAGGGAGCATGTGCCTGGGAATGTTGCGACCCGACGAATGGAAACCCAGCTCTAAGATTGGAGCTGTTCTCGAATTCGCCCGTCAGCTACTATCAGAGCCAATGCCCGACGACGCTATCGAGGGTAGGATCGCCGAGCAATACAAGAATGACCGCAAGCACTTTGATGAAGTTGCCCGGGAATGGACTCGGAAACACGCTTCTTAGGGACTTCGCACTGCGGATGTGGAGATAATGCTTCGTTGATACTTTATGAAATCGAGAAATGGCAATTACCACCATGGGCCCAAGGAGAAGAAGAAGAAGAAGAAGAAGAAGAAGCAGAAAACCCCGCCTTAGGGCTGGCTCTTGGCATGTGAATATACATGAACGAGAACACGCACAAATCTAAACTAGCTATCAATCCGACTGTGCAGACTACTTCCTCCGCGCGGGGATGTTCCGCCCGGGGAACGGAATCTCTCTCTGGCGGATCAACTCCACAGAGACATGGTCAGATAATTGAGGAAAATTTCCAATTTTCGTGATGTCTATTCGTACTAGTAGCGTACGCTCGCTGATGACCATCGGCTGGTAAATGTGAAATACCTTGTAGTTGCCTGTGCAAAAGCTGCTTTGTACTAGGTATCCCATTTTCTTATTACACAGGCCTCGTTCTTTCAAGCAGGCTGTATGACCTGAGCTAATTCCGAAGATACCGTTCGCGGAATCTTACCTCGATGGTCCTACACCTGGGCAGCTTCCCCGCAAATGACCCCACGGGGTCTAAACCCCGGCATTTCAATGTAGCCGATTGACCCATGAGAGGACGTCGGAATAGGGTATAAGTTAACGGATCCGGGCGAAAAAGAAATTCTGGACTCAAAGTATATGAAATTCGCAAGTTCACGTCAAGTTTGGAGTTGGAGTTGACTGACCGCCGGGTGATAACGTCACTGCTCAGGACCACACACCACAGCCACAGCCACCTCGTTCATCCACTCTTCTCTTCTCTTTTCTTCCCATGCTCACAATACTTGAGCAGCCATGGCCGCTGTATCGGATTCAATCGTCTTCATAGGACAGAATATAACGAGCATCCTTCTACTTGTTTTTGTCCTTCACTTTACACGCAATTATCTGACATCGGGGGTATCTGCTATACCGGGGCCATTTCTAGCCAAGATATCGAATGTTTGGAGATTCGTGGATGTTGCAAAAGGTCATGCTGAGGTGACATTGTTGAAGCTTCATCGCAAACACGGTGACTATGTGCGACTTGGTCCGAACGTGGTGAGCGTTCGGGACTTGGACGCAGTCAAAATCATTTATGGAATAAACCAAGGATATAACAAGGTAGGTAGTCTTGTTCACTTCAACTGTCTCACTTCTTAATTTTCTCTACCAGACCGACTTCTACAAAGTCCAGCAGCAATTGGCCAAGGGTAAGCCCACGCCAACTCTTTTCACCACCACAGACGAAGAGTTCCATGCCGCGATAAAACGACCTATATCTTCTGCGTACTCTATGAGTACCCTGACGGAGTTTGAGCCTTTTGTTGATAAAACTATCCATGCTTTTTTCAAGAGACTGGATGAATTTGTGGATGATCATAAGGTTTGTGATATTGCTACCTGGTTGCAATACTGTATGTTTGACCATGCTCAACTTCAATCAGTCCACTCCTAACAAGCTGAGATAGATGCCTTTGATGTTATTGGAGAATTGACCTTTAGCAAACCACTGGGGTTCTTGGAGAAAGGATCCGACGTGGATGGAATTATTGCAGCTCTTGAAGCAATGCTTAGTTATTCTGGCAAGGTAAGAACCCATTATATCATGCCTTTGAACATGAAATATACTGAATAAAGACAAAGATTGGTCAGATCCCCTGGCTAGATTATCTCTTCATCAAAAATCCCCTCAGGGGGATTATTCAAGGGGGCTCCACCGGTGCGGTGGCTCGCTTTGCCCGTGCCCGGCTAGACGAGAGACTTCAAGAGTCGAAGCTGGGAGGAACAGTCGAAAAAGAAAGCCCAGTACCCCAACAAAGAGACTTTCTTGCCAGATTTCTAGAAGCGAAAAATCAGCATCCCAATATTGTGAATGAGAACCAAGTCTTCTCCTACACAATCAGCAATATGAATGCCGGATCAGACACCACCGCTATATCGCTGCGAGCCGTTCTTTACTACACGCTCAAAACCCCACAGGTTGCGTCAAAGCTACAAAATGAACTAGACACTGCCTTGAAAGAGAATCGAATCACCTTGCCGGTCTCATGGAAGCAGAGTCAAGAACAACTGCCTTATCTCGACGCGGTTATCAAAGAAGCACTCCGTCTACATCCTGCTGTGGGGCTACTCCTGGAACGAAAGGTACCTCAGGGTGGTCTCCAACTCCCAAATGGCGGACCATATCTGCCCGCAGGGACAATAGTCGGTGCAAATCCCTGGATAATTCACCGACATGCTCTTTTCGGTGAACATGTCGATTCATTTCGTCCTGAGAGATGGTTACCAGCAAACGGCGAATCCGGTCCCGGGTTCCAGTCTCGGAAGCAGAAAATGCTCCGTGCGACACTCACATTTGGGGCCGGGTCGAGGACTTGTATCGGGAAAAATATTAGCCTGCTGGAAATTTACAAGTTGATTCCTTCGCTATTTCTCGCCTATGATGTAGGAGAATGACAGACAGCCATGAGGCCAGAGAAAGCATGCTAACAACTTTACAGATTCGATTAAAGAACCCGGAGAAGGAGTGGAAGACTACCAATGCATGGTTTGTACGACAAACGGGCATCGATGTTTTGTTGGCCCGTCGCGACTTACAAGAGGTGCCCCGTTAACGGCTTGGAATAGCATGAAGTCAATGTTGAGATCAGAATCAGAATCGAATACCAAATTTACATTGATGTATTCTTAGTTAAAATATCGAGAGGGTTTTTCTTCATCTTAAGATTGTCGTATCATGCACTTGCCTGTTTGAAGATAGAAATCGGCAAAAGCCCGTGTCCCTTTCCTAGGAAATCTCGTATATTCCCCCATGAGCGAGACACCCTCTCTAGATAATTTGTGGCTGCTCCCATTTTGGGCTCGATATGAATTGACCACAGGCGAACAATAAACAGCAAGAATGCGAAGAACAAGCTCAAGATAACCCGAAGCCGGAAAGTGTTCGGCGTGGGGATGTAAGACTCTGGGTTTGGCGTGCCATCCGCTAGCAGAGCAGGCATGAAGCCAAGGGACATGGGCCAATAGAGGAGGTAAACCAGCACAGAACGCATCAGGGGTCCGTGTATCAAGTAGAGGGGAAAGCTGATAGATCCCAGCCAAAGCAAGACTCGGCTTGAGAATATTCGTCGAAGCGTGGGTGAAAGCATTGCTCCCAAACAGACTATCTGCGCACCGATACTAGCGAAGTAGCGGCTTATGTTGGAGCCCTTTGGGAATATGGCATCACCAATGTGGGCGAGCTGGGAAGACCAGGCTGTTTGCTCGGCATATTGATCCGGGAACGAGCAGAGGTAAAAACCCAGAACGACAAGACCGTAAGGTACGGTCTGAAATAATGCTCGGGGTTTTAGAGACGCTGAAAATTGACAGTTATTGAGGGAGAGTTCGGCTAGCATCATGCCAGCGAATATGTTCGTCCCCACACCACCTGCATGTCGTTAGATTTAGAAGGCCTGGTACCGTGTGATATATATTAACTTACCGTCTAGTGTCGCCCAGCTCCAGCTATAGAGCAAAGTCTCGGCACATAGTCGGAACCGAGGCGTGGCATTGATTAATGCAAGCAGAGTCATGAAAACATACAATGAACCGCGAAATAGCGGAAGCAATGCCCACTGAGGCTGATCATAGGCATTTTCACCGTACAGCCATGTTCCGGCGAGCTCCCGAACCAAGTCCTCAACGGCAGCCACCAGCGAAACACTCGGTTTCGGCGCCGTCGATCTCAACCAGAAAACATCCACTCTGCGAGCTAGCTGGAAAACGCCGAATTGGCACACCAGTCAAGTAAGGAAAGTCACCAGCGCAGCGGGAAATACCAATCTTCCGGTACGGCGGAACGCGCCGGTTGACAAAGACCCGAGAGCCTCGGAGACGGCACCCGAGCGGGCCAGTTGGAGCGGTTTGAGGGAGTTGACGAAGCCTAGCAGGACGAAGAACATGGCTACCCAGGCCTGACCTTGGATGACCAAACGGAAGAAGGGTCGCTGAAACAGGGTGGACTTGCCCGTCTCCACAACGGAGGGTGGGATCAGGAAGGTTGCAAAGCATAGCGAAGTATGACTCGCTACAACGAAGATGGCGGCGATTCCACGGAGGCCCTAGAACAAAGGAAGACGGTTAGTGTTCGGTTCGTCATCTCCGGGATCTCCACTGTCGGAGTTTAGGGTCCACGGAGTTCCCTGGCATACGAGTAGTAGAGCTCAATGACGACACAAGACCAAGCATCAATAAACAAAGTCGATACGTACATCGGCCCAGCTGGTGGAGCGTAGCAGGGTGGGAGGCAATTTGGCTGACAGGTCTCGAATAGTAGCCATGGCGGGCGCAAACAAGATCGCGGTCGGACCTAGAATGGACTGGTCGCGCACGCGAGTGTTTCATAAAGAGAGAAGATGGGAATCAGACCCCATGAAAAGGAGACTAGGAGGATTTGTTGAACCATTGAGAGAAGGATGATGGTGCTGCATCGGATATTGAGAGGTAGAGAAGACGAGGACGGAGAGTGCCCAGTCCGGGGAAAGAGCACCACAGCTGCTACCCTAGGGTAGTAGGCTACCCCAACACAACTTAGCCGAAGTACTAGTAGTATAGTTAGACAGGGAGTATAGAGTATACAAATGTGATAGATAGATAGCTATGCATCGGGCACGGTAGAGGTCGTTATACATAACTGTACTCGTAAAGCAATAACCATTGGATAGAAAAAAGAGAGAAAAAAGAAAAGAAAAATGAGGCCCTGATCGACGCTGCATCCGCATCGGCATCCGCTCCCGTCCGCAATAGTCCATATACGTAGTCCATATAGTCAACGCACTTACAACTTCAACGTTGCCGGGGGACTGTGGTAACCATGAAGACTATCAATCTATTTACCTCCGTACATACAGTATATGTACATGACAGCATCTGTAACTAAATGCAATATGCAGTAAAATGCACGACTCATCACATTCTGAAACGCCCTTTCTTCTACGTCATGTGACGCTAACCCAATGAGGCATTGTTTTTCTCATTTCATTTCTCGTCTCTCGTTGGCTTCCTCTGCATCTGCATCGAACTTTTGCTTTTTGCCTCCAGGCGTTTCCCCTACCTTTCTCTTATTATCGCCGGCAGGTTCTGGCGGGCCTTGTCCTTCGTTTTTGGGTTCTCGCGTTTTTGCGCAATCTTCTCTACATTCTCCTACGGAGTCATCCGCTCACACGCTCAACCCTTTTCTTTTTTTTTCTCCTTCGGGCCTTCTCCGACCCTCGTGTGCGGCGTACACGCACTGTAACCTTCTTTGTGCCCCGTTGATTCTTCATTTGGTTACTATCCCAACATTCGACCCTCCGACTATTCGACTATTCGCGTCCGATTCTTCCATTCTCCCTATCAACCGTCCATTCATTTGCACACCTCTGAGCCGCCGCCGGCCTCTCCGTACTCTCTCCCCTTCGCCAGAAACCAATGTCCAGCGGGTCCTGGGTACTAGATCGTGGCCATGGTCACAGACATTGTAACCCCTCGATATCCGCCGCCGCAGGTTGAATCTGACCTTCGTGGTCGCCGAAAGGTCCTTCCGCCGCCGCGTTTGGATTCTTTAAAGATTGATCCACACGCGCGAACCAGACAACCCTCGCCAAGATCGTCGCCGCGCTCTCCGCACTCTCCGCATCACCAGCCGCGCGCGCGTTCCCCTTTACCAGCACAACCACCGAGCGCAACAGAAGAGCGCCCATGGTTGCCCATGTCGCTTCGGGCCGGTTCTCCGCAGCAAGAAACAAACGACGACTGGAGAGTTCGCCGCCCCGTTGCGCAGGCAGCTCCCCCTTTCACCACCCCACCCCCCGAACCCCCAAAATGGTATCCTCACGATAGCGATGTCGACCGTCCCAACCACCGAAAGGCCCCGCCGCCGAGGGGTGGTCTACGCATTTCAATGTCAACTTCCCGATTGCATAACAGACGGCCCAGAACGCAGGAATCGCCGGACCGCCGACAAGACGTCCATGTCCATGTCAATGCCCATGGCCTGCCGCTGCCCCGTTTCCCTTCAAATGGCCCGGCCGATGATGATGCTCCACGGTCTAGTGTCAACTCCAATTTCACTTCACGGTCCAGCATTGAACAAACGAGTGGCACTGAGCGTAGCAGTGTACTCACGAAGAGCAGCTCCATCACGGATCTATCGCCCGACACACCCTGCGCTCCCTATGGAATGGACGAAGGCATGAGTGTGGAAGATGCGATCTCCATGTATCTTGACGGCTTCAGTGATGTGACAGAGGAGCCCGCCTCGCCAAAGTCTCGGGCAGATAGCAAGGCGCCGTCGATCACCCCTCCACCATCGCGGGATACGACCTTTGAAGAGCCCCCTCTTTCCATTCGGACATCGCTGGACGATATTCCACCTATCTCTCCCCTACCACCGACGGGGGTTTCGGATCCTGTCCCATTGGAATCGATACCATCCGACTTCTATCTTCTCGGGCGCAGTGCCCTGGATGCCGTGGTTGTAGAATCTCCACCAGAAACGCCGTGGCCAATGGCCAATCCAATGGAACAGGTACAATTCGAGGAAGCTCATCCAGAGGTTGTGGTTCCCGAAGCAGCACCTACGTCACCATCACTCCCGCCTCAGCCGCCATCACCACCACCACCACCACCACCTCCACCACCTCCACCAGCTCAATTCCAATCATCACCTATTCCCCAGTCGCCCCGTCAGCGACAGCCGTCCAAAATTACAATACCCGGTCCCGTCCCTCCTCCACTCAGTTCTGGAACTGACACGCGGGATGACTATGGCTTTCGCAAAGCGACACAGTACGTCACCTTGGAACAATACGAAGCCTGGAAAGGTCCCTACTCCAACTATGCGGCCCAACGGCGCGCAAAATGGCACGACCTCATGAAAGAGAATGGGTTGCCAACTGCCGATGTCACTACTTTCCCGGCAAAATCCAACAAAATGAAGCGTTTCGTACGAAAGGGCATCCCGTCGGAGTTTCGAGGTGCGGCTTGGTTCTGGTATGCCGGCGGGTACGAGCTCTTGAACCGCAATTCTGGTCTCTATGACCAACTTGTCGAGAAGGTCATGGCTTCACCTAGCAACGATGATAAAGAGCACATTGAGCGGGATCTTCATCGTACCTTTCCGGATAACCTCCACTTCAAACCAGACATGACTGATGCTGCCGGAAACTCTGGAAGTAGTAATCCCCAGTATCAGAATGACACCATGGAGACGTCGATGATTCAATCCCTACGCCGGGTACTATATGCTTTTTCGCTTCACAACCCCAAGGTTGGCTACACACAATCGTTGAATTTCATCACGGGCATGCTTCTCCTCTTCCTCCCGGAGGAGAAGGCGTTCTGGATGCTGCATATCGTGACCTCGGTTTACCTCCCAGGAACGCATGAGATCAGTCTCGAGGGCGCGAATATCGACCTTTGGATTTTGATGGTTCTCTTACGGGACTCCATGCCGGGCATCTATTCCAAGATTGCCAGTATGGAAGGAGCGCCGTCCACGAGGGGCAAACTGCCACCACTCACTGTGAATTCCCGCCTGCCGGACATCACTTTGGGGCTCACAAACTGGCTTATGTCGGTTTTCATTGGGACTTTACCTTTGGAGACCACACTACGAGTCTGGGACATCTTCTTCTATGAGGGCTCGAAAACATTTTTCCGCGTCTCACTAGCCATCTTCAAGGCATGCGAGCGCGATATTCTCGCTGTTTCAGACCCCATGGAGGTCTTCCAGGTGGTACAAACCGTCCCCAAGAGGCTTTTGGATGTCAACACCCTACTTGAAGACTGTTTCATTCGAAAGAACCGTGTCGGCCAGGGCCGGATTGAAGAGCTGCGCGCTTCACGCCGGGTGGCCGTTCGACAAGAGAAGCTTCGCCGGTCGGTCGCATTCAGCAAGGGCCAGATCCCATCGGCGACCGACGATTTCACAGTCCGTTCTCGCAACCAGACACCCCGAGTCGAGGAACGGGTGGTGCACTCCTGGCGTCAACTCAAGCAGCATGCATTCCGCTAGCCCCGTTTGCCTGCCATTAATTTCTGTAATCATAATCGGTCTTTGTCGGGTTTCGACAGAGCAACCCGCGAGAACGGGGGGCATCCTTGCATTTTTATCATTTTTTTTGGGCGGCGTCTATTCAGGAACTGGGAGGCGGAGGGAATGATTGGGAAAAGGGGGAACTCGCATCATAGACGCATATTCATTTTTGCACATGTACTGTACATACATATCAATGCCACGCCAAGCAGGCAGCGCTACTTGGACTCTCGGCACCCATAATTGAACCCAATTTTGTGGAATGAATTTCCGGGTTGAGTGAACCATCTCCCTACAGGGCTGACTACAGTAGTTGACTAGTTAAGGAACTAAAAGAACTAGAGGAACCGCGGGGCTTGGCAGGGTTCAGGATTGGTCGATCGTTCTTTCCTTCTGTGGTTGCTCGATCGACTGGGTGCAACTGGGTCAACTCGGTGATCGCTCCTTCCTCGCTTTCCTGGTTCGTGTCGTCATGCACCTGCCAATGCGGAGTTCAAAAGCAAACCAGCTCCTTGCTTTTCTAAGTCCCCGACTTTTCCTCTCCCTTTGATATCTTCCTGTATTCTCCTGATCATCCGCCCTTACACGGAGCATGCAGTCATGAGTGGTCAAGCAGCTAGTTATTACGACCAAAATCAGGGCTTTGACCCGCGGGCTCAGCCGAACTATCAACAAAATGGCTATCAGCAGCAGCAGCAGCAGCAGCCAAACTATCCACAGCCAAATTACCAACAACCCAACTATCAGCAGCCTCCAGAGTCTAAGCCTCCGCCAGCCCAATATCCCGAAAATCCCCCTCCCCCATACACCACCTTCGACCAGGCATTCAAGATCGAGAAGCCCAAGTACAATGATCTTTGGGCAGGACTGCTGGTTGGTTCTCCACTCCCGAGGTAACCCCAAAATCAATGACCCCAGCTAACCAAATAATTTCCCTCCCCTCCAGTTGATCGCTGTCTTCCTCGGATATGCTGCAGTATCGGGAATCACCATTCACAAGTATGCCACAAACAAAGGGTTCAACGGAGATGGCATCTATGGTGCGGCCAATGATTTCTCCCTCAACACCAATACGCTGGTTCTCTTCATCTTCGTCCTCGTGGTCGCCCTCGTTCTTTCATTGGCATACTTCATGGGCGCACGGTATTTCACCAAGACTTTCATCTGGGTAACCGGCATCCTGAATATCGTCTTTGCGCTAGCAACTGGCATCTACTACATCGCTCGCAAGCAGTATGGCGGTGGAATAGTATTCCTTCTTTTCGGTGTCTTTGCCATTGTATGCTTCATCAGCTGGATCCCGCGAATCCCATTCACGGCCTTCATGTTGCAGACCACCATGGACGTTGCGCGAAACTACGGCCATGTCTTCCTCGTCAGTGCGCTAGGCGGACTTGTAACCGTCGCTTTCTCAGCCTGGTTCTCCGTGACTCTTGTCGCAATTTACGTCGCCTATGAACCAGACTCAAAGGGCGTGAATCCATCCTGCGCAAACGGCGGCTGTAGTAACGCCAAAGTCATTGGATTGGTTGTGTACGTCACTTTCGCTATGTACTGGTTCAGCGAGTGGATCAAGAACACCGTGCACACCACCATCGCCGGTCTTTATGGATCGTGGTATTTCTGGAGCAAGTCGGCCGATGGTATGCCCAAGGGTTCGACCCGTGGTGCGTTCCGACGGGCGACCACTTACTCCTTCGGAAGCATCAGTTTGGGCAGTTTGATCATTGCGTTTGTCCAGATGCTGCGCCAAGCATGCTCCATTGCACAGCGCCAAGAAGCCGGCCAGGGGAACATAGTTGGCAGTATATTGTTTTGGGTCTTGGGCTGCTTTATCTCGCTCTTGGACTGGCTTGTTACATTGTTCAATCGCTACGCATTCTGCCACATCGCACTGTACGGGAAAGCCTATGTTCCTGCCGCAAAGGATACTTGGAAAATGATGCGCGATCGTGGTGTCGATGCTTTGGTCCAGGACTGTCTGATCGGGCCAGTATTGACTATGGGTTCAACATTTGTGGCCTACGTATGTGCCTTGCTGGCCTATCTTTATCTGCAGTTCACCAAGCCTGCCTACAACAATGACGGGGACTTCACTGCGGTGATCATGGCTTTTGCTTTCTTGATTGGACTGCAGGTCTGCCAAGTCTTCATGACGCCCATTGGAAGTGGTGTCGAGACCATCTTCGTTGCTATGGGCTGGGATCCCCAGGTCATGATTAACGATCATCCGGAGATTTACTACAAGCTGGTGGAGTTGTATCCCAAGGTGCAGCAGGCAATTCATGCCTAAGATACTGCAGATCGTTGGGGTATGAGATGTTGCGAACTTGCCCTGATGATCGTCTCCGCCTGGTGGAGCTAGGAAGTTTCAAGTTATCGGGGCAGTTGATGGGTATAAGGCAAGTATATACTAAATAATATTTATTTTTACAAAGGAACATGACAATTCATGGAATAACATACGACGTTTCATTGATCATTACAATTTCGATGTTTTAAATAATCCGTTCGAATGCAAAAGACGCCGGTATAGACCCCGAGACAAAAGAAGTAAGCCCTATTACTTGGGAAAACAGAAGACAAAAGATAAGAAACATAACCAACCCCTCAACTCCACGCAACGAATCAACCTCTTACAGGGCAATCATCAGACCCATGACAGCCGCAACACCAAGAGCAGCAATACCACCGTGGGCAGCGCTAACCTGAGGCGCAGCACCCTGGAAGGCGTGGAAGCGGTTAGGATCCGCACCACTGGGGGAAGGAGTAGCAGCAGAAGCCTGGGAGCCGAAGAGAACAGAAGAAGAGGAGGCGGGAATGAGAACGCCGTTGGAGTAAACCGGCGAAGAGGCAGCAAGCATGCCAATCATGCTAGAGCTGACGGGGACATTGACGGGGATCTGCGAGATGTGCATCGGGGCGGGCGTGGTCTTGCAGCTGCACTCAGTGTGGGTCTCGGTCTTGGTCACGTAGACCACGCGGGGCTGGGGCATCTCGGGCTCGGTCTCGCTGGAGGGGGAGTATGCGCGCTTCATGTTGGCGGGCTCCATGGGCTTGGAGGCGTGGCGGGCTGGTGCCGAGACGCGGTCGCTAGAGCAGAGGGAGGAGGCGAGGGAGTTCAGGTCTGTGTGTTCGGGTTGGTTAGTCTTGACTATGTTTCAAAGGTGAAGGTGAAGGTAGTGAAAAGGTTGATGGGAGAACGTACCAATGCCGGCTTCCTTGCAGATGGCTTCGGCGGACTCGGTCAGGTTATCGATGGCATCCTTGTTGTTGCAGAAGCACTCCTCGGCGCTCAGATTGGTGCAGTCGTTGAACTTGGAGACATCGATGCCGTCCAATGCGGCGGTCTGGCGGAGTTAGGGCTGGATCCGAATTTGAGAGTAGTATGTACCAGTATAACTTACAGCACAATCAAGGTAGTTGCCGCTCATCTTGGCAGTGACGCCAGCGACGAAGACGGCGGTAGCAATGAAGGAGCGCATCTTGGAATTGAAGCTTTTCTCTTTTTTTTTTTTTTGATCGAAATGGGAGAAGTGATACTAGGTAAACGAGAGTCCAGTATCTTTAACAAAGATAGAGTATATTAGAGAAAGGTTTGAGGCAAGGGTGGCGCCGGGCCTCCAGGATTTGGAATCGACTTTAAGTACACAATAACGAAGTCAATAAACAAGGTCAAGCAATGGTCCGTAGCCCTGTATCCCTTGGCTCCCTAGACCAGGCCAACCATTTGAACACTGGTTCGGGCATTTGTGACGTTCAGGCATTCTGGAAATTGACTCGAACGGGAAGGAAGACGACACTCACACTGTATGGATAAGATTCGACTGGCATCTGACCATGCCTCAAGGTGCAGTGCAGTGCATTTTGCAGTCTACATGGGCACAACTCCCCTGCCGATCGCTGCGGAATGACACAAAAATGTGCCAGTTGCCATGTCCTTTCTTCGTGCCTGGCAGTATCCCTAGTAACCCTTCCTACAAGGAATCTGGTTCACGGAAACCTCACCAAGTAACCTGCAAAATACGACTTGACATCTGACACAAAGCAAAATACATACCTGCAGTGTATTAGTTCTTTAATACCTAAGATAATTGATTTGCGAGAATTGAGGGTTTGAGCATAGTGTACTACATAGCACGGGTCACATACACGCCGGGCGTTCCCATTATCTACAAGTGACATGTAGTTAGTTAACTCACGTCGAAACATCCTCAGCTTCAGTATGATCTCGTGTCGTTACGCCGGCATATGCAGAATACCTAATTTGGTATTGAACGGATTCTGGATGTGTCCAGAAATTACTTCCTGTTCTGCTTTCTATTCGTCGTAGGCGAAATATTTTTCACTGACACATTGAGAGATTGATCTGCTTATCACTGACACCCGGCAACCCAGAAGTAGCATGCTATGTGGCAAATCCAGTCGTCTATGAATAGAATCCACACATAGTACTACTCAGGAATGATCGACTGGCCCAACGAAGAATTGATAACCACCTCTTATCTCTTGGCCAAGGTTCAGCAGACGACATACATTAGCATTGGATCTTCAGGGCTACGAATACTCCATGCCTTATGCTAAGTACTACTGGTACTAGCAAGAATACATCATCCCAAGGTCTTGGAACCGGGCAGGTGAGGTCAGCTGATATATTCTAAATGATCAAGAAATATAGTGGTGTACTACAAACTGCTAGTTACTGCGTGCCCATGAATAATTCAACCTTGAAGTGAAAAGGGTATCTTTTGTATATACTAGTATTAAGTCATCGCAATCCCATCCGTCACCATTAACGATTGTGCAGCCCGCCATCCGCACCAGGCAATTCTGCAACAGAGTTCCTGGAATCAATCTCGTGGGGTTTCCCCGTGATCTCACTACCCACAACTTCCGAAGGTAACTTGTGCTCTGCCGCGTAACCGTCCACCTCTGCGTACTTCTGCGGTGTAGTTCCCTCGACCTCATGCATCGGCTGCGGCATAGTCATAGCCACATCCTCAAGCGGTGGTGGAGGAGGCGGCATCGTGCCACCATTACCTTCTCCAGGTTGGTAAGCTCCTGCCTCTGCTTGCTTTCTTTTCTTCTTGAGCAGGAAGAACATAAAACCCGCCGCTGCAATACCAGCAGCACCAACGACGCCGCCAACCACACCGCCAATAATGGCACCAGTATTTGTCGACTTCGAGGAGCCTCCAGATTTTGACCCTGAATTTGAAGACGATAGGTCTGACTCAGATGTTGCAGTTTCTGAGGCAGAAGATGACCCAGAAATTTGGACTGAAGTCGCCTTGTCTACCTTCTCGGAGGTGGCAGCTGTGCCTGAAACATATATGTCGATCCAGCTAGCATCAACGACCTGAGGTCTTATGGCCGCGACGGTGGGATAGATGGCTTCTAAATCAGTGGTCGTAGCGGTGCCAGCCTGAGTGACCGAGTGACCACCCCCAGTAGCCGAGTTTGTATCCCAAGTATCCACTACAGCAATCAATGCTAGGGTTTGAGTTGTCTTGGTGTAGTGGCAGCCGTAGTCGGTTATGTCTAGCTGGGGGTATACCCATGTTCGACAGTCGGGGTAGTCTGAATCGGTACAATACAGGGCGAATATGTTCGTGGGATAATTCAAGACTGAAGGAGTTGCAGAGACCTGTTTGCTGTTGTAGCAGACTGTCTCCCAGGTGCAATCTTCTGGTTTGCCACCATCACAACAGCCTACCATTCCAGGGTAATTGCTATCGGAAGTATGGAAGACACATTGGTAGTTGTCCAGGCATCGAATCGATGAATCTGGAAAGCATGAATATTAGCTACCTACATCTTTTGTTGAAGAGACGTCGACTAAGATAGGGGGAAAAAACGATTAACTAGACACCTACAGTCATCCCAAACACCATCAATATACCCACACACACTTTGTGGCATCCACGAGGTAACTGTTGTTGAAGCAGACGGGAAATAGAGCAAGCTCGATTCAGCTGCAATGAACGAGCTCACAAATGCATCCTCATCATCACCACGGCGCAGAAAACCCCTCCTGTAATCCACTGCGGCAGTCGGCTCAGGGTAATCCGGCTGTAAGGCTGCATGGCCTGTGGCAGTGGGATCAGTGCCCGGGAATGTAATCGCCCACGTCAGAGGGAGAAAAGCAAGACCGCACAGGCCGATCGTTCGTCTCCAAAGCACCATCATTCAAATCGTACGCAAACTTGAAAGATGCAGGTTTGGGGAGGAAAAAGGCTCAGGCTTTACGGATACGACGCCTTGCCGGTACGCTATATACATCGGGTAAAAGTCGGATCATCCCCCCTCAAACATCCATAGATTTTAATCTCCCAATGTCTCGCTATCAGGGGCACCGACCCTGTCAGCCTCAGGTCCCTGTAAGCAAGCTAATGGCCTCGCCCATCGAGCACCCACTTTTTGTGCTGGTGAGATCGGTTTTACTGGTTTATAAAGGAGACGAGTCGGGCTTGGCGGCGCCAGTGGCTTCTAGACCTAACTCTGAATTGGGGAATACGAGACGAGGTTTCTGGTGATAACACTGAGAGTTTAGTAATACCAACTGAAGAGATGCTTTAAAAACTTAGACATATTCTAATGTATATAGTTTCTTTCGTTGAATTGGGATCAAAACTGTGAACTGTTGTTCCGGTTCAAGAACGATCGGAACATTCCACCCACATGGAGAGCCTCGTTGACGAGAACCGGACCCTGGCACTAATCCATAACAGGATATTTATTGGATGATCGCTTTTTTCTCAAACAGTGAGCAGTCTGGAAGTCTGTAGATTGGAGTAAGCCAATCCAAGCTCGTCTGACTCGCTCGGCAACAACCAAACAAGTGAAAATCCAGATATCAATTCTACCTGACTGGGTGAATAGCGAAAACCATGAGTATACAGAGTACGTACCCTCAAAATATCAAATTCGACCTACAATAATTTCAGATACTCTTCGAGTTGGCTGTAGGGTGAAACAAATGTGTGATGGCGCAAGAAGAATAAAAATTGCAAACAAAATCCATTGGGTATACTGGGTCCAAAGAAAAACACTCATCGCTCTAATAAAACCACACAGAAAAAGACGTTCCGATCATTAAACCCCACACAGAAACTCCAAACTATTGCTCCGAAGCCAGCTCAGAACTTCTCGCTTGTCACACAGCGCGTCGCCCTCACCAGCAGCCATGCCAAGAGCTTAACGGCAAGTGTCAACCCCTTGACGAATAACTCCAATCCCCAAAACAGAAGTTTCAGGATGGTCCGAGTAATCCCTGGCATTTTCTCGCCTTTACGAGAAGATTCAGGGCCATACCGACCGTATTTTTCGAGATCGAATTCTTCAACAACAACCTGCTGGTCTTTATTCTTGCCTTTCTTGGCCGTGCGTCCGTCAACAGATGACGAGGAACTCGGCTTAATTCGTTCCCAGAACTTGAAGAGGCTCTTCCGCTTCGCCGCGGCTTCGGCCTTTGCATTGGCATCTTCAATTTGAGATGCTAGATGTAGACTCTCTGCGTAGTCTTCGCGCTCGGCAAGAGTCGTGACGAGTCTCCCGCGGTAAGGCACTCCAACCATCGGCTCACTGTTCATAGATGACTCAAATGAGTGGTGGGTACTACCAATCTCCATGTCGGCAAGAATGGGATTGGTGATCTCGTCAGAGACAGCGACTGCAAGCATTGCCGCGACGAGTGAATCGATCGCATAGAGCGAGGGAATAGTCGCGATGACTGCAGCTGGGGAGATAGAAAGAGTTCGGGTTGCCAGATCAAGAGCCGCCAGCGGTTCGTCGGAGTCGGTAACGGGCAGTATGGATGTTCGTGCCGTAGCAGCCTGTTGCGCAGCCTCCATGGAGACCGGTCCAGTGACAATGATAGTTGGCGGTTGGGTAAGTACTGCGTCGCTCGAAGGCGCAGATACAGCGATATGAAGCATACCCGAAGACTGAGATCGTACAGGGGAGAGAGGAATGCCCGCAGCTCCAACCAAAGCCGGCGGTTGGCGTTTCGACAGTGATGGGTGACGAAGCTCGTAAAGGCGTAAATTACGATTCCAGGACAGTCGACAGGACTCCTGTGCGGCAGCTCGCTTAAGGGCATTTCTCTCTATTTCACCAGCCTCGGAGGGGGTAAGTTGATGCTCTTTGCTGACTTCAGCTGCTTGCTCGATGGCAAGCATAGCAGCTAGTCTGGAAAAGAGAAGGGCCACGAGTCCGTCGTTGGGATGCTCTCTGCGTCGGCGCTCTTCGAGACTCAGACCCATGATTGGGATATCACTTTCTGGATTTGATGGCGCTCCACGAGAAATAGCTATTTCGTTATTCGAATAAGTTTGCAGCGAATAAAATGGTTGGCTAGAGTTCCCGAACGTGAATGTCGCTGGGCCGGTTCTGGGGTAGAAGTTAGCAAGTTGACTTGACCAGCAAAGAGCGTTGGGCATGAAATACCTTGTCAAGCGAAGGTTGACTGTACCGCACGGGTTCCGTGGTCTTTGACCGTTGGCTGCTTCCCAAAGCATTTCCAATTCCTGGACAGAGGAGTATCGGATCTCCTCTGGCTCCAAGGCACCAGTTGGAAAGTTGAACACGCTTGCAGGGACAGTCTTTGGCCCAAGAACATGGTCGATATCAGAAGTTGTAGTTAGTGTGAGGTTTGGCCTGCGATTACGCTTGGGCTTGGGGGCTTCGGTAGGCATTTGTGAATCATTATTTTGTGTGTTGAGCGAGGTCTTTGGATCAAAACGAGGGAACATCGACCTCATCGGCAGGGGAGAAACGGAAGATTGGGAAGATTGAGGTGAGGTAGTTGAATTCGTATTCTGATCATTGTTGCTACTACTATCGCCGGCGCTGCCTTGTGAGGGCAAGGGCCGATGGCTCATCGGACTGGTGTTTTGATGCCGTCGGTTGCGAGGAGACTGCGGAGATCTCGAGCGTTGGGAAGATTGCGTGGCTGGTGACTTTGATCGTGCGAAGTTTGTAGCAGGTAAAGCCGGTGGAGGTGGAAATTGTTGAGTGTCTTCGATAATTTGAAGCAATACCGACTCGGTATTGCTTGAGCTCTTGATCTCCTCAAGCGGAATGGGAGATGGCGGTTCATTCTTCGGAACAGGCTTTTTGGCACCTTTTCGAAATGGATTTCTTTGTGCTCTAACCTCAGGCGAAGGAGGCGGAAACAATTGAAATTGACTCATTGTGTTGATTTGCGATGGGATACACTTCCGTGCTGAGTATCAATGCACTGGAGTAGGAGTCCCGGGGCAAACATAGGATTTACGAACAAGAACCGACCAGGGGGGCGTTTTGAAAGACATATAGACCATATCAACCGCTGGGCCCTACATGCTGCAGAAATGCAGCCATGAGCCAAAGCGCGTCGAATGTGACAAGCCCTATTTTTAGGGGCGGCGCCTAGGGTATAGCGGCCGTGATTGGCTGCTGCAGTGGGATGAGAACAGTGACTTGAGCGACCGGCGCGTCGAGCATACTTGCTGATTGGTTTCATCTATGCCACAGGTGGGAACGGCATTTCCTTTTTGCAAATCTGTCTTGACTCTGGCGTTCCTGGATATTAATTGGCGGTCGACTCGGTAGGAATCTCATGGCTAAGTTAGCGCCCCGAGCAGTCGACGCATACAAACCAGGTGCTTGACGTAGAAAAAGAAGCTAAAAAGACAATTAGTTTCTTCAATTAACGGTAGTCCCCAGTATGCGATGCTGGTTGGCTGTTTGTCAATTAATCGAACCGGTTAGTTCAAGATCCTGACCCCCACCACCTGTAAATGCGGGGATAAGTCGATAGAAAGAAATAGAAAGACACCAGTCTATTGAGCGTTATATTTACATCATATAGTACAGTATACTGCTTCGAAAGTGCTCAAGCTGAGGCTTGGTCATGCACAGAATACATCAGACCCTCGGCCATCGCAATTGCACCTTCCATATCACCCTTATTATATAGGAATAGGCCTTGCAAAGCAGCCGCGCTAGTAGTCTTGGAACGGTCTGCCTTCTGGCCATTCTCATCCTCGATCAAACCAAGCTCCTGGAGTCGGTTGAGGAAGATCTGGCGATGCGTGCCCTCGGGATCTATTTCTTCGTAAAAACGATCCCAAAGGCGGGAAACTTGATAGCGAGTAATTTCGCCAAGGCGAACAGTCATGTCGACACGGCCAGGTCGGACCAAGGCTTCGTCCAGTCGCTCGACGTGGTTGGTGGTAAGAAAGACGATACGCTCCTCGGCACTGGCAACGCCATCAAGTGTATTCAACAGACCGGAGAAAGTCACATTGGCTCCACGGTAGCCATCGGCTTCAGACTGTGTGCGTCTGTTGGAAAAGGCCGCATCGACATCCTCCAGCAAAACTAAAGTTCGGTTCGGGACAATAGTCAAGAGATGGTTCAACCGATCATCCGTAAGCCCGCGCTCACTGAGATTTAGGATGGCAATATCGTAGTCCAGCTCGCCAGCAAGCGCTTGGATGAATGAACTTTTACCGGTACCTGGGGGTCCGTAGAGCAAGTATCCACGTCTGTATGGAATGCCGCGATCGTGATACCAGGAAGCGCTCCCGATAAAGTCTTGCACGTCATCAACAATACGTTCTTTAACCCCCTCGGCGAGGACCACTGACTCGAGCGGACGCTTCCGTCGTGGATGTCCAAATGGCCGCCATTCCGTTCCCCAGCTGTTATAAATGGTTGTCTTTCCTTCGTGTGATTTCGCAGCGTAATCATGGGCCTCGGTAAAAAGATCCTCGAATATGTGACGGTGGGAGTAGAGAGTGGTCAAGGTAATCGTTTCCCAAGGTTTGCCGGTTTGAATGTCGCGGGACTTAGATTCCCGCATACGGTTGACAAAGATGAATGCGTTTTTGTAACGGAGGACGTGTTTTCCAGGGCCTGGTACCAGAGAAAAGTGTGTTTGGATCGCGCCGTTTGCCCGTTCGACTTTGGAGGTCTGTATGGAGAGGTGTCGCATGCCGGGGGTCATCTTCTGGAGCATGCGATCGAGGAGACCGGTATTTTGGGCGGCGGCACGCGTAGCGGAGTGTTGTGATTGTTGATAGAGGGTCATCCAGTGTAGGAACCATGGGTATGAATCATCTTTAATGCTGATCTCGACGTCTACTAGCATACGGCGACGGAGTAGAGCTGCACCGTGACGGAAACCCTTTTGCGCAAAGGTCAAACCTGCACCCAAACCTGCTAGCCCAAAGCCCTAGGGAAAGATCCGCGTTAGACAAAAAAAAACCATGTCAATTGAAGCTAATTGGACCAAGCATACCGCCGTGAACAAAGGATTATTTGTTAATTGGGAAAAAAGGCTGCCGTCACCATTTTGCGCCGCTTGTTGCGCATTCTGGACCGCCTGTGTCTTTTGCTGCAAGATCAGATCGCCTGCAGATGGCGCAGCACTGGAAGCTCCATTTGGCTCCATGCTGGCCGAGTCGAAGGGTAATATAGAAGCAGTATTGACTGGAAGTGTTGTCTTCCAGAGAGAAGGTACCGTTGAAAGGGTCGACGATAAGAAACTATCGATATCGGAGTTATAACGGGCCGGGCTGGCGTGACGGTGACGGAGACCCTAGACCTTGGGTGCTTCGACTACGCTAATCGGTGATCACTGTTATTTATCTGTTACTACAATCTTGGACTATGGCTGGTAAACTGTTGATCGGCTGAGAGCTCCATCCCTTCCCCCTCTCCGGAGTCGATCATGCGGGGGGGAACGGCCTTCACATGGAGCCGACGGAGGGCGAGACTGGCCAACTCCGCCTCGGAGATATCGGGGCCAAATCGATTGGGTCTTCTTCAAAACCTTCCGCATTCTTCCCAATAATAGCGGCCTGGCGCAGGGTTCGCGGTCGAGTGCATTGGGGTGTATTTAAAAGCGTTAGCATCCCCTCATGCTTGCTTTTCTACAGCGTCCCCGAATTTGTCGGCGGCCGAATTACTTCACTTCCACTTTCTATTCGCCCGTCCGCAATATGGGCTCGACCACGACTGGTGTGCTGTACGCGTTGACAGTGGCCACCTCCCCAGCCAGGCCAGCCCCCGAGGATGTCTTGGAAAAGAGTCATCATGGAAAATCGGGATTCAGAAACCCTTGGGAGTGAGTGGTCGCGTTTGCTGACGCCTTCGGTTGTCGCATGATCCTAACCCGAAATTTTCCTCGTTCAGCTCATGGAAAGATGTGGATTTCAGTAATGTCCGCGAAATGCTCATGTAAGTGTTCTGGAAAAGCCGAAAAGAAAAGAAAACCTGGAAGTCGATGATCTAATCGGTTTTCTCTTCTTTTTGTGATAGGCGTCGCTTGACCGGCAAAGCCAATGTACCCGACACTACAGGCCCAACCGTCACGGTTCGAAAGCCCGAATTCCTCCCAACTCGAGATACCACAAAACTTCGGGCAACATGGCTAGGACACGCCTGCTATTATATTGAATTCCCTGGTGGTCTTCGGGTTCTTTTCGATCCCGTATTGGACAAGCACTGCGGTCCTTACGGCCTGCTGGGACCGAAGCGATACACGCCCGCTCCCTGTGAGATCAAAGACATCCCCTTGATCGATGCTGTGGTCATTTCACATAATCATTATGATCATCTCTCCCACCCTGGTGTGACTGAAATCGCCAAGTTACACCCCAACTGCCATTTTTTTCGTTCCGCTGGGTAATAAGTCCTGGTTCCATAGTTGCGGAATCGAGAAGGTGACGGAAATGGATTGGTGGGATGAGCGCGACATCACTCTGTCCCCATCAAATGATGAGAATGCCCAAATGGAGGTTACAGGAAAAGCTACAATTGGACCGGCGGAGATTAGGGCTCGGCTTGGGTTCTTGCCCTCTCAGCATGTTACCGCTCGCACACCCTTTGACCGCTTCAAGACTCTATGGGGTTCTTGGTCTATTGAGTCTGGAGGTAGCAAGGTGTATTTCACAGGGTCAGTCATTTACGATGCCATTGAGTCGAATATAGGTGAACTAACTGGTCGAACAGCGACACTGGTTACAAAGCAGTTCCTGAGCTCCCCGAAGGTGAAGATGACCACGACGCCAAGTACGACTACCCTACCTGTCCCGCATTTAAACAAGTGGGCGAATTCCGAGGTCCCTTTGACCTGGGCTTGATTCCTATCGGAGCATATGCCCCTCGTCATATCTGGAGCCCGGCACATGTGGATCCCCATGATGCCGTTAATATTTTCCAGGATACCAAGTGCAAGAACGCACTTGGAATGCACTGGGGAACGTGGGTTCTTACTGAGGAGGATGTTCTTGAGCCCCCGGAGAAGCTGAAGACCGCACTGAAGAAATTCGGCATGCCTGAAAAGGGTGTCTTTGACGTGTGTGAGATTGGCCAGAGCCGGGAATACTGATCTTGGGATAATATCTACCCAGATATTGATTTTTTGTCGTGGTGCACTTATATAGAGGTTCATAACAAGCGCGGTGTACACTACATGGAGGGGTTGAAGATACTGTACGATAGGAGAGAGTCGGATCGGGTTGAGATACACCAACTCTATAAGCATTTGAATTGTGATCTATACTACCGAATCTACTCATCATACTAATCCCTGGAATTACCATTAGTAGTAATTACTAGTCCTACATAGTATTATTGTTCCAACAGATTGAAGTAAATAATCTTCCACCGCCTTCGGTTTGACTGGTTTGCTGTTACCCGTTCGGGTTTAGTGTGGTTAGTCCAGAAGCTCCCACTTTGGAAATTTGGCGGGCATCGACGTGGATCCGAGTTGGCTTCTCCTGACTGTTCATTTTCTCGGGAGCTCTTCTTATTTCGATTTTATCGTCCCTGAGCCCGCTTCATTCTTTCCATCAACCCTCCGTTATATTACCGCAAATATGCAGGCTCCGGTGGTGGTGATGAGTTCGTGCCCCTCTTCGGTAGCGCCGATGACATTGCTAACCCCTCGACAGACACCAATGCCGGTGACCGACAAGTCGGCCGTCGGGCACAACTGTCGAACATTACCGCTGCAAAGACGTACGATTCAATTTGCCCCCTCGCGATATCCTCCGCATAACACTAATCGAATAACCCCTTAGTGTGGCCGACATCATTCGGTCATGTCTCGGTCCCAAGGCGATGCTGAAGATGCTGCTCGACCCAATGGGCGGTATCGTGCTCACCAACGATGGCCACGCTATTCTGCGTGAAATTGAGGTGTCTCACCCCGCCGCTAAGAGTATGATCGAGCTCAGCCGTACTCAAGATGAGGAAGTCGGTGACGGAACCACAACGGTCATCATTCTCGGTACGACTCTCCCCTATCTCGAAGATCCCCCCGGGTAAAAAAATATACTGATAACATGGTAGCCGGTGAAATGCTTGCCCAGGCCCTCCCTCAGCTCGAACGTAACATCCACCCCGTCGTCATTATCTCTGCCTTCAAGCGCGCTCTCGCCGATGCTCTCACCATTATCGAGGAAGTCTCCACCCCGGTCGATATCCACGATGACAAGGCCATGTATAACCTGATCCAATCCTCCATCGGAACCAAGTTCGTCTCCCGGTGGTCTGAGCTCATGTGCGGTCTGGCATTGAGCGCCGTCCGTACAGTTTCCTTTGATGCAGGTGGTGGAAAGCAGGAGGTGGATATCAAGCGCTACGCGCGTATCGAGAAGATCCCCGGCGGTCAAATTGAGGACTCCGAGGTTATCGATGGTGTCATGGTCAACAAGGATATCACCCACCCCAAGATGCGGAGGCGGATCGAGAACCCCCGCGTTCTTCTGCTTGACTGCCCGCTCGAGTACAAGAAGGGCGAGTCCCAGACCAACATTGAGGTCTCCAAGGAGGACGACTGGAACCGCATTCTGCAGATTGAGGAGGAACAAGTGAAGCACATCTGCGATGCTATCATCGCATTCAAGCCTGATCTCGTCATTACCGAGAAGGGTGTTTCTGGTAAGCATCTCAGCGGTATACAGCCGTGATCATTTTTCTAACCTATAATTCTTCCACTAGATCTCGCACAGCACTTCCTGGTGAAGCACAACATCACTGCTCTCCGCCGCGTCCGTAAGACCGACAACAACCGTATCGCCCGTGCCACTGGTGCCACTATCGTTAACCGTGTCGACGACATCCAAGAATCGGACATTGGTACCCGCTGCGGTCTCTTTGAGATTGAGAAGATTGGTGACGAGTATTTCACATTCATGCGCAAGTGCACGGCCCCCAAGGCCTGCACTATCCTGCTGCGCGGTCCCTCCAAGGATATCCTGAACGAGATTGAGCGTAACCTGCAGGACGCCATGTCCGTTGCCCGCAACGTGATCTTCCACCCCCGCCTTGCTCCCGGTGGTGGTGCCGTCGAGATGGCTGTCTCTGTCAAGCTCAGTCAGATTGCCCGCTCTATCGAGGGTGTTCAGCAATGGCCCTACAAGGCTGTTGCGGACGCTATGGAGGTCATTCCTCGCACATTGGCTCAGAACGCCGGCGTCAGCCCTATTCGCGTGCTGACCCAGCTGCGCGCCAAGCATGTCGAGGGCCACTCCACCTGGGGTCTGGATGGTGACTCTGGCAAGCTGGTTGATATGAAGGAGTACGGTGTGTGGGAGCCCGAGGCCGTTAAGCTTCAGAGCATCAAGACGGCGGTTGAGGTAAGCTCTCCTGATCCCACCAATAGAATTTTCAGTTTCATTTTGCTAACGAATAACACAGTCCGCATGCCTGCTTCTTCGCGTCGACGACATCTGCAGTGGTAAGTCTGCCCAGCAGGTCAGCGGTGGTGGCGGTGGTGGTGAGGAGTAAGTAATAGATGAGTATGACCAAGAACCAAAAAAGACCATGATTTGGACCTGAGGTCCGTACATAATGCTACACGATTACCTCTGGGGTATTTCTTATATGTACAAATATCCTAGACCAAAATGAACTGTCATATGGGTATCTTTGTAAAATTATAGTACATGGCGATCGTGCTAGTCCCTAGGGTAGTCTAATAGCCGTCTTTTGTGAACCAGTTCAATCCTCATCGTGAATAATCACACCGGGGACCTCCTCGTACTGTGGCTGCCCATCAGTAGTCCCATCTTGGCCCTGTTGCTGGCCCGGGGCTCGGGGGCCCTTCATGCCACCTTTACCACCAACCTCCGTAACCGTACCAGGGGCCTTGGCCTCCTCCGGACCCTTCTTATTACCCCTCGCAGCCTTCTTCTTCTCCCTCCTCCTCCGATTCTTCTCAGTTTTCTCATCGTCCTTGCGCTTCGTATCCTCGCGCTCCTTCTCCCAATCCTTATCACCCTGATCTTTATCAACCTCCGACTGCATCAGGCGCAATCGCTCATATTCGCGCCGCCGGCTAGCCTTGTAGACATGGAATTCGCCTGATCCCGCACCGGCCGAGGAACCCTGTACGTTGGCGACGATCTCTGGCGGCGGTGCGAGGGAGTTTGCGCTTCGCTTGTTTCCGATGCCAGGTAGTGCGACCTCCTTCGACGGGTCTTTGAAGAGTGTATCGACCTGGCTTGCGTGTTCGGATCGGGGGGTCACGGCACGACGCTTGGTCGGGCGCTGGCTGCGCGGGTCAGCGCTTGTTGGGATGGATTCGCGACCAGGCTCGGACATTGCGATGGCGTTGGAAGGGAGTTTCGAAGTGAGGAATCTTGTTGAGTAATTCGATATTTGAAGAGCTGTTTGCCCCGGTCGTAAAGGTTTCTGGCGGGTGGTAGCGTTCTCTTGTTCTTTTTTTCCGGAGCAATCGAGGCTCGGATGGGTGGTTTTGATATGGCGTTTATTGGCGCCGGAGGTTGTTCGGGTCTAGGACACAAATGGGAATTGGGCGGCGGTATATTATTGAGAGGGCAGCGCAAGTGTTTGGATGTGCTATCGAGTCCACGAGACGAGGATTCCGTGCTTGGTTTAGATACTCGTAGTCATGGATTTTGAAGGTGAGGCGGATGCTGGTCAAATGTCGATGCGCTAACCGTTTTCGGACAGCTGAAGTATAGGCTAAGCTTGGGAAGCGTCGGAGCCTGATCAGTTATCTTGATCATTATCCCCTTTCTACTTATATGACATTGAAATTTTACCGTGACTATACGTCAACTCAGCGACGAATAGACTATAAATATGGTCTAGTAGTTGATATGTAGAAGTAAACTTTCGGCATAGGGAAATGACCCAGCTGAGTCGGAGCTTGGTTCTTCCGCTGGGGTACATGTAGTACACATTTCCCTTTGACGAGGGCTTTGTGAATATTGTACTGGTGATGGATAACCTTTGTCTTCTATGACATTCTATTCCATACTCGTATCAATGGTATCAATGGTATAATACTAGTATAGTATATAGTGCTAGTAAATACTGGTAACTGCTGGTAACTGGTGGTAACTGGTGAAGTGCTGGTGAAGTGCTGGTCGCAACTGCCTGTTTCCCCCAACGTCACTTGCACTTGCACTTGCACCCTTCACCCTTCACCACGGAACTTTTCACCTGGCAACTTCCAATCTCTCCCATTCCTCACTCCTCCCTCCCAGTCATTCCTGGTTGTTAACAGTACTTCCCAACATTTCTTTTTAAACATCGATTTCTCATCGATCGCGCATACCACAATGCCGTACCGCTTCGGTCAGTCCAAACTGCCCCCTCGATCTCGTGCTGCCCGTTGTCCAAAGAGACTTGATGGCCACATCATCCACACCAACCATTTGCATGAAACAATAGCTCGTGTTTATCGAGGGAGAGAATATTTTTCGCTCTACTTTTCTATCGGCTCCTCTACCCATGGACGAAATTCTTTAGATTTCCAAGAGCACGCTTTGCGCCCGAAGCAGTCCACTTGCGCTCCCTCTCCACGCTGCTTTCTATCTTCTGATGCCATCCAGCACACTAAGGAAAATTAGAATTTTCAGTAGCTGACTGAAAATACAGAGCTCTCGGCCAACAATCGTGCGGGCTGCCAGACCAAAGAATGCAAAGACAACAAGGTCAAAATCAAGAAGGGTGAGCTGCGCGTCGGCAGCTGGATCGATACCGAAAAAGTCCAGTACTGGTCCTGGCGCCACTGGTAAGCCCTTATGATTAATCCCGACTATTCCCTTTTCTAACACCCTCTCTAGGGGCTGCACCACGCCTCGTGTGCTTTTGAACATCAAAACCTCCATCGTCGACTCAGAGGACGACAAGCAACTTGACTTCGATGCTTTGGATGGCTTCGACGAGCTCTCTCCCGAGCATCAAGAGAAGATCAAGACTGCCCTCGAAAAGGGCCAGATCGAAGATGATGAATGGAAGGGTGTAAGTACTCTAACGCCTGGGTTCCATTTCAGTGCGTTGACAAAATCCTGCTAGGACATCGCGCACAACCGCCCCGGCATGACTGGCATGTTTCCCCGCAAGCCCAGAGCTAAGGCTGTATCTGAGACTCCATCTCCAGTATCTCATGACTTCTATTCCTCGAGATGTGCTGTTGATGACTGATCCTTCTTTTAGAAGAAACCCAACCCGGCGCCCGCCGAGGGTGTCACGACCGAGGCCAGTGACGAAGCCAAAAAAGAAAAAGCAGCCCAGCCAAAGCACAAAGCCAAGAGCAAAGCAAGTGTCAAAGCCAAGGGCAAGAATGAGGCCGATACTACAGATAAAGCTTCGTCCAATGAAAAGAAGCCCACCGGAAAGCGCAAGAAGGCTGCTCCTGCTGAGGTGGCCACTGACGATACACCTATCAATGGCGATCGCAGCAACGAGGAAGATGAACCTGCTCCCAAGCGCAAGAGAGCGACCCGTGCCAAGAAAGTGGTCGCTGAGGCAGAAGCCGACGAGAACACCAAGGTCGAGAAGCGAGCCCGCCCTGCTAGGAATGCTGCCAAGGCCAATGGAGGTCGTGCTAAGAAGACTACTCAAGAGAAAAATACTGAGGGAAAGACTGCTGACAGCACGGAGAAGCCCAAGCGTGGCCGTCGCAAGGCAGCAGTGCGACAGGAAGCTGATTAGGTCAACATACTCAGTCAACATACCTAATTTACCTGTCTGGCTACTTGATTAGCACCTATGTCTCACATACTTAATGATTCATCACCACATGTTTGCTCTACTTGATAAGTTTTATTCTTAGCCAGATATCACGCAAAAAGATCAAACTTAGCTCAAAAAGCTCAACTACCTCATAACAATACCGATAGTTGACATAAAAGATCACTATAAAATCATAATCAAGCCAGAAAGAAAGCAATCCTAGCAACTTGAACTGCACCCCACTCGTAAGAATATGTGTGACCACCCACTTACTGGTCTTGTTAGAACGCATCATGAACGCCCAAATCCTGCACTTTGTCCCAGCATCCTTGCCTTCCTATCCCGTCATCAAATTGGCCCCACAGATCCCTCTCCTATCGCCTTCAATTTAATTTCCATCCACTCCCCGGCTCCAGAGTAGAGCCTGGACATCCATGTACCTTTCCTGGTTATTTTTCAGAACTTCCCTGCGCTTGTCTTGAACCGACATACGCAGAAGCGGGTACGAATTCATGACTTTCCAAAACTTCTTCCCATCGTCGTACTGGAAAATATCAATTGTTTCGGCGATGAACGCCACGATCCACTCCTGAAAAAGATCGCCAGCAGTCAAATGTACTGGATCAATGATGCGGATAACTTCGAGCAGGGGCTGAAGCTGATAAATGCCCGGATATGAATTCCATGCAATTTGCAGTTTCTGAATGATGTCCACCATCAAAAGCTTGATATCAAAAATCCGAGCCTGTTTATAAAGCCGACCGAGATTGAGTATCAGCTTTTGTAGACCCTTGATATCGTCCTTGCCCTGCAGCTGTATACCCTGCAGCTGGAGCTTCCGGCCAATTCTCAGGATATCACCTATCTGTCGCGTTTGGCTTTCGTCGTTGGAATTTTCTTCTCCGGCGTTATTCGCGAAAGGGACTGGATCCTTGACTTCGACAACCCGAGGGTTGAAATGACCAGAATTGACAAACATGCAGATCTGTTCGGCTTCTGGTTGATCCTCAACATCAAGATTATGTTGAAAAATTCTTCGGATTGTAGAGCGGTATTCATCGCGCAGAAGAAAATGATTCTGAACCTGTCGGAAGTTCATTCCCAGAACAAGTTCTTTCTGTTGGCTCTCTTCTGGGCCTTCTACTTCCTCTTGCTTTATGTAAAGCATGGGTGTATTGACAGTTAAGGCCTAGCCCTGTTAGTAAATATTATGCATGATTTTTGCATATTTCCGATGTAAGACGACTTACTGGGAACCGAGCAATATTGGAGCCAGCGGGTACGGATCTTTCACTCTTTGCTTCTTCTATATCCGACGAAAGGTCATCCGAATCCGAATCGGAAGAGATTTTGGCAAAGACATGGTCGTAGCCATCTGGTCGAATAAGCTCCATCTCCTTGCCACGCTTACCTTTCATGATTTCTTCATCATCGGCCATTTTAAGCCAGAAATCGATTTCGGGGGACATCCTCGCCAGGTTGAGAACTTCCTGGAATAGCTTCTCATCTTCTTCTCCGAAGATAGCAGAGTATCTGGCCGGTGGTTTCTCGGGCAGATTGAAGAGCTCTTTGACAGAAGCGTAACGGCTACCGAATTTGTTAGTAAAGGTAGCTATTCTATTATAGCAGACATTCAGGTAGGTGAGTGCTTTGAAAGATCCTTCGATACAAGAGTAGCTAACTTGAGTGGAGTAGCCAACTTACAAGGTGTTTCTTGCGGGTAAGAAGCACGGATAACACCTTTCGCTGGTGGGCGTAATCCAGGTTCCGTCGGCAGGTTTCGCCTCGGAGGGCCGACGATGAAGTCCATGGCGCTCAATTTCGTCGTCCGGGAGAATGATAGCGACCCAGATATCTGTCTTGTAGTCCCGACGAGCGCTTTTAAAGCGATGGAGGTAGGCTTGGCCGGGGTGCAGCTCTACCATTCGATTGGCAGGCTTTAGGCCCTGCGCAAACATAACTCGCTGTGTCATATTTGAAGGAAGTGTTTCGTCCTGAAAACGGAATAATTGAAGGTGTTAGTTCAGTGAGACGGAGTGAGTAGGGAACAGAACTGAACAGGTATGGCGGATAAGTGGAGAACTGGGTAGGTACCTAATTTGGCGAGAATGTAGGCGAAAGGGTAGATTATGAGATTGAAGCGGTCGAAAAACTTCAGCAAGATTCTCAAGGAGAAGGGAGATGTAGAAGAATAGAAGTAAGACGAAGGAAGAAGACGTGTAAGAAGGATTATAAGCCAGGCATATAGTAAGAGGTAACGAATAGATGAAGCGTATTTTGAAAGGGAGAATACGCCGCGATGGTGATGGTACAAAATTGAAAAAACACCCCTTTAGGCTTACCGTTGCGTTGGTTGGTGTGAAGATCATCGAATGCAATAGAAGTAAAAGAGGTAATGGTGCGAGGAAAAGATCATGAAGGAAATAAATAGATGAAGAAGAAGAAGAATGGCATGGCTTTGAAGCGTGCAGAAGTTGAAATGCAAGATGTAAGGTAATCGAAGAAGGTAGTCCGTGGCTAAAAGAAGAAGGTTGGAAAGACTCAGCGACTTTGATATGTCAAATTCTGTCAAGGACTCTTCGTACAGACTCGAACGATAGATTGTGATGAAAGAGATAAGTTGAAGAAGAAAAAGACATCACGGGAATAAAGGTCAAATACTATACGAATCATTGTAGACGTCACAACACCCGCCTAACTGAGAGAAATTTCCAGGATACGCTTTTCCCAGATACAAAAAAAAGGACACGACATACAGAATTATCATTTCAGGTTTACTTGAAGAAGATTGAGGTGGCCGGATTTCTCGTTTCTGATTTCTTGATAGCTAAAGAGGCTATCGGCTATGGATGCAGGCACTGTCTGAAGAAGGAGTGGAGACATAGTGTCGATAGATAGAAAATAACAGACAAGACAACGGAACAGACAATACAGACAATACGCGGAAATTTCGTCGGTGGTTAGAACGTCAAGGAGTGAAGAGATTAACGCAAGTCAATGTCAAAAACCTCAAGGCCGCGGGTACAATTAAAAATGATTCGGCGGTTTCTTCAAACCAAGCAAATGACGACCAACCTCGATGGAAAAGAAGAGGCAACCTGCTGTCAAAGCAAAGGGGCGACTGGCCAAAATCGCAGTTGAATGGTCATTCTGGTTCATAAGCAATCCTTCCTATCCAATTCAAAGTCAATTTGTGTTGTTTATGCCACAAAATCGAGAACCGTAAGGACGACGAGACAACCAACTAGAACAACAGCTTCGGGGTCCGTCTGAGGCTGTTATAGAATAAGCATTCCAATGCAATAATTTGGGGACAATATAAGTAGCAGTCAACGAAACCTGACAAGATCAGGTAACAAACGAGGAAAGTTGAAGGAATCCTACCGGATCTCCGCAAGGTCATCCATATGGTTGCACATAGCCACAAAAAGGTCGAAAAATAACTTGCCACCGCTCTCCATCTCCATCTGCATGGTTCCACTTCTCTTGAAAGTCTTGCGACTTCGGATAATGAGAGCCAGATAATGAGCGCGCAGTCGAGACTCGGAATCCGGAGTGTTGTCGTACGCATAGCGAGCAGACCGTAAGATCACATCAGCGGGGATATCAGTTTGAAGACCTTGCTTACGGAGAGCAATGCGCTTCAAGTCTTCCAGACCGTACTTCTCGGCAGTACAATACACCACCGTATCCCGAAGAACGATATCTCCCACGCCTGGGTGGAAGAAAGTCGCCTCACTCGACCCGCGGCCACCATTGTTATTGGTTTCCTGGGCATTCTCAAGGTACCAAGAGTCCCGACGCTTGCCACGCAGCAAGCGTGGGTAGTAATCACCCTTGTACAAAAACTCGAGAATGCACGACAGGATTTCGGGCTCCCTATGTGTATCGTATTAGGCTACCATCGTGGCCGAATTTGCATCGAGGGGGGTTCTTACTCGGTGGGCAGCTCCAGTTGCTTTGTGCCTTCATCCAGAGATTTTTCCTTCAAAATAGCACGAAGATACGGCGAAAGAGACAGGACATCCTCATGTGCAGCGAAAAGACGCTGCTCTTGACCCACTATCATTGTTATGATAGGGCTAGTCAGAGCGCTATAATTATTAGATTAGTGATTGTGATTCCCAGCTTTGAGACTCGAAACTTTACCACCTTCCCACCGAAGGAGTGTCCGTGTTGCCGTCCACTTTCTCCTGCATCTTCTCTTTGGCCTGTTCGTCGTACCTCTTCTTGCCAGCCTTGACGGTCTTTCCCGCCCGGCTTTTCGAAGAAAAGGAACGCCTGAACATCACGGTGCGGACTTTCACGGTGCGGACTTGGGGATTTCGACCTGGAATATGTGCGAACCGACGAGGAAACCCTGAGCGATCAGAAGGAATGATAAGAGTTGGTCAAATGAGGGAAAAAGCGACGCTGCGGGTCACAGGAGCATGTGAGAGAGCCTGGAAAGCCGGTACCGACTCTGGCTTTCTCGTTTCATCAAGAGACGAGATGAGACAGATTTCGGATTGGGCTTTTGCATTCGCGAGTTCAAAACTCACGGCGCGGGTTGTCGACTCTGGCAAGCGTAAAGAGAAAAGGAAAAGCACGGGGGAAGAGGGGAGACCAGTGATATTTAAGACACGGGGTCAGGTGATATCAACTGCAGGTGCCGCCATCACCGGGGCGCAGGCGATGCGGCGCATTGCAAGCTCGCTGGGTGCTTTGCCAACGGGCGTCCGGAGTGTGGCGCCTAAGGTGATTGTGGGATTGGCTGGCCGCTGCACGATCGGCGTTGCGATATGCACGTCGGTTCTGCCTAGAGGAGGCTAGATCACTATACACATCGAAGAGGGGCGGTGGAGGTACGGAGTATATATCAAGGTATATATTGAATTCAATAGTTAAAATGAACCTGAAGTTGCGAAATACAAAAGGAGCCATAGGGTATTGATCATGTTGAATGCTCCAACACCTCTAGGGGCACATCTGACAAGCCACAAGTCATTGATACAACAAGTCTTTCTTGCCCGCAAGAAAAAAAAACCAGGCACTTCGGGATTCAGCACGACTGCCTTGTCGAATCAAAATGACTCCAAGCGAAGTGCCTTACTCAAAGCATCCTCTTAAGACAAAATGCCACACCCAGCAGCACCAAGCGTCACACCAAAGCTTTGAAAGTGACCAGCAGTCACGCCAATCATACCATTTCCAGCAGAGCACGACAGATCGCGCTGGCCATCGCACTTTTTACAGGTAAGCGCAAAGCCTGAGCTGTAGTACTCCTGTTTGAGACAATGGGTGTTAGAATTAGATTTCCATGAATTCGGAGGTTGGGGCAACTCACGGTCCCGTAATGCTTAAAACTGTATGGAATAGTGATGTACATGTTCTTGAATCCGGTTAGAAATAAACTCTAATACAGCAAGGCATTAGACTCAGAAGCACTCACGGGGACACCATCAGCAGCATTGTTGCCGCGGTTCAGGGTTCCCTTGAGAGATCCTGCAAAATTGGCCCAGGCTTCGTTCCCGATAGGAAAAGCAGCCAGAGCATTGCTAGTGATTGCCTTGTCGGGGAAGTTCTGCGAGAGGGCCACGTAGGATATGTAGGTAAGGGCGCCACCAAGTGAGTGTCCCGTTGACTCCAGAGTATAGTCGGGATACTTCGCGATTAGAGACTTAACCTCAGAGATCACGTCGTCATGCACAGCAGACCAGGGGCGGTTGACACCCCTCATGATTTGTACGCCTGCAGGAAAAGTGACTCCAGACAACGATGGAGTAACCAAAGTAGTATCAACATCGTTCAGAATATCCGTAACTATGGTAATTATTAGACGGATGTATGATCTCCGACGGAAGAGGTGAAATACCAGTTGTCGACCCCCTCATCACCACAGTAATTTTCTTATTATCTGTCGAATACCCCACATAGCCCTAGAAAGGTCAATTGGGAGCAAATTCTATTTTTCCGTGATCAACTCACCTGGGTGTCGGTCAAAGTATCGCGGATCTGCTTAGTGATTGTCACATCAAAAGCTTTCCCGATGCAGCCGGTATAGGCAGCAGAAGAGAGCTTCGCGGCACGGGCAAGGGGGCTGAAGGCACTGGTATCTGTTTAGATAAAAGTATCAGAGACTTTATCCCCATAAGGCAATTGTAATAGAGAGTGGGATCCGCAAACCAGTTGTAGCTCGCGATTGCAGTGTTGGGACTGCAATGGCCTGGGAGATCAAGGCAAGGAGACAGAATGCCTTCATTTTTAGATAATGTAGAAAGTTTATAAGGTAAAGTCCTTTTTATTGGTGTAGTAACTGAAGTTTTATTTGGTTGTTTTTTTACAAGAGAAAACACTGGGGAGAAATGCTGCTTAAATATTCTCTGCCACTACTAGTATACGTAACGTCAACATTGGCCTCGGTAAGAGTTGGAAAGTTCGGATGCAATACTTCGGGATATTTGTCTGCTAGTTAGAATATTCGAGATATGAGCTCCGCGACGAAAAAGGAATAACATAAAGCTAAAACAATGCTATGCAGATCGATGGAGTGACGCCCGCTCTGGTGTGCATCGGGAGTTGCAGGGTGAAAATGTATGATAGCTGGGGCAAGACGCAAAAGCGGATTGGCATTTTGACGAGTGAAACATCCGAGGCTTGGGGAAGCTTCTCGGGTTTCGAAAGGCCCTTTTCATTTTAGATTCATCGAGTAACTGGCGAGATGCGTTACCGTTGCAGTTTGCGATGCGGTCTAGTCATGCAGTAGGAGGTAGCCAAGAGAATATGCAGCCATAATCTCGAGAAGGGACAATCAAAATTTAATCATTTTGGTCAGTTTTTCCCGATTTGGTTTCCAGCCTTCAAGCTGGTTTCCCTCTTGCATGGCTCTTCGGCAAGTCCGGGGAACGGGCGTTGCGGGGAACACTAGCGGTGATGACAAGCCCGAAAATGAGGATTAGACCCTGTACTTCGTATCAATACTTGTCTGAGTAGTGGAAAATCGTGTTATATTCCAGATCATAGTCCTCTCAGTGTCGACGATCTCGTCGCAAGTCCGACCCCGCCATTCGTCTCTGCTCATCAACGTTTTGAGAGACTCTATCATAGATCAGGATGTAAAGGTTTAGGCGTCTTTCACAATATACATAGTCTTACTACGCTTGAAAATGGTTGATAAGACAAAGGTCATGCAGGATTTTAGGAAAAGGTTTTCCGTCAAGAGAAGGCGTCGGTACCGCGATGCATTTTCGTCTCTAAGTCATGCGGGGAAGGGAAGAATCCGGAGATGATTGATTACCCCTGGTTAGAATTAATCAAAATCTTCTTTTCTCACTACATGTCACTATGGCGAATCCGACCAGCCTTGCAGTGTACACGTCAAATCTTGGGAAAGGAGAATAATACGGAGTTGACATGATAATAGTGAAACTTTTCTCAGGATTTGATTGGCAAACATCCATTGCTCAAGCTGGTCTCTGCGAGTCTCGATCATGATAGCTTAGCCTGAGATCCCGAAACATCTTAGAATACCAAGATGCCGAGCCGGCAGTTAGCGATTCGGCACTTACAAAGCCGAGGCTGAGGCTTTAGAGACACCTCCCATTGATCAAAAGAGGAAATTCCCCGCGGGTCAGTATTCCTGGTTGAAATAGTATGTGTGGACAAACAACAGAGATGGGATATTCCTCCGATGCAAAGGGTTTGAAGAAGGCAAAAAGACCGATGCAGGTGGTTTGGCTTACGCCTCAGTCTTGGAAAGGTGGGGTAATTATGACATTGTGAGAGTTCAAGTTTTGGTGAATTAATACTAGAATTTGATATTAGCTCTACTAGTAGTTCATATCTTGTACTATCTCCGAGTCGCATTTACACTACTAGTATTCTCCTCACCTGCCAGTGCCAGTGGTCATGCCTTCAAGTTGTTAGCCTCGATTTCATCTTAAGGTCACACAAGACTTTAGAACTTGGAGATGCTGAGAATAGTACTATAAGGCAACTCTGACAGAGGCTCCAGGGTTGTCGGTTATCGTTTCAAGTTTTCAATGTTCAAGTTTTTGACACGACCAGTCCACCTCAGGCTGGGCGTATACTATGGATGTTGTTAGTAATAGCCCTGGGTATATATTGCAACTTGAACCACACTGTTGGGATGTATATATTTCAAATGTAGGACTAGTAGTACTAGTATAGAACTAGTAGCTATAATTCTACGGATATTATACTAGTACTTGTTTATTCCACTAGGTGACCTTTACTCTGATTTTCTTACTATGTGCTGGGAGTTCAGCCATGGAAGCAGTGGCGATCTAGGGCTGATGATGTGGCGGTGCACAGGTGTGGCAGTGCATCATGAGGGGAGTTTTTGTGGAACTGGAACTGGACAGTGTGGGGTTCGTCCCGCATGCCAGCGACCGGTGATATCATCGGGTGATCGCAACAGCTGCTCCCCCCCCCCCCCAAAAAACAAAAAAATGCGCCTGATCTCTTGAGATCGCTGATTTTACCCTTCTTCACAACTTTGTCCACCGTACTATTTCACGTTGCTTAAAACTACTACTATTGATCTTTCTGCAACCCTTGCCGCCTCGCAGGGTGATCTATCGACCCAGGGCGACGCGCTCAGCCCCCTACCTCTCTACGCGCCCATCGCGTTTCACCGGCCGTTTGTTCTTTGTTTGCGATACACCTGCTCTCTTCCTTCCTCGACAAAACTTTGGAATAACTGGAAAAACACAAGTTGTGAAACTTCACCATGGCCATGGACTATTTGAATCAGGTCAAGAATCGCCGCCGCTCCTCCCAGATCATGCAAACTCCAAACCCTGTCCTGACCTCCGAGGATGAAGCTTTCCTGCAACAAGTTACCTCCCAACAGGAAAATACACCTGACTCAGCGGGACCAAGCGGTGGAAATACAAAGGATTTCGCAGCAGGGAGCCCCGTACACCCCGGTCTGAAGGAATCTGCCCAGGATGTTCCTCTTCCAGCGTCACCAGCAGAAGAATTTGGAAAGGAGTTGGGAGAAGAGGCCCGCGAGAACCCCGATATCACTGAGACGAAATCCGAACTTCCAAAGCCACAAGATTCGAAGGCCTCGGACAAGAAGAAGAAGCGCTGGACTGCGATGTTTTGGAAGAAGGACCCTGATTCCAAGAAGGTGCGCATCGATGATAAACGAGTACTTACGCAACGCTAATAATAACTTTGCCTATAGAAAAAGAGTTCTAGTCCCGAAGGCAAAGACAAGTCCGATATACCTACCGCATCGACCTCAGCCTCCAACGGAAACGGAACAGAAGCCACGAAGGACGAAGAAGATATGAAGGATATACTCGAGCACTTGAACCTGTCAGCAGAGAACAATAAGGTGTTCTCAATGAGCGAAGAGACACAGGAATTGCTTCGGAAGTTCAAGTTGATCTTCAAAGATCTTATCAATGGAGTTCCAACGGCCTACCACGATTTGGAAATGCTGTTGACCAACGGGAATCGACAACTTCAAGATACCTATACCAAGCTACCCGGTCCAATGCAGAAGTTGATCGAGAAGCTCCCAGAGAAATGGACGGAGACTTTGGCACCCGAAATGATTGCCGTGGCCGGTGAAAGAGCGTCCAAGAGTGGCGTCAACATGGAAAATGTGGGCAAGGCTGCGGCGGCGGCGGAGAAGATGGGTCTTAATGTTCCAAGTCTGAAGGAACTTGTCTCCAAGCCCGCTGCGATCGTTGGAATGCTTCGGTCGATCATGACCTTCCTGCGAGCTCGTTTCCCGGCTGTATTGGGCATGAATGTTCTTTGGTCGCTGGCACTATTCAGTAAGTGGTGAGAGGACTCAAATTTGAGCTATATACTAATTATTATCTCCTTTAGTTTTGCTGTTCGTTTTGTGGTATTGCCATAAGCGCGGACGGGAGGTTCGTCTAGAGAACGAACGTTTGGTCACAGAGGAGGAAATCAATCAGCTTAACGAAGACAACCCCGAGGGTAGAATTCGTGCCACAGAGACTCTGACCACGACAGCTCCTCAGGGTGCCTCAGCAGAGGAAGTTCGCGAAGGAGTGAAGAAGGCCGAGGAAGCCCGGGCCTCAACTGCAGATGTGGCTTCTGTTTCATCTCCGCAGAGCGGCAACGGCGAGATCGAAAATGTTCGCCCAGGCCCTGTTCCAACTAGGTCGAAGTCTCGATTGTCTATTTTCGGTCGATCTAAGCTGCCCGCTGAGCCAAATCCTAATATTTCACCATACCCTGGTACATAATGGATATACCTTCGTCTTGTCACAATAATCGCTGTTGGTTCTCATAGATTGATTTAACTAGGTTGATTCCATACGAAATTATATGATGTTTGATATTACCGTTTACCCCCGCTATTATAAGTATTACTATTATAGACCCGGCCATAAGAGGTAATAAAGAAGGGCGGCATTGGCTAGTCAGAAATTGGCAATCTTTTATATCACCTTGCAGGTAAATTGAAGGTGCGGCGAAAACGGAGAAAAGAAACAGGTATCAGAATGAGGATAACGGATATTGACTCCAATCACTTTATTACCGGTCTAGGAGCATCACGTTTGTCCAGAAGATCACACGTTGCTTAGTATGTACTGTAGGCTCAAAACTAGTTTTATCTACCATTGGATGTTGCAATTCGGCCCACTCCGTTCTTCGAGATTTTTTTTTGCCTCGGAACGAGCAGGACAGGTGTTCTCCGAAGCGCTCTGCCGGCATAAAAATAGGCTAGCGCCGAGCGGATTTCGGCCGCCGATCGACGGTTGATATCATTGGCAAGGGGAGAATTTTCAGCCCCACCCAGCCACTGCGGGGCGAGAGATGATCTTGCAGGCACCACGAGAGATGGGGGGCAAAAGGGAGCATCCCTTGCAGTAGAATTCGGGGGAGATAGCCGCCCAACTCAACTGCGATGAGCCCAAGCTGACCTTATCAGCCCGGTCGATCTATCTCATGCAGGTAGGATCCCGCCGTGTTGTCCCCCCCTGCTTACCGCTTCTTTCATTCAGTTCCCCCTCCCCCAGAAAAAGAATGAGGTGGGAGAATTGCGGGACGAAGAGGGGGGGGGGGGGTGGTGTTAGAGAGTGAAGAGGGGCGCAGGTGGCCGGGACCAACAGCTCCAGATCCAGAGCTGTGCCGCGGAATAGACAGTCCCGAGTTGTTGCCACCGAGGAAGGAAAAAAACCAAACGAGAGTCGGATCCAGCCAATCGCAAGCACGACAGAGGGACAAAGGGTTCGAATTGCCTTCGTGTCAACAATATGATTCATCGTATCGTTATGACTCTTGATCTGGCTATGAATCATCATGCACGGGTCAACGCCAGCCCTGAGCGTTGGGTGCAGGCCACTAGCACATGTCAGTCTATGTAGAGACAGGATTTTGAATGGACTGCTGCAGGGTTTAGCCAACTGCAATATTCACCACTATTTTTGTTCCCGTGTCTCCATCTGGCTCCCTCCTGTTCCATTTCTTTCTTTATTTTCTGGCTGGTCAGACAATTCGGGTCGTGGAACCGTGCCGGACCCGCAGGATTTGCTAATGATGCACCTGTCCGTTGCTTAGGGGGGGGTTTTTAGTTTTTTCTCCCCCTTTTTTTTGGCTGTAGAATTTATTTAGCGTTGGTCTTTCTGATTGGCTTGGAGTATGCCTTATGCGCGGACCAAGCAGTATAAAGTATATGTACTCGTGTTGACTACTGTAAACTGTAAACAGAGGATGTATCTAGCATAGTCTATATCTGATATTCTAGTCTAGTTCTACCAGTACAAATGTACTTCGGTCTTCTGTAGTCCTCTATGTAATCCTACATCCTACTGCTTGCATCTGCCGTGATGTGATTGGACCAAGAAAATGCGGTGAGTGACGCGGGCGAATGATGGACGGGCAGAAAGGCCCCACTTGTGGTTTGGCGGGAAAAATCGACATCCCTTCTAAAAGTGAGAGAGACTCAGAGACTCCCTCTTCCTCCGCATACCAACCACTCTACAATCTCTACCACTTTCTACTTTACCCCCCCAATCTTTACCCTTCACCTCCAAACATCCTACTTTGATACCGTCGAGAATTCCAAATGGCTTCCGTGCAGCTGTAATTCCCTCGCTGGGGAACCCTCCCTGGTTCCCCAGTCCTACAGCTCCGATCCTTCAATTCCACTTGACGATATCGTTTCCTCTTTCAACGCCCGCTTTGAAGCGTTGGAATTGCCCCCAAGTACACTCCCAGAAGAAGCACTTTGACGTCCCAGTTGGACCGGAGGTGTTTTCGTGGTTACGAATATTCACCATCAACCTCCCGACCCTCTCCCTCACCGATCCCTCACCCTCTCACCCTCACCCTCACCCCCCCCTCTCTTCATCCGCCCTTGACGAACTCCCTTCTTTCTTCAATTGTACAGTGGTACATTCCACTGCCGACATATCTCATCCTCTTGATCTCGTACCCTCAAATTCCTCCTAATCCCCCGCGGAGAAACCGAAGGAAGAACAATTTACGACATCCCACCTTCACTCCAAAGATTCAAATGCTACAACCAAGTCACTACGCCTCCAAACAGACTCACCAGACATCTGCAAAAACTAGCAACGCTCGCCCCGCAACCCCCGGATCTAACATCATGCGACACCTGGACATCACACCCAAGGCTTTGGCCCAGTCCAAAAAAGTAGCCAACAGCCGAACTGGCGGACCTGGCTCGTCTGACCGAAAACGTCGGGCATCCTCCTCATCTGTCTCAAGCGTCTCAAGCGTCTCCTCCCTCGAGGATTTGAGCGAGGAGGCGGACGAATCCGAAGACGATGCGGATGACGAGGAGGACAGGCCGTTGGCCCTGTCTTATGGCCGCCGTCACCCAACCACTTCCCGTAAGACGGGGCGTCAACCCGCAAAAAAGAAGCGCAGACGAGCTTCCGATGACGAATATGACTTTGGGAGTGATGGCAGTGACTCCATCGATAGCTCTGACGACATTTACGCCGGCGTGGACTACATTAGCGACGGCGACGATGAACAAGACATGGAGAAGCTAGAGGAGATGATGATTTTGGATGAATCTGAGCACCGCATTCTGCCACCATCCGAATCCAATGATAGCCAGTGGCACAGCAGCGAGATATTCGGAGACTCTATGCTTCTCCCGGCTGCCTCCTTCTTCGACGAGGAGCAGCTCTACACGGCCATGGACACCTTTGGAGAGACCGACATGGCCAGCGAAGCCGTGGAAACGCCAGTCGCTAGGCGTGTGCACTTCGAGGAGCGATCGGATTCCTCCTCCGACAGCGAGTCGCACACCGACGATGAGATCTCGGGCGACTTTCTTCAGCAGGATTCTCTGGATCCGCAGTTGCGCCGGATGATCGAGAACGACCATGAACATCACCGTAGCAATCGCCGACAGTCCGAAGAGATGTATGGTGATGCTGACTATGGCCATGGCAACATTTACCACGTCGAGTCCGAAGGAACATCTGAGGGTAGCCTCAGCGGTTACGAGAGTACGCTGGTTAAACGTCTATTTACTTACCAAAGTTGCATGCTAATTCCCCTTTACAGCCGACGATGGAGATACCACCGACGAGGACTTGCCCCCGCCAGCAACCATCACCCACCCCCGATCCCTACTCCGCCGTGACTCGACCGATTCTTTGACCGTCACCGGGGATGACAAGCCCGACAGCATCCCCCGTCGCCGAGGCCCCATCATGGGAACTTTCGTGGCTGATCCTCACAAACCCGTTGCCCTGGTCGATTGCACCGGCAAGCACCTTGTCATCATCCCTGCCTATGCCTCTTCACGTCACGACTGGCTTGAGTCCGCTGCGAATAGTGTTCCCGGAACTGCCAACAATAGCCCTCGCCAGACCACTCTGCATTTGGTTGATGAGAGCGATACGGATGCCATGACCTCTCCGAACCAGACAGACTTCAGCCCCATGCTTGCTTCCAGCGCGAACCTGATGATGACCGCTCTTGGAAATGACCTTACTCCTGGCGGCCAAGTCATGGGCCCCCCCTGAGGCCTTCTATCCGTCACAAGAATTTACCGTTGACAGCTCTTTCGAGGATGACGATGAGGATGATCCCGAGTCTGCCCTTAATGTTGACGATTTCATCGACTTCGGCGATGGTTCTTCTGACGAGGACGAACAAGAAGAACAAGAGCAAGATATGGGCAAGGCTTTCGATGACGATACTCTTATTTCCCCAATGGCCACCGGATCTACAATGCAGCCCATGGGCACACCAACGCCAACCCGCAAGAACTCCGAACAGCACGACAGCAATGCGGAGCGTTTCCTGAATCACCTGGACAAGGGTATTGTTACTGCATTCCGGCGCAACCATAACCGCTACCAGGCCCTTCTCCGTCTGCCTCAGCATCGCGAATTTATGCCTGCCAACTCTCCCGCCCGGCCTGCCAGTGTCTTTAGACACGCTAAGGCCACCGACCAGCGTACCCCAACTGAGAAAGCGCAAGTCTCAGCGGCTACGCCGGCGGCGAGGCCGTGCGACGCAAGCTTATGGATGCCCAGCGCCGCACCCAATCCCAAGTTCCTCTCTAAGAAACTTGCATCCTGACTTGCTTGATCCTGACACACTGTTGTTAGTGTTGTACTGGACAACCCCCCCCCACACCCGGCTGGGCTACCCAGCACCTGATGAATCACGAAATTTCGATTAAAATAAGATCGCATGATACACACGGACGCCGTTCAAATGTTTTGAGTCTCTGGTAGACTTGGCTCATGGGCCGTAGCCGATATTTCCCCGAGGTGCTAGCCAATGCCCTCATCTCTTGACCAACCTGTATCTATCTTTCTGTGGTTGGAGATGGGGAATTCCATCTGCTGCGCACCCCGCATTCTATGTCTTCAAAAGTTGATCGATCTGGGCTCTGATGACCCAAAAGTTGATCGATTGTTGTTCTATGCATTGGATGTTTATGCTGCCAACTTTCTTTCCTTTCCCTTTACTTTCTCCCCTTGTCTTTTTTTTGCCATGTTCCCCCCAGCCGCACCCGGGAGAGGGTGATACCTCTTGTCTTTCTACAGCGTTTTCTTGATCTTTTTCTACAATGAGTGATGGATGTGCTGTGACCATTCAAATTAGTTGTCAATCTCAAAAACATTTCAAATATAATCTTTTCCCTGAATAGTAAATAACCCGCAACTAGTGTTTGCCATATCAATAGTGTATGTTAGTGTGTGCCTCCGTACTTAGTTCATCCCAGCTCGGTATTCTCCCCCGCCGAGCTAGGTGGAGGAGGCTATGCAAAGGGCGTGGCGTAGGGCTACCCTGTCGTTGATGGGAATGTACTCCGTACTATTTCCTTATCCCGATGTATTTGACAGTCCGTCTCAGCGGAGCTCGCAGTAGCTGTCTGCTTCGGAGAGTATCACATAAAGAGCAATGGGGTGTCCACATTGAAATGCTGGAGGCAGTCAAGGCAAGTCAAGGTTCTTGGCACCGACCACTTCACAGCCTTCAATCCTTCCATTCTCCACACAAGCTTCCCCAAGACGGTTCAAGTCTGCCGAGTTCCGGGCTTGACTACGGTGATACACTTGTGGTGTCAGAAAGCTAGGGCCAAGTGGCTCAATGCCCCCGGAAACAGAAGACCTTGACCCAGATAGATAGACCCTTTGAACATAAGACAACTAGTAATAACCTTTTACTTCATGTGCTACCCTGGCAGCAGGAGACAGGCCGAGAAGGAATACATCAATTCCAGACCTGAAGTACAGAAATGATGAAACAGGGCAACCTTGGACTTAGTCTTCTTACATAAAGAATATGCACTCGCTAGCCCTAAGCCGAACAAGGCCGCTCCTGAAACGGGTTCTCAGAACCTCGTAAGCCACATCGCTGCAGGGTTACGAACAATGCAACCTTGTGTACAAAGTGGAACGACTCATCTATGTAGAGGCACTGAAAAAGGAAAAAAAAAAAGTGACATTATTCATTTATAGTGCATTGGATAGGTTTGCGAGACTTTGCATGGTTTCTTTCAAGGCTGGCGGTTCAATGTCAGGTCCATGTGGTCCCCATTCGCTGATATTTTTAGCCGCTCGGATTTCTACAAAGGCATCATGAAACACCACCAGGGGGATCAAAGAACTCTCCTCGCATGGTCCTTGAGGATTCTAGTCAAGCCTTGCAGCCCAAGAAGAAAACCGTGGAACTTGAAGGTTCAATCAATTCATGCGAAACAAATTGTCTTTCCAGCTCCGTATGTGAGTATCTTGTACTCAGAAGGGAGCAAGTTACGGCCGAATGACAACGATACCCTAACTATTGTTTTTCTGTCTTTCACCTGCTCCTCCAGGATCTCCAGGGCTAGATCCTGGTTTAGTGGAGAGGCTCGGCAGTGAAGGAAGGGTCAGAATGGACTAGGAGGCTGGAGATGGATAAAATCGGTTAACAGAATAGACCCTATAGACCCTATACCCCGAGCCTAGTCGGCACTAGATGACCAGACTAGCCATTCACCGTAAGGTGTCTGCTCTTGTAGCTTCCATTCGACGGAGTTTCTGGACCGTCCGAGGCTTGACAGGTTTGCTCTTGGCTCAAATCAAGCCCAGACAAGACAAGACCTCCGTGCAGGTTCCGACGCCACAGGGGCACGAGACAAGCGAAAGCTTCAGGTTGGGCGCCACAACCCCCTGGGTCGGGATTTACCCCTGAAAAAGCAAAGGAAAAAATAATGAACCCAAGTCAGCGGTAGGAAAAGGCTTTATTGCAATACTCCATAATCGAATTATTGTTGCAAACTGAAGGTCGCTGCCTGGTCAGGTTGCTGGCGCATGGTGAATAAATCACGGCGCGATGGGCGTTGGTTGGACAATTGGAATGTTGCCCGGCGTTTAGCTCCACCGCTGTACTCCCTACCATCTGTAGGGCTCCAATGCGATCAGCGATCTCGCTGATCGCTGACTGAATGGTGTTAACCATAAAGCACGGGGCGGTCGGCAGTCACGTTCGCTGTCAGAAATCAGAAAGGGCCAGTCTGATGGGATCTGACCTGATCTGATACTGACCACTCTCCATCCAGAGAACTCCCAGAGACTGCCAGGGCGCCACGCCGGCGCCAAACTGGGTTTCTGCACTCCAGCTGCTTTTTGGGGATATTTTTATTTTTATTTTCTGCTCAGTCTGCAGTTCCCACCTGCAGGGACCAACGTTTGAAGGGTTTCCCTTAGCGGTCGCAATCTGCAGTGATGGAACTTGGGGGGGGATGGGGAGACGAGTAGCTGTGTCTTCCGTGCTGAGAGTCTGTGACCCACACAGGTGGGGAGTCGACTTGCAGGGAACAACTGATGTATCCTGTTCATCCTGCTGCTGCTGTTGCTTACCCTGCAAACGCTGTCGATCCGGCGGCTTTCTGCACCGTCGTAGCCTATTCTCAGACGAGCCACCAATATTGGGGGCTATTTTTGACCCTCGCACATCGTGTTCATTGGCCCATTCCATTCCCCCATCCTCCTCTTTTAGTTAACGGATCGCGCCGGAGGATGTCCCATTCTCAGTGGAGGTGTCAATGGAGCGGACCCCTTGGCTGCAGTGACTCCAGTTGACTCTAGTATGTTCCTGCACTAGCCAGTCTCCTCTCACCCCTGCACGGTGGTGGGCGCCATCCCGTTTCATATGGTCGGCCAGGTCTATGCCGATTGGAAGAGCCGACGGATCCTCTGACAAGATGTCTTACCACTCGCTCGTCACAATGCCAGAAAGAACAAGCCGGGTCTGGGTTCAAAGGACCCTTGGCGGCTGTACGGAGTAGTAGTTCTGCTCGTGGTCGTGCAGTTTAAAGAAGGCTTCGCCCACCAGCTTTGCTCAGGATTGTATTGTGTTCCAAGGCCCCGGTCCATTGTTTGTGTTTTGTCCTTGTTTGGACCCTCTTTTTTTTTCTTTTCATTTCTTTCTTACAGGATTTCTATTTTCCCTAGTTCTGTCTATTGAGACTATTCACTATCAAACCTCAACCGCCCAAGGGAGCCTCTTCCCTTCCCTTCGTTGTTCAACTTCACTCGCTGCCTGTTCTGGCTTGTTGACATTCACTTGTTACTGTCGACTCTTTACTGGGACTCTCTGTCTATATCTTTCTCTCTCTCTCTCTCTCTCTCGCAATCTTCTCTTTTCTTCTTCCAACACTTCCAACACTTCCATTCGTTGACTGCTCCTCATCATGAAGGGTGCTACTTCTTTCGTCTTTGCGACGCTTCTGGCTGCGACCCAGGCCACTTCCGGGGTATGTCAAAAAGCGCCCAAATATATATGGTTCTCGAGTGTTTTGCTAATATCAACATCTCTCTCTAGTACTGGGGCTCCGAGAAATGCTACTCCAGCCCGGGCCGTTCCCCCAACAAGTGTAACGAGCACCAGCAGAACGGCTTCGACTGGTCGGGCCTGGCTGATGGATCGTTCTCACAATATGGTGGCTTCGACTTCTCTGGCTTTTCTTGCAGCAATAGCTTTGGCGGAGCTGGTCTCGCCAAGCGTGGTGTATGTTGTGACTTATAGTTGCCTTGCGAACATTGCAACTTTTATACTGACATCTTCATTGCAGGAAAAATGCATTACTGGTACTGCCTCTAAGGGTAGCGGATCTAGCAGCAGCTCCAGCAGCGGCTCTCTAGGTGGCTCTTACGGTAGCAGCTCCAGCAGTTCGAGTGGTGGTAGCTCGTCTAGCCCCTCGTTTTCTTGCGGTTCCGGCTCAGGTTCCAGCTCCAGCTCCAGCTCGGATGAGAATGCCTTCTCCGTCACTCATTTCCACATCTCCACCTCCGAAGAGACCGACTTGCACATCATCTACGGCATGCCCGACGGCTCTTCCTGCCGCAACACTGCTTCTTGCTCGTCTTCTGGAACCACCATCGAGAACGACCAATGTGGTGGTGCGACTTCAGTCTCGTTCGAACTGCCTGATGACAGTGAACACGATAGCTGTGACTTTGGCATCTACACAATTGGCTTTGACTGTACCCCCGGTAACACCGCGACAACTTTGCCTACTGGCCCTGCCACTACTCCCGCGGCATCTGTTCCTGGCATCTCGTCTCCTACGGTCTCCGTCCCTGCTGGAAGCACTGTTGTGTCAATCCCCGGAAAGCCGGGCATCTCGGTTCCTGCCAGCTCTCCTGTGTCGGTTCCCACCGGCTCTGTTCCCTCTTCGGCAGCTGGTGTCTCTACTCCTGTTGTTGTTGGTACTACTACTCCCGCTGCTGGCACACCGGGCAAGTTCACCACATCGACCGTCTACACTACTAGCGAGATCACCATTACTAGCTGTGCGGCTACGGTGACTGACTGCCCTGCCGACTCTACTACTGTTGTGACTTCGACCATTCCAGCTTACACCACCGTCTGCCCCGTCACTGAGACCACCGGTGCTGGAACTCCTCCTACCGAGTCCTCTCCCGCTGGTACTCCCCCCGGCTGCTACTTCGCCTGCCGAGTCAACCCCGGCTGTCCCCAGCGGAAGCTCGCCGGTCACCTCACCTGCACCTCCTGCCGGTACTTCCACTCCCTCCGTGCCTGCTGGCGGCTCCTCGGTTCCTCCTGATTCGACTGTCACTGTCATCACATACACCACTGTTACCACCTGCCCTGTGACTAGCACGATCTCTACTGCCGGTTCATCTATTGTCAGCACTGGCACCACCGTCTCTACAGTCACTCTGACTTCTACCTCTACTATCTGTACCAAATGCACCGGTGCGACAACCGCCCCCGGTGTGCCCCAGAGCACCCCTCTTGTTCCTGGTACTACTGAGACTGCTCCGGCCGGTAGTGAAACCACCCCAGCTGTCACTGTTGTCACTTCGGCTACACCCGGCCCCTCTAGTGTTGATGCTGGCTCGACCCCTGGCGTGCCTGAAGACTCCACAACTACGGTCGTGACTTATACTACAGTTACCACTTGCCCAGTGACTAGCACCATCACTACTGGAGGATCCTCTGTCGTTACCACTGGCACTACTGTCTCTACAGTGACTCTGACCTCGACCTCCACTATTTGCACCAAGTGCACTGGCTCTACCACTGCCCCTGGTGTTCCCCAGAGCACCCCTACTGTCCCCGGTGCTACTGAGACCGATACTGAGACCGCCCCTGCTGTCACTGTTGTTACCTCCGAGACACCTGGTCCTTCCAGCGTTGATGCCGGTTCTACCCCCGCAGCCCCAGAGGACTCCACGACTACCGTGGTGACCTACACTACTGTCACGACCTGCCCCGTCACCAGCACGATCACCACCGGTGGCTCCTCGGTTGTTTCTACTGGTACCACCGTGTCCACGGTGACTTTGACCTCTACCTCCACCGTCTGCACCAAGTGTTCTGCCAGTGCGACTGCTGGAGAGACTGGCTCTGCTCCTTCTGGAACCTCTCCCGTCTCTGGCTCGACTCCAGCTCCTTCTTCGCCTTGCCCCAACACTGTGCCCCAGTGTCTCAACACCTGGCTCTCTCTGGCTCCCAAGTGTACTTCCAACAGTGATGCCTCTTGTTTCTGCCCCAACAAGGAATTCACCAACAAGGTTATCTCTTGCATCCAGGCCTGGGGAGGATCCAAGGCGGAGATTTCCTCTGCTCTGTCCTACTTCACTGGTATCTGCGCCCAGTGGGTTGACAAGAACCCTGGTATTGTGACCGCCATTCCCTCAACAATCACCCTGGCACCTCATGTTTCAGTGCCCGCTGCTACCGCTACCAGCGGTGCTGACGCTATTGGGGGCACTGCAGCCTCGAGCGCGGTTACCTCTGCTCCTTCGCTCCCTTGCACAACCATCACCTACGGCACTCGCACTGTTACTGTTCCTCAAGTGACCTTCATCACCAACACTAATACCGTTGCTGGAGCCACTCAGACCGTTGGCCTTGTGCCGGCCGGTCCTAGCGGCGCTTCTCCCGCCAACACTGGAAAGGTCCCCGCGCCTGCTGCTGCTTCATCCACCCTGAGCAGTGCCTTCAGACAGCCCACTGCCAGCACAGTCCCCTCTGCCAGTGCTACTCCAGTCTTCAACTCGGCTTCAAGCATCTCGATCGCTTCCAGCCTCCTGATGGGATCCCTCGCTGCTTTCCTGAGCCTCCTCCTCTAGACGCCTCAATGTGTGACTTTGATTTCCGGGCCATTTTGCGCTGCGGCTCCTGTGACTTTCTACACTCTATTTCTGTTCAAGATTTCTTCCCTGTCAAGTGCCCAGAGCGCCTTTCCTATTTCAATTCTCATGTTTTCCTTCACGCTCGTGTTGTTCGGTAACAGCGGGCACGATACACGATTCAAGCCGTGAACGGACTGGTTTAATGCCCCCACGAGGTATTTTGATTTGTACTGTAATATTCATTCCCTAATCGCATGCGATAGACCTCGTGAATCTTGTTCTTTTTTTAGCCGATAAATTAAATCTAAAATTTCAGGTAAAATTTTTCAAGTAATCGGTGGTTTAACGTATTCATAACGGCAAGTCTAGATTATCTTATTCTAGGCCCAGTTCAAGCGTCCCAAAAGATGCAGTCATCTTCATGGGTTTCTTCCTTCATAGAAATATTCGGTTGGTCTCTCCATCGATCTGCCAGACGCTCGATCTTGCGGTTACAATTTGCGGATGCAGATATCGCAAACACGCGTGTGATGAAAACCATTTCATCGCCGGTTTCTAGACCATGAATCGAATCGCGCTCGATAATAGGGATCAAAGTCCTTTGACAAGCGATGTTGGTGTTACCGTCTGGTTTGAGAGCCTGCGCCTTGATAGAAGGACTCTTTGACGTGCAAGAAGCGGCTAGTTGGTTCGAAAGACCACTAGCACCAGCCGATGAGAGAATCAACACAGATTCTGCATCTTCAAGTAAACCCTCTGCTCCAATATTCATATCTTCGCCCACGGAATTGATAATTGGCATCTTTGCGCCGTCTTTCAATCGTCGACCTGGAGAGGCAAATCCACCTTCGACCGTATGCAACGCGCGTAGGGGAGCGTTGACACGAACACGGTGGATTCGAACATGCCAGTCGGGCCATCTATTAGTGGGTGGAATGAGTGTTGTTTTCACCTCGATTTGTTTGTCTCCCCAGGGGAACCACCTGACCGATGCGGCAGAGATGGGCTGCAGCCCGGTGGATGTTCGTAAATGAAGGGTTGGGAACTCCGGCTCGGAACATTTCCACTTCACAGCCCACGTCTCAGCTCCATCTCTGCTTAGAGCCAATGTACAGTCTGGCGCGATTTGTTGAATTAGAGGACCGGTTGGAACTGAGAAAGCAAAGGCCGAAGAGTATTCGAATTTGGAATACTTCGCCTGTGTTGCTTTCATTGGCCATGCAACGAATTGTGCAGGAGACAAGCAGAAATGATGATTCCCCGCTGGATGATTACTGAGTATTTGTTTGGGCGCAGGCGAAAGTTGAGGCTGGAAGAAAGATGGATAAGGCTCTTCCTCTGCTGACCAAAACTCGCTGTCTTTCGCGAGAGAGACTGCGATTAGAGTCTTCAAGCACCAGTAGGGAGATTGGGGAGAATTGTAGTCTTCGCTCATGTACATGTTCCTATCGATATGATTAGTCTCTTACAACTAGCGGCACCTCTAACATCGAATTGGGGCTACTTACGGATATAGCCACCCGACACTCAATGTTCCATCGGGGTAGAAAATATCGCTTGAATGGTCGGCCCACCATCGCAGGTGGCGCAAGAGAAACCCTTTAACTTGGCCCGGGGTTGATAGTGGCCAGGGCATATCCGGAACAGGGCTAACTGCCAGTGCAGCAAAGAATGCGCCGCATGAGAACCGATATGTTAGAGATCGACCAAACGGGATGGCCGACCCTAGATACATTAGCGATAGAATGGGCAAGTGATTATATTAGGGGAATGAACACACCACCTGCATCAAAATACCTCCAGAACGACGCTCCGAAGTCGCGTGCTTGTTGTCTATATCGAGAAACCCGATCGGGATCGATATCTTCGGCATATTTGGCGAAAAGCAACTGGCTAAATTGAATCGCGAAGCTGCCGGAATAGTAGTCAACCTGGCGACCTTTGCCGATCGCATCTCGACGTCCCGATCGTTGAAATTCCACTTCCTGTTCGTTCTCCTCTTGTGTAGACAGCCAAGGACCGTCGCCCGACCATCCATCCTCAAGATAAAAAGAATCGAGCACGGCGAGGTCCGCCTTGAGCTCTCCAGTCACTTGGCTGGCTGGAACTCCACACACTTTGATCAGTGCAAGGTTGGAGAATACGCGGAACCATCGCCAGTTGTTTGGTGGCATCTTCTTTCCATTCATTCCACGAAGCCATGCTGTGATGTTTTGTTGTATCTTCTGGTCGCGGTTGTGGAACAGCTTCTCCGGCTCAGCTAACAACGCAAAGCTGACGACTTCAGCCTCAACCATCCGCTGGTCCATATCATCGATTGTTCCCCAGTATTCTGGGCTTTCAGGGTCTGTGGCCGCTGAGAACCCCGAAATCCATGGATTGGTCACTTCATGGATTTCTTCCGCCAGGGCAGCATCGATCGGATCATTACTCGTAATGGAGGATGCAAATTGCAGGAGTGATGCGACAGCCCACAATGGTCGGACGAAGCCTTCGACCTGGGCAGCAGTTTCATCGAAATGAACGCCCGTTGAGATTGGTAGACGGATACGGCCCTTGTTCATCGAGAAGTAGGGCGTGAGCGGACGCAACAAGGCAAGGGCTGCGGTGGCCACATCCTCCCTGGTGCGAAAAGCATTATCTGAGAAACCTGTCAATCGAGGCATTGTAATTGTTTCCTCGAATATGAGGATAGAGAGCTTCCGGTCGTGATTGATATTTTACCCCTCCAAGCAAATCATTCCACCGAGCCTTCGGGGCTCGGGGGAAGTCTCGGGCATCGGGCGAGGTATCGGCCGCCAGCACTAACGGATCTCGGGGCATCCAATCGGTTGCGTTGGGAAGGTAACATTGACGAAAAATTATATAGACATGGTCTCGCAGATTTCTGAAAGGTAATACACCCATCTATTGTTTCTTTTCCTTCTTAATTTCCACTATGACTGTCTGCGATCTCGTGGATCGTCTCAGTGACAGTTCGGACTCGAAAAGCCCCGAAATGACCGAAGTCCACAGTTTCACGTCCAACGAGGATGATGTTTTCAGCAAGCCACAGCTATCTAGAGATGATATGTCACAAGCTCTTGATATTCAAGTTCGATTGCGTGAACTTTATAGCGAGAATATTACGGCTAAGATTCTTCGGGCAGCTGACACCTGTCTCGAAAACAATGTAAGATAGCCACATCCTCCATCTTAATTTGTCAAATATTTGCTTTATTGACACTTTCCCAGAATCCCATAACTGCCTATCCGGAATACGTCCCACAGTCTGGCCCGGATTCTGGAAAGTATTATTGCCGGGAAGCAGACTTTTGGACATGCGGCTTTTTCCCGGGCTCGATCTATTCTCTCATTGAGCGCTTGATTAAGTTTCCACAGTCAACGGGTATCCAACAAAGCATTCCCTCTGTTCTGAAGGAGTTGCAGAAACTGGGTGAGATCTGGTCCGAGCCGATTCACGACATGAGTCTCCGTACCGATACCCACGACATGTCGTTCATTATCCAGCCTTCAATGCGACCCCGTTGGGAACTCTTCCATGACGACCGCGCTCTTTCAACCATAGTTACAGCCGCTGAAAGCCTCTATACGCGGTACAATCCTAAAGTGGGCGCCTTCCGCTCATGGGACCAGCTGACGCAAAAGGGCGTCAATATCACATCCATGGATCAAGACTTTCTGGTGATCATCGACTCAATGTGTAACCTTGATCTCCTCTACTATGCAGCAGCACATACTGGGAATAAAAGTATGTCCTCTGCGGCGACTACGCATGCTCATAAGCTCCTGCGAGCCCACCTTCGCCATGAGACTGGCACATACTCACACCGAGAAGGGTATGACGGTCCTCTGTTCAGCACTGTCCACGTTACCAACTTCGATCCGAAGACTGGTGACTTCAAAGAGGCTCGCACCGGTCAGGGATATGCGAAAGATTCAACCTGGGCTCGCGGCCAAGCATGGGGTATCCTCGGCTATGCACAAACATTCCAGTGGACAGGCCATAAAGAATTCCTCACAGCTGCGTGTGGGTTAGCCGAGTACTTTCTTCTCCGTTTAGATAAGTCCCCGAGCTGTGTCGAGCGGAAAGTCAAAACTGATGATGCGGGTTACAATGATTCCTCGTCAAGCCGTACGTGTGGACGCTTCGTCCCGCTGTGGGACTGGGATGCCCCTATTGACGAGACAAATCCGCTTCGCGATTCATCGGCTGGAGCGATCGCCGCAAATGGGATGCTTGTATTGGCACAGAGCCTTATTGCCCGAGGTGAGTATGCACAAGGTCGTCGCTATCTTGACGCTGCGCTGGCACTGGTCGAAGATGCTCTGGCCTTTTCTCTAGCTGAGAAGGCAACGATCACAGTCCAGGATGGTCAGGTATCAGTGAAGGATGCCCAGCCAAATGCCACATTTGACAGCATTTTAAAAAATGCGACTGCAAACTACAATGCACTCGATCATCGCCGCTATTGGGACCATGGACTGGTTTATGGGGATTATTACCTGATCGAATTTGGAAATCGATTGCTTCGCATGGGGCTTCTTTGAGTTGCAACTCTACATAAACCATGGTTGCCATGATAGACTTCCGGTCGTTTGCAATGAATAAATTTGAAACTTCATCTTCACATATATGATACTGGTAGTATGGATATGTATGTAAACGATGAAGCATTGGGTAGTAGTATTTACTAGTATTACATCTGGCCATTCACCCCTGACAATTGACCTTCCGTTCCTGCATTCATGGATGCCATAGTATTTGTGAACATCATGTCATCCAAACTTATAACACGATCCATATCCATAAATTGCTGATCAAGGAGGAGATAGGATATATTTGAGAGTTCATCCGCTTGATTGTGACCATTGACGGGGTAGTTCCTAATGGCTTGATCAAGTTGTGCATTTGCATGTTGAGGAGCAACAAAGTCATCAGTATGAGTCCATTGTGTTGCAGAGTGTGATATTCCTGTATTGACCTCTTGAGGAAAACTTGGGCGAGGGGTGTTTTGCGGCGAATTTCTTGGGTACTGCTGATGTTGCTGAGCCAACGGAGAACGATGAGATACCACAGACCCAGTACTAGACGGGGCATGGTGATTTGAAATAACAGTCGAGTATCCCAGTACATCCACGTTAAAATTTGGAGCAGCTAAGCAGCGCCGATGAAGATCACGGAGATGGTCTGCATAGGTGCTAGCCAGGCAACGATTCTGTAATGAAGCCAGTGAAGTAGATCCGCGCCACCTTCTCGCCATCTCCTCAAGACTATCAACTAGATACCAGAGCTCTTGTGTAAGCTCGGTGTTATAGTATCGCCAGTGAACTACATCAATTCATTAGTCTCTTAATATTTACCAACTATCGGCTGTAGTTCAAAAAAAGGGATGTTCTTACCTAGCAGAACACGAGCCGCGACAAATACGCAGAAGACGAATTGGTTAGACACGGGATGGATTATATGAGTATTGTCCAAATATTTGGCCGTCATATTCTGTATCTCAATTGCGGCATTTTGGCATGTCTCAGCACTGCAGACGCTGGGAAGTCGAACAATATTCGCCCACTCTGCAGGTGGATATCCTATACGCTGATGCAGAAGAATCATCGATGTGTTGTGAGTGACATGAGCAAGTGTAAGATTTGGATCCATATTAACCAATGTTGGTTGGCGCGAAATATTTGAATCCCTCCATTTCTGGGGAAGAAACATCTTCCAACTGAACTGGATGTTAGCGTTATTCAAGACGCGACAGATGCGCTTTCTTACTGTACAAGGCGGAGGTCCAACTCTTTGAACCGGGTTAGCCAGCTGCTAACCTCACGTCGGTCATGAAAGTTGATTTTCTGTTGGAGAAAGAATGTTGTAACTCGACTTAGGGATTCCGTTGCCTCTACACAATAGGCAAATGCCCCCACAGTTGACATGTCTGGTTGTGTTGTGCCCGGGGACGCCAATTGTGGGGATCCATATTGTGCCGGGGATTCGGTTGGCGACTCGGGGCTCTTCGGGATACTCGAGTACTGAGCTGGTAGAAAAGCAATTGAATTTCCGATTCGGGCTTCTGATCGATCCCAGATTCCAAAGAATGGCGTCGTTACTTGCTCTTCCCGATGCCAAAGCCCCCCGTCTGCGGGCAGTCTTCGATGGACATCATCTGCAGTAAGACTCGTGTTCCAACTTTTTAGAAGAAATGTTAGATCTGTTGAAACATCCTGTAGCAAATGATCGCAGTTACTGGGATTTAAATGCACACATACCCCGTTGCAACCGAACAGAATCGGTCTAAATTAAATATATTCCAGAACACCCGCCTCCTCTCCTCTTCCTCTACCCACTTACGAGAAGGTGGCAGAGAAAGTAAAGGTTTGAGTAGCCTTTGGGTATCATGATCTTCGTCTTCCACGCTGAGTCGTAGGTATTCCACAGTCCTCGTCAGTGATCCGACAATTGACCACGCTCGAGAGGTATTTCCATTCCCGATCTTGAAATGATTAATGATCCTGATGCGATTTCTTCGGAGAAGCCAAACTTACATCGTCGAAAGCAATGATGATCAAAGCCTGTAGATTCTCAACTGAAAGACTATCCATCGCTGTCAATACAACGATACTCCTCGACCTCCTGGCCCTTGACTCTGCGTCAACTTGAGATGCAGTGCTACTACTGGAGCATTTGAACCGGATAGCTGCCACCAATATCGCATGAAGAATGACAACCAAAGATCCTCTTTGATCTGGATCATGCATTCGCCGTCGAAATCGAGTTTCGTGGATAATGGGGATCCAAGGATGAACTCTCTCAAAGTATGTATCCACAATTTCTTCGAGTACGTCCGGTGCAGGCAGACTTGATGTAGCCTCCAGATCCTCCAAGGGCAGTTGTAGTTCGATATTTGGATTGCCACAAGTATCAACTCTTCGCCTCTTCCGGGGCTGGTGTGTAACCGGCGAATCCAATGAACCATCGCGTTCGGAGCCTGGCGAGTGCTGATAGATCCGCTCGGAGGTTGAGTCGTTTGTTGCGCGAGTATTTCGGCTGTTGAATTTGCACAGTTCCAGACACACTGTAGAGAGCAGGTTCACCACCCCATCTAAACGACCATTCTCGGGGCTCGATGGTTGATTTCCACCACCTGAAGAGCCACTACCTCGTGCCTGAACCTCTCTAAGCGTATCCTCGAGTACCTCTAGAAATCACATTAATTGGTATCATCCCCCGTATAATGCGCGGTAAGCCAGAAAAACATACCGATTCGACGACTCAAGCCCTCAACTGCGCCGGTTTTCAATCCTGGCTTGCTCCTTTTGGTGTCATAAATACATGGAGATTCCAATCGGTTGCATTGTGAGCATGTCGGAGATTCCCTGGAGCATTTCAATTTGCGCCGCCGACAGCCTTGGCACGATGGTCGCTCTTGATCAGCTCCGGTGGTACTGGTCTCCTCATTTGAGTTAGTCGGGTCCATCAAGCCGAAGTGTCGGGCTATTTCCAGGGCAATGATGCATCAATTTTCTATCACACAAAGGGGTGGTGAGCAAGAAACGAAAGCAGCCCATCTTTCGCGAGATCGGCGTTTGCATGACCCACGAAAGATGAGGATTGATTGGAGGGAGAAGTATGGGGTACACACAGTGGAAGTGCGGGGGAGCTCCTCCGGACTCGGCGTAGCTCCTCCCGAGAGTCGCCCCGACCCCCGCCGGGCGTTTACCTATCATGGAAAATCTACAAAGTATCTGTCTAATCGTAGTCGTATGAACAGCTCAAATGACCTTGAAGGATGTCATATGCTAACTAGTTACTGCTAACAAACTGCTATGTCCATAATATGAGGTCATCAAACGCGTTCCACCTGCTCCACCGCTGATTTAGTGTCCCTCGCCATAGCTACAGCATTCTCCGCGTTGACATCGAGTCCCAATTGCTTCATGGCATTTGTTCCAGAGAGAGCGTTGGGGCCATCGAAAATCTCAGCAACCTCTTCCAGACCACGATTCTTCGTCTCGGGGAAAAAGAAGAATATCAACGTGAAATTCAAGGCAATCATCACCACCCACACGATGTAGTATCGCCACGAGATGGCCTCCATCGCGACAGGATTCGCGAAGCTGTTGTAGAGACCGGCCAAGTTTCCGGTCAGCTGGTAAAGCATGGCAGCTTTCGAACGCAAGGAGTAGGGAACCACTTCCATGATGTATGTGGGCGCGACTGGGGAACACGCGTGGTAAAGTGCTTGGTAGATGAAAATCATTGCCAAAACCGCACCGGCGTAGCTGTGGTCCTTGAAGCCTTTTTTCTCATTGATGGCAGAGCAGATTGTCCAAATAATATAAGAAATCCCCATGCCCCCCATGCCGAACAAAAAGAGGCCTCGGCGACCGGCACGATCGACGAGCGTTGCGAAGAAACAAGCAGAAACCAAACTCCAGATAGACATGCAGCCATTGAGAGTGAGCTGGGTCTTAGAATCCGTAATTCCGATTGACTTGAGTACCTCTGGAAGATAATACGAGATCAAAGCATTGCCAGACCATTGCAGCATAGCAGGTATATACAACGCCAAGAACAGTCGATGTCTGTTTCCTTTGGTTGAGATCCATTCTCCCCATCGCGACTTCTTCTGAATCTTTTCCATTTGCAAAGTTGCGGTAATCTCGGCCATTTCAAAATGGGCGAGACGAGACTGGGGATCACCGTCGCCGTGATAGCGAATAAAAATATCAAGGGCTTCGTCGCCACGTTCTTTGTAGATCAACCAACGAGGAGACTCCGGAGCGAACAGGCTAAGAACTGCCTGCACCAAAGAGAAGACACATTGAAGAAGACTGGGTAATCTCCAGCTCCAGGAAGATTCCATGCGAAAGGTGCCGTACGTGGCCCACGCAGCGATCAAAGACCCGAGTGGCCATGAGACCAAGTAGAAGGAGACGAGCTTTCCTCGGTGAGTTGGATAGGCAACTTCAGAGAGTAAAGGAGGTGCGGCGACAGACACGATTCCCAGGCCGAATCCCACCATAAATCGAGAAAACACAAACATCGCGTAGTTCTTCGAGGCGGCTTGGATAACAGAGCCGATCACAATGAGAATAGATCCACCGCAAATGGGATAACGCCGTCCATACTTGTCACAGAGCTGAGAGGATATGAGAATTGAAATCAACACTCCTCCTGTTGGACCAAAGGTCATGGCACCAAGCCGGGCTCCCTGCGGTTGTCCAAAGAATTTGACCCATTCAGGAAGTGCTTGCATGCCGTTGATCATGCTGGCGTCAAAGCCTTGAGCCGTTTGAGTAAGGAGGGCACATAAAAGCAATGCATTAAGCTTGACCAATCGCAAATCCCTCCACCATGGTTTGTCGCGCTTTGGGATGACATCTTTCAAGACGACACCAGTAAAGTCGTAGTTGGGCAATGTGCCCTCTCCTGCGAGATCGATGTGTTTATCCATTTTATTGATAAGAGAAACAACACATGGATTGGTATTTCTTGAGGGGATACACCTAGCGATATATACATCATTCAAATGGGACTCGATGGTGGATACCCCGAAACATCACGCGGGCTCCGGTCCGAGTAATTGGCGGTAGACGGTGAGAAGCAAGCATTGCATGAGCCTTTCGAGTTGGGCTAATTTTCCCGGCTAATTTAGCCCAAGTTCAAACTAGTCAGTGCTAGGGGCAATTAGAATTTGGAATGGGCTCCCTTCCTGTACCCCGCGTTTCCGGGGGTTTCATCGGCCTCGGTATAGTTGTCGGCCGGGTGTTAGACCGGATTGCCGGAGTCTCTATACGGTGAATTGGGCTCACCTTGACTTTTAGTGTCTATAGTTTCAAGTTTTTCTACTTCATAAAGAAGGAATGAATTGATTGTTGCTTCTCAACTAGTACCATCGTGCTGGATATGAGACTTGTGCGATATCCTTTCCTTGCGATTATTTACAAGTACACCCCATCAATCTCAAACGTCTGAACTGCACCATTCTCAAGCGATGTCGACACGCTCTTTCCATTGATAGTAATACCGTTAACAGAAGCATAAAGCCTGTCACCAGTACCGTCTGTCACCCAGCTGCGAATTTCGGTTCCATCGACAGGGACTTGGGAGAAACTAGAGAGGTCGAAGCTGAAAGTCGTGTTGTCATCCCAGTTGGCAGCGACGATGACCAAGGTATGGCTGTTTTCATCAATTGCTGAGACAGCATTAGTTGAGTTTGTTTCAAGCAACTTCATGCCAGGCCGAATATGGCGAGTAAATTGGGCAAGGTTATAGTATTTTGTCGTCGCATTTTGAAGGGTCCTGGCAGAAATGTCGGCAGCGATAAGACCCCAGTCAGATCCATCAAGAACTTGCCATTGTACCCAAGCATCAGGTTTCAACAGCCTTAGATCTAGCATGATGTTTTTAACCATGGTGCCTCCGGTGCCATCATTGTCGCCGTATTCACTATCCCATACTTTCTGGCCGATGTCTCGGGCGAGCTGTTGAAGCTGATCGCGTGGTCCACTCGAGCCCGAGTATCCATGCGTATTCATCCGCCCGACATTTGCCTGTTGTATGGTTTTGCCAATGGTATTCCACGAGTTCACGGCTTCCTGGAATGCATTCTCATCGGAGGCAGCAATCGTTGTCTTATCGAGACCACGCGACTTTATTTGATCGTGAAGAATAGGAATGATCGCTTTCTGGGCGTTGGCGTCAATATAGCATCCCTCTTGTGTTCCTGTAGATTTCCACCAGGTAGACGAAGGCTCATTGAAGGGCTCGATAGAGTCAAAAGTAATACCCCAGTTGTCCTGAGCGTACTTCGCAATTGTAGCGAGGTAAATAGCATGGTTTTTATACTGCGAGGAAGGCAAATTACTGCCACCATTGTCGGCACCACTGGGGTTGTGGTTGTTGAGCTGCCACCACATTGGCGCGTTAGAGAAAAGCTCGAAGATGTTGGCACCTCTGTCTTGTGCCTTTAACATCATAGCTCTCTGTTTGGCATCGACCGTCCAGTTCCAACTGGAAGAGCTGGGGTCGGTGCTCAGTCCATCGAGCCAGTATCCCTCAATCTGCTTCGTGGCTGGTATATTCGCTGATGCTGACATGGTAACAGATCCATTGATTGTGTTCCACGAAGAAGCCCCAGCATTATATCGGACGATGTTCATTCCTAGCCCCGGTAAGGTTGCACCACCGGGCTCCCAATAAGTCGAGTCTAGAGTGAAGACAATATCGGCCAAGTCATCTCTATCTCCGTACGCCTTCGCCCACCAGGCAAGAGATGTGCCCCAGCCCTCCCACGTACTAGAGTAGGTAGTAGTCGTAATACTGATTTGCTGGTCCGCCTGGGCGACGGGCAAAGCCAATGCCCACACAAAGACGGCCAGTCCAGCAAACTTCGAGAAAACAGCTGGCATGATGATAGAATATTCCTGTTTGCAAGATAATAGAAGAGTCAAAAATGGTTCAGTATCCACAATGCCGAAAACTGGATATACTGATTGAGGCACCTTGTAACTACTTAAAGTTCAAGGTGGACGCAAGTCTGCAGAAGACCGGTCGGGGGAGAGGCCCACCCGATGAAAAGTCCGAAGACGGGAAAATAAAAAAACGCAGACTTAAAAATGAGCCACAAACACGCAACTCTATCAAGACATGCATGCAACCCGGGGATTTTGCGGGGCAAATGTGGAGCTTGCATTCGGGGATGTCGGAGCCGGGGATGTTCAGGAAGGAGCACAAGGCCTGTTTTTCCATATGCGACTGTCACCTGCCAGTGATTTGCCCAGGTGAAGATCCTTCCATCATAATTTACCCCTACCTCATCCCAGAACTCTCGCTTCAATACTGATCTACGACAAAGGAAAAGAGGAGCTCTATATCAACAATGACGTCATAGGGGTTGGGGCTTCAGTACACCTATTACCCACAAGGGATGGGGGACTTGATATCTTTTTCAGGTGTTTCAACTTGAATATAAACAAAGAACCATGCAATGGTTTGGGTATCTCACCGCCTGTTAAAATACCATGTGCGTCTACGAGTACAATACGCGAACCCCACCCTCTTACCCACCAACTTGAACCTACCCCCGCACCAACACAAACCTCAAACGGGGCAGCAATAACTACTATCATCAAAAGCATAAGCCCTATCAGGGACACGCGGTGAAGATTCGATTCACTCGTCGCAAAATTAAAATGGCTTCTCAAATCGTCAATTCGGCATGGAAAGTGATGCCGATGTTCGAATCCCGGTCCATCCCCCAGACGGTTGATTTTTATACCAAGATACTTGGATTCGAACTTGCTAGTGTCAAGCCCGAGCACGGAGAATCCGAGCAATACTTCTGCTCTATCTTCATTGGCAAGAGAGCAGAAGCAAATTTCTATTTTTCGAAAGTCAATGCTGAAAGCTTCAAATCATCTCATGCGTACGTTGCTCTGGGTACATCTCAGCTGGACGACTTCCACGCCTATCTGAAAAATACACCCGGAATCGAATTTGACGAGGAGATCGAAGATACACCATGGGGATTTCGACAATTTACAATCAAGGATATTGACGGAAACCTACTTACCTTCTTTAAATTTCTAGAAGGTGGTAACCCGGGGGAGGAATAGGTGCGAATAGAAGGAGCTTTGAGATGGGCTCCCATTGATATCCATTGAAATTGTGGAGATCCTTGTATTTATAGCTCCAGTATGGGTCTAATCTTCCAAGGCTTCAGGTATCTTGCCTATTGTAAAACAAGGCTAGTCCGTGAAATAGTGAACTTAAGCATTCTTATCTATGACCTCGAGGTTTTTGATTTGGAAAAGTGTTGCTGCATTTCTCGTGTAAGCTTGAGTATGCAATAAACGGGTCGACCTTGAGAAGAACTTACTGCCTGTTGGACCTGGACTTCCACTGCTTCCCTCCATCTGAAGATCAATAATTAAATTGAGTGGTTGACCAACAAGGCCGGAGGCATATTGGGTTGTTATCAGAGTCCCATCTAAGTAGAAATTGACGCTGACATTGCTTCCATCCTCATCACGTAGCTCTGCCAAAACTCTGTGATAGTCTGTCGGGCTTGGGTACTCCACATCTTTAGCTTGAACTTCACTTGAAGAGTTGAAAGTGTTGAAACTAATGTCACCGGACCCCTTCCATTCGGCGACGTCAATCTCCGGGGGCCACGAGTTCACGCCATTCAGCCAGAAAGCTGGCCAAGTACCTGTTTCAACTGGCGCGATGAATTGAGCCGAGAAATCCAATCCACCTCCGGCCTCGACAGTGAATTGTTGTTTCGCGTACACAGTACCAGAGTCATACGCGTAGTCAGATGCCCCTGTGTATGTCGCGTTCAGAGTTAGGATACCGGCATCGGCGATAACCGAATTGGACTCTTTCATGATGGCGGCTCCATTATGAGTATCACCCCAGGGGTAGTTGTAGTTGAAGTATTCCGTGAGTGATGAGGTTGACTCAAAGCATGAAGTCGGGATAAGAGTGTTGTCACGTTTCACAAGGCCGTGTCTTTCTCCGGGCAATCCCGAGACTATATGGGGCAGGACAGCAAGTAGAAAAGATGAAGAATACATGGTGTTGCCAAGATAAGCAAGTTCTTGTTTATCTTCTTCTCGTCCACATTTATGGTGGACGATTCAAGGGTTTGTGATGAATATGTTCAAGTTTCTCCTAAGATTCAACAGAGATCCCGGATTCAACACCTTTATAAGCAACATATTATGCTTCAGCGTGAAACAACTCGCAATTGAAATTGATCTGCAGCCTCTGGAAGTGATATATATCTCCTTAAAAGGAAATACAAGATGCAAATCACCCCTGAGTATTACCCGAGCAGTGCTCCACAATAAAGCCGGAGGTTTGATGTTCACGGCAAAGTCATTGAGTAGATTTCCGGGAAAAGGTATATTTCTCGGGCAATCGTGTATTATCCCCGCAATTCGAATTTTCTACCATTCACAAAATCATGCAGGCCTCTATTGGCGGAGACTGTTATCCCGCCGGAGCTCCCCTGGTTGGGGTTACATTGACACCCCGCGATTTCCTCTCGCGCTGTATGATTATTTAACCGCATGCTTGCAGAAGCGGGGGGGCCTCTTCATTTCATCAACTATTCTCAAGAAAGCTCATATCTCCGAGCGGCATGATGTAGTCGAGACAGACTACTAGTTACCCACCCCGATAAGTATGTGGGGCTTTGCGTTTCAAAGCATTGCCGCGACAGAGACAAACAAATCTGAGTGTTGACTCGGATCTGACACTTCCGACACCCCGTCAAACCTGCTTTTGTCGTCATTTTGAAACCGTATGATATAATGTATCTATTGCAGATAATAAACAGTACATTTGATTTCCACGATTATCTCTTCTCTCGGCAATGCTCGCACTTCGACTGTTGTTCTCGCTGGGGCTGTATTGCGATCGGGCCAAACTTTATCCCATTCGGAGTTCATTCCAGTGTAATCATCTTTCATGTTCGTGAGAAAAATTGTTGCATCAACCGTATCGTGAATGCTTGCCAGGCCATCCGAGGCCCCCTTGATGATTGCGTCGATGTTGGACAACACGGCTGCGGTCTGCTGTCGGATGTCTAAGGCAATAGTGCCATCGGCGGCTGGGGTAGCACCCACAAATGTACCATCGCCACGTCGAGATGAAGTCCCTGAAACGTAGACATAAGAGCCCTTTCCGTCGGCAGACTGCACAGTACGCGCGTGTGGGTAGTTGGCCAGCCCTTGGGCGTGGGTGGCAGGGCGGAAGTAAGGAATGCTTTGCGACATGAGAAGCCGTGTGGTGTCGAGTCGAGCTATAAAGACCGCAAATTATCAATGCACAAAGTATAAGAAGAGCGAATTGATTTGAAAAGAGCGTAATATCCTAATAAAAGTCGATTGTGTTCCCTCGATCTAATCACTGCTTAACGAGTCACGGGGTGCGGATAGATCCGAGCGGCCCGACTCCCGTGGTGACGTCATTGTATCGCGAAGCATACTCAGCTTGTTAACGGAAAAGCCATCACTAACGTACATGAATGGTGCGAAGATTAGTGAAAACATCCCGGCTATGGGCACCCCCTTCTCTGCCAACTCCAGATGACTTCATTCCTCCGAAAGCAGTGCTTAACTCCCGTACTAACCAACAGTTAACCCACACTAATCCAGCATCGATTCGCTCTCCGACTCGGCGCATCCGAGATACATCCTGGGTTAGGAGAACGCTGGAGAGGCCATTTGGATTATCATTCGCCAATTGAATTGCTTCTTCCTCTGTCTCAAATGAACAAATCGAAACGACAGGTCCGAAAATCTCCTCACGCATCACCCGATTATCATGAGGAAGATTACCCAGCACGGTCGGAGCTATCCAGTAGCCATGCTTGGGGTCTGCCTCTGGGACCCCACCGGTGAATAAAGCCGCACCTTCTTCTTGTGCTTGTTTGAGATAGGACCTGACCTTGGCATAATGCTCTCGCGAAACGACAGGTCCGATGGTCTGTCCAAGTTGATAGTTTTCCTTCACGTATTCCACAAATGCAGATAAAAAGCTGTCAAGGATGCTGCTCTGCACATATATCCGCGAACCACACAAACAAATTTGACCACTATTCTCGAATGCAGCTGATGCGGCAAGAGGCACGGCTTGGGCCAAATTGACGTCGTCAAATATCAACGTTGGGTTCTTCCCACCAAGCTCTAGTGAGATGTGTTTGCCGATATCAGTGACTGTTTCCCGTCGAATTTGAATACCAGTACTAGTTCCACCGGTAAACGAAATTCCTCGCACACGAGGACACTTGACGAGTGCTGAGCCTGCACCGGGGCCGTCTCCGAATATGATGTTCATTACCCCCGGAGGCAAATTTGCCTGTCGGAGCGCTTCGGCAAGTACTAATCACGAAGTCAGTCCCGGGTATAGCCCGCGGCTATTTCTTGGAACTTACAAAATGCAGAAATGCTTGTGACTTCGCTAGGTTTAGCTACTCCTGTGCATCCAAATGCGATACAGGGAGCAATTTTCCATGTGAGGAGATATAGAGGCATGTTCCATGGCGAAATAAGTCCAAATACTCCCACGGGTGATCGATGCTCGTATGTTAGAGTAGTTGGCTGGCCGTCAATAAAACGGACAGATCCTTCATCATGTAAAATATAAGTAGCAAAGTATCTAAGATCTGAATTAGTTTTGAGGTCATGAACACTGCAGCTTCGGATCTAATACTAACCGGAAGTTGGAGATTGCACGCTCTACCTCAACCCTGGCTCTAGCCAGTGATTTTCCTTGGTCAATGCTTTCCCACGTCGCAAATACCTCCTTTTTGCTGCAAATGACAGACGCAATGCGCAACAAAGTGTTCGATCTCTCTTGCCGTGAAACCTGAGACCAGGAAGAGAATGCCTGGGCGGCTGCGTCTGCAGCGAGGTCCACATCGGAAGTGGTACTGCGCGGAATTTGAGCGAGGGGCTTTCCAGATCGAGGATCAAATGAATCTATCCAGCTGCTTGCGTCTGACTGGTCTCGAAAATCATTGTTAATAAAGTTCTGCAAACGCATTGGCTCTCCTGCAAGACCTGTCAAGTAATCCCTGGCGCGTTCTGGACTACCGATCTCCCATAGCTGTGAAATCAAATCCATATTGAAATTGACAAAGTTCCAATACCTAAGTTCCGTATAAAGGGATATTAGAAAATGGAAAGATGAAGAATTATGATGCTCGGTTTCAGTCACTAGCCAAGTTAACAAATTGCAGATCTTTCTCCGATCGGACCGCTATCCGATTCGACCATTTCCCATTTCCACCGCATTTTCAAGCCGCCATAAAAAGCCCTCGCTTGCATTTAGCACCAAGAGCCATTTCGGATACTATTTTTCGAGTGTTTGGAGAACTGTTCGGTCGACTGGTTGAAATCAAGAGGATTCAGCTCTCTCCTTTGTCATCAATGAGTGGATAACAACGACACGAAGTACTAGCCAAATTGGGACCTACTGGTACCATGCTAATTTTCGACCAGCCAGTACACTTTCATAGACATCAATGATGCAGATGATAATGGCGTAGTACCAGCGGGTTCCAGTCTGGCTAGTACATCGTGTCGTTGTTATCCATTTATCGATGGCAAAAAAAAGACCTTATAAATCCGTCCTAGCAATAATACCCTGGCTGGTAACCGTGGGAAAAAGTTGGAATGAGGAGGATTGAAAGCTCATTTGTAGCCGGCTCATCCATAGTATCTCTGAAAATCGGTGTACAAAGTTGAGTGAATTTGAGCGCTTATGCGTGCTGTTCAAATCCGATCTTCAACGACCCACTTCAATACCGCAATCTGAGTGCATATATTAGCTAAAGCCACTGCACTCAATTAGGGGATGCATTTAACTCGAATACCTACTAGAACTTTACGAATCACCGTCGGGTAATATTCCAAAAAAAAATTTTTTATACATACACTCTTCTCCGAGGATCTTCCCTAATTCACCCTAGATAATTTTTGACACTATTTGTAACATTCCCTTGCGGTCTGCTAGCCTCTTGTGTAGCTTTGATCTAGATACATCGAAATTTGTCCCATTTGAAAGTTGAAATCAATTATCTACCCTCCAAGCCCAAGTTTATAGAGTGGCACCCTATTCCTTGCTTTTGAACATGTTGTGCAGCCCCAAAAATTCGATCGCGTTTCCGGAGAGCATACGCGCCCGCGTCTCCTGCGAGAACATTTCGCCCACCAGCTTGTCATTTCTCAACATTTCACCTGGAATAGGCATTTCACCAAGTGGGAAAGGATAATCACTGCCCATGATAATCCTGTCTGGTCCTATCTTATTGCAGATCAGCTTCAGGAGGTCCGGATCATGTACCAGACTATCCAGCCAAATATTATGTTGGTGGGACTGAAGATAGCTCTGGGGGGGATACTCCTTGAGAACTATGCGCGACTAGATCAGGTCGGCAGTCATAGCCATGTTGGATTCGCCCGAGAAGAGGCACGTAAGCACCACCGGCATGTGCAAAACATAGTCGAAGCTTAGGGTGTCGCACGAGGACGCCCGATGAGAGAATTGCGTGAATGGCGAGTGCAGTCTCGCTAGGCCTGTTCACCAAAGTTGGTCAAAATTATCCCAAACTAAACCCAAGGGTCACATACATTCCTATTAGCCAAGCAGACCAATAGCTACCCCACCGGCTCTTATTCTCCCTTTCCAGTTCATAGCCCAAGGGATGAATGAAGATCGGCATGTCCAATTCCTCACAGGCACTCCAAAATGTGTCAAATTCTGGAGAGTCCAACGGCTTTCCATTAATCTCTGTACCAATCTCCACTCCCTTCAATCCAAGATCAAATTTTGCGCGTTTTAGCTCAGCCACTGACGCTTCAATATCCTGCAATGGAACAGTTGCGAGTCCCACGAAACGCTTGGGATATTCGTGGCAGACCGACGCAATATGGTCATTCAGGTGGCGGACTAACAATGTAGCCGGTTTAACAGGCTTGTCGTATGAAAATAGAATAGGCACTGTACTGATCACCTGAAGGTTCACGCCTGTAGCATCCATTTCCTCCATGCGAACTATCGGGTCAAAACAATTCGGCTCAACGGTTCGGAAGAATTTATCGCCCACGAACATATCGACATTTTGGGAAGATAAAGCGATTTTATTATTCTTGTCAAGTTTTGATACATCTCGCAGTCGGAGATTGATCCATTCTTCGCTTTTCCCATCGGAAGATTGAAGTGAAAAGTCGGGCAAAGATGGTGGCATAATATGGGTGTGCATGTCGATTCGGAAAGGGCCATCCCTATCATTTGTATCATTGGATGTGCTCCATTGTGGCTTGGTAGCAGAGCACGAGCAACAATTCGACACGACCGTCATACTGAAGAAGAGAAATGTAGTTTCCGATCAAGTATCCGATCAAGAAACAAACCAAGTCGGGCCGCTGAAACAGCGCGGCTGTGATCAATATTAGTAGTAATGTAGACAAAAAAATTCCTTTGCTTTGAATTAAATATTTATCGGCAATTTATATTTTATGTGTATTCTCATTAACAGGCCCCGGGCTCTGCGAAGACACAAGTAGTTTCTTGCACGAGTGCTCTCAGCTGGTATATTTCCCACTCGGATAGATCCGACTGATCAATCGGAAGGCGTTGCGGGTCCTACTAGTACTTCTCCACGCCAAGCTTGAACTTAGTCCGGTGAATGTGACTTGCGTGCCGTTCAAAAGATCATGCGGAGAAATACACTTACCCCCGGGTGTGACATTTAAAAGACAGAGTCGATCATTTATGTCGACAAGATCTTACTACCCCGTTATTTTGACTTCGCCTTTATCATGGAATCATCCTCAATCCCCAAAGGCTCTATTCCAGGGCCAATCGCCCTATCTTCTTGGCTTGAAATAAATTCAAATAATTTGAAGCCTCCTATCAATAATAAATGTTTATACTCTGGGAAAGATTTTATTTTGATGGCGGTCGGAGGCCCGAATACAAGGAATGATTATCACAGTGAGTAGAACCGCTTTTGCGGTGCAACAACAAACCGCATAAATATGACTTGAACCTAATACCGGTTTCTTTCCGATATATAGTCAACGAGACAGAAGTATAGTGTCTCTAATGCATCTTCACTTTGGACTTTTATCCTAATAGCAGTCTCTTTGATAGGAATGGTTCTACCAGATCAAAGGTGATATGCTGCTAAAGATCGTTGATGATGGGGAGTTCCGAGACGTTATAATTCGAGAAGGAGAAACATTCTTGGTCCCTGGTACAAGCTAACACTTCGCTGCCACTTTTGCCTGAATATTGCTGATAATTTTTAATTTAGGAAATACGCCTCATTCTCCAAGGCGATACGAGGATACAGTTGGTCTGGTCATGGAACGCGCACGTCCACCAACCTGCATTGATCGCATTAGATGGTACTGTGAAAATAAAGAGGCACACCAAAGCCAACCGACAATCATTCGGGAGGTTTCATTTTACTGTGAGGATATTGAAACACAGGTTAAGGCTGTAGTTAGTGATTGGATAAATAATGAAGGAGGCCGGAAGTGTGGGGCTTGTGGAACAGTTGCACCTCCTCACTAGGCAGTATTATGTTCACTTAGTAACTAGTACAGAATCAGTTGGATAAGAACAATCAAACGCACTAATCTGCATATTGCGAGAAAAAACTATCAATCGAGCCCATCAACATTGCATCGTTGAATAGGTCCAATGAGGGGTCCCCGAGTGTAGATGGCTGAGAAATCAAGTCGCCAAGAAGGAGGTCATCATCTATTGCCGACTGCTCTGCCATATAATAGCTATCGAGTGGCTCGGATTCGTTAAGAATACCCAGCATGTTGCTGTCGAGTTGTGAAGGTGGTACAATTGCGTTTGGTACGGGTTTGCCTCGCTTTGGCCGTGATTCACAAGCCGGAACGACAGAGTCAGATTGCATTCTCTCATCCGTACAAAAAGATCTCTTCTTCCCTTTTCGATGATGGGATCCGATACTTTTCTCAATGTTTATTCGATCGGTAGAATTGCCATTATATGATACGCCCATGGTTTCGCTCGACCTGGATTGTTGGGAAGTCGCGAGCTGGCCATATTGATCGAAAGTCCTGTTGAGAATGTCGTGTTTGCTGAGATCAATTTGTGTGAGCTCCATGTCTTTCTCTATAAGTGACTGGTATTTATTGATCTCGGGCCATTGAATCTTAAAATCCCGAAGCATGTTGAAGCCGGTCTCGACGTCCGACCATGCTTTGTTGGTGAAGGTCGGGTTCCGAGCGAGACGCATGCAGTGTAAAAGCACCTTTGTGCTTGCATATATTGCCCGACTTTGCTGTATCACAAAGTGGCTCGCGGGGACTTTGGCTATGACTTCGGGAGTAACCTTGATGCAATTCGATGCAGCCTCGGCACAGCGCAAAAAGGCTTCTGGCTCCGCAATGTTCAGTCGTTCGATAAAGGTTCGGTATAGAAGAACAACCCCAATATAGTATGATGAGACTGCAATTGTTTGCAAAGCAATAGACTCTACTTGTCGGTCTGCAGTTTCTATTCTCGGCAGTACTTGCTTGGTATAGTACTTCTCCAGCTCTGCATCATGTTTTTTCACATATGATCTCAGCGTGTCTCTCAGTCTTGGGTTTTGAGATGACTGAGATTTTCGGATCTGTCGAACAGATCTATAGATTCGACCCATGGTAACATGAAAGGCTGCCACGACTGAGAACCAAGGGTCTGTTTTTGCCTCCAAGGCCGATGCTTGGTCGTTCTCGCCATCAAATGACTCAGTGTCACTTTCGACATCGTCCATTGCTAGCGGCTTTAGAAGTGCTGTTGAAAGAGATCGATCAAGTATATACAAGCACCGCCATATGTTGCTTCGTGTCGAGAAAGTGTCGGCAGCATCCGCTGTCGTAGTATCACCATCACCGTCACCGTCATCCTCCACATCCAAGCCTTGATAAAGACGCATTGCGTGACCGGTAGTTACCCAAGCATCATTCACTCTCCCTGACTCTGTTAAATATAAGCTCATAATCCCGTGTGCGGCAACTGTATTGATTGCAGATGTTGTATTCCGCTGATATGCTCTATCTGAGCTCAGAGATAAGGCATGCAAATAGAGGAGATTGCCCAGTTCTGCCCCTTTATAGATCCTGCATTCTTCTTGATCAAATATCGGGTGTTCTTTCGGAATGACTGAGGCTGCTGCTGCGAGCAAGGCATATAAGAGGAACGAAAATTGATTGTCGTCGTTGTGGTTACTCCCACCAATGTCTTGGCCACAGAGCCAGCGAGCATATTGCGGTCGGAAATTGTAGGAGTGGATGATCGGAAATATAGGGTATATAAAGTGGTAAAATAGGTCAACCAGGACGTGCGTTAGCGATGCTTCAAGTCGCGTTATGTCGATCGGAATCGATACGGTGCCAATTGGTGCATCTTCCGCATCGTTCGGCTGGACGACATAATATTCGCAGTCATCTACTTCGGGTTGCAATTGTAAGTTGAGTGGCCCTGTAATTGTTTCCGGCCTCGAGGAATTTGCTGGTCTTTCAACGGTCGCATCTGTTGAGCACGCTTGCAAGAAGTCGGGCGGATCGGACACGACACCCTCGTCGGAAGCGGGAACCGACTGATGCGCCGCCTTGTGAGGATGAGAGTCTTCGTCGTAGGTCGATGTAAATGGATGTACAAGGGTCTCTGTCTCTCCGATGCCGCTTTGAGCAGTAGACTGTGCTTTCAAATTTCTCTCCATTTGTGCGAGTCTCTTTTCGAGCTTGATCACGTATCTGTCGGCGTCCACGAACTTGTCAGCACGGTCTTAAAGACGGGCATGGAATAGATATTTGAAGTCCAAATTCATCAAAGAGTGAAAACTAACTGTGGATCAACTAGCCTCATGTTATTATACGGCTCAAAGACACATTCCGCCTTATTGCGAGTACAGCTCTGACACGGATGTTCGCCATCGCATTTGACCTTCTTGCGACGGCATGCCTGGCACGCCCGCCAAACCCGCTGGCGCTCATACATCGTGCATTCCGACTGGTCTTATCCCGTAGATGGAAAAAAAGGGAGGTTGAAAAGGCAAGAAAGAGCTGGATCGGAAAATCGGAGAGTATTTCACCCCGCTCGCTGGCGGGACTCACTTCAGCCGACGGGATCCTGCACTCAGGAGTTTTGTGGGGTAAAACGAACGCCATCTCAAGAGGCAAGACCCACCTACCAAGAGGCGAGTGGAAATGCCATGGCCATGATTCGTTGTACTTCCTTAGTTCTTGTAATGAGTAAACACATTGATATGGATTTTCACACTATCCACCAAGAACTGAGATGTATAGTTCTTATTAAAATGTATCTTATTGATCCAATTCGCTGTTCGCATGCCTCCCCTCGGATAGAGAGGTGGGTGAACTGAGATGGAATGCATCATTAACTACATGATGAAACGGCTTAAGTGCTAGTATCTATACTAGTTATTGTCTCTGCAGTTCTGCTACAAATTTGGAGAATTGAGCTACACCCGACTCGGAAGGCCTTTAGGAAAGACTCAAGAGTAACATCAAAACTTGACACTCCAGGGCTCGAAAAGGGGTCTTGAATTATTTCACCAGTCCTCTGATCCCATGGACGTCCATTGGGAATGGTCCTTTTAGCCTAGTACGCATACCAAGATTTATTCATGCAGGCTCTCAGGGGTGGAACTTCAATTCTGAATGCCCTAGACAAAAACTATTATGTCAAATTTGAACTACCAGAATAGGTTCCAATACTCTATCGATGTCGTTGGGTCAATTTCCGAGTCAATGAGGATGTTTTCCTTGCATATCAAAACGACCACCGAATTCTAATCGATTGCCAAACCATATGATAGGACATATCTCTGGTAGTATCTATTGTATATCGATAAACTCCGTCACCGAACTCGTTGCAGCAAGGCAGACGCGTCTATCTACATACACAAAGCATGTTCCTTCGTGCCAAATACCAGCTGAGAGGAATAATAAGGCTTAAAAAACGAAGTCATATCTAGTTTGACGAGAACGTATTTTAGTCGTGTCTTGAGATCTATGGAATATCTCATTTGCTAGGAGATTTTCAGCAAGGCCAATGAGGAATTGCGGTACACATCAATGTACTCTCCTGAAATTCCCGGTATTGTCTCTATCATATGTAATATCCAATAGGGGAACTATTTCAACGATTGGAAGTTAATAGGATCCCAGATGAGAGTCTATGAGCCAATTATGTCTTTTAGGGGGAACCCTCAGGCTGTTATCAAGCCATCTCCGCGCAAGCCGCCCAGGGTTGGTTTCTGGATAACACAACCATGGAAATGTCCAAAGAAGCAACTCGATGCGGCAATATCACTGATTGCCAGCTGAGATTCTGGGATTCCCTTTTCGACTGTCTCTAGTGGCGCAGATGGGTTCATTAGCTTGCTGCGACCGAGCCATTGCCTCGTCTCGACTAACTAGTGGGGCGTCAAGAGGACATGCGCTCCATGGCGATCATCGGCATGAACAGTGGAGTGAGATGACAGATTTATTCATACAGATTCTTCCGGTGCCTGCACCCTAAGGAATTCCATTCAATAAATGAGCCAGTTTCATGCGAGAATTTAATAGTTGCGATCATTCTAGGATCTGTGCAGCTGTCAGAGGAAGATCAATCGCTTATCTCGGTTGAGAGTTGCAGATATTGCACTGCCCGTTGGACAGAATGGTATTGATTTCTCTTGTGCTAAGCTCGAAGCGGTTACCCTAAATATTGAGGCGTGCGCCCGGACAAAATCATCTGGCAGGTTACTGATAAGCTCGCGAATCTAGATTGGTTGATCCTCCAACAATGCAGTCCCAAGTGTTCGATCCATCATATCTTGACTTTCGCCGCACCCCTCCCCCCGTTGGGCCCATTGTTCGTTTGCTGTCGTTAATTATGACGCTGCTGACACCCGATTGTTTGGGTCTCAGGTAGATGGCTTCTCCGGACTATTGACTGGTTGCTGAACTCCCCTTGCGGAGGTCGAGATAAGCGTTCTCCTCCGCCAGTAGGCGTTCGCCGCTGCTTGAACAGACTTGGACGTAGGACACAGGGGACTCGCGGACTTTTTGATAATCATCCTCGGCCCTATTTTCAAGACTGCCTGTCACACGATCCACAGCCATGTTATAACTCCCCTCTGCTCCATCCGACTTGGAGAGAATGAAGAAATCCCAGTTTTCAATCTAGGTATTTCCTCATGAACAATGCACCGACCATGGCCCGGCCCCACGAATACACCTCTCTCTGGTGGCCCGAGGAGAGAATCACGGCCACACTCGACACCAAGTACATCATTAGCCGTCTACGACCTGAGAGTGTTCCTCAGCTTTTTGATCTACCCCGTTGGGGCGAGGGTCTGACGAGCGAGACCTACATGGAACGGATTATGACCAAAGCTGGCCGCCTCTTCTTGATACTCAACGAGATAGGGATCCCCGATCGTATCTTCGCTCTTGTCGACGAGTCACGCGATGACGATGACCTACCAATGGCGGAACAGAACATCGATCTTCTGTGTCTTTCTCCCTACGGCAACGATCCTACCCTCGATGCAAGCTTTTTCCATGCCCAATGGCGCTTTCTAGTTCGCGGGATTTCCGAAGGCGAACACGTTGCCTATACAGCAAATGAAGGTGTTCCGGTAGAGGTGGCACGAGCTACGACAAGCAGCGGAGTACAAGGCAGGGATGAGACAGTCGATAAAGTTGTTCTGTCCGGGACAGTATGTCGTGTCTTTTTGCGCACCCGGGTCCAAGTTGGTGGTGCGCCACATTTCTTCTCCTCGGACGAAGTACTCGAAGAAATTCGATCTTTGAGGAAACTCGCGCATCAGCATCTCTTCTCGATCTATGCTTCATATTTCGTCGACGATACTGTATGTGTGCTTTTTACTGGGGCTGAAACAGATCGCACACTGCAAAGTTTCTTGAGTGATGAACCTCTGACCTTCAAACGCCTACCCAAGGAGGAGCGCCGTCAGACTCTCATCACCTGGCCTCATTGTCTCGTATCTGCATTGTCCTGGCTGCATGTTCGTGGCCATTCTCATACTGCAATTCGGCCTTCCAACATTCTCGTCGATCCAGACTTCAATATCATTCTGGGCCAATTCCAAGCCCTCGATTCTCTTCTTGCACCGCCACGAGTTAACGACCTCGAGTCTTATCAATACTCTGCTCCCGAACGCTGGATTCACACTGCCACTGCGCCCATTCATCCAGTGCAGCAAGCCCCTAGCAAAGTGATCCTTCCCTCGGGGGGTCGAACTGGGCGGCGGAAGAAGCCTGTTCGTCTCTGCCCTAGCACCACTCAACGAAACTGGGAGCCCACCATCATCACCAGACAATCCTCGACCAGACTCTGCCGCATCCAAGGGAACCGTTATTCATCTTGGACTCCCAAGATCCCCATCTCGCTTCTCCTTCGCTTTTTCATCTTCTTCCTCCTCGTCTGGCGCATCCTCAAATTACACCTCCACAAACTCCGCTTCGACCGGCTCCCCAAAACAAAGCAGTCCCCTCTGGTCCAAAAGACCTCGAAGCCTCTTCCCAATCCCATCACTAAGATCATCGACCTCCTCATCGTCATTATCTTCAACAAGCTCCTCTCTAATCGCTCCGCCCCCCCTCGACTCCTTCAACTATCCTCCCAACCTGGCACTCAACCCAAACCTCCCAATCATCTGCAGATCTCTTCTCCCTCGCCGCCATTATTCTCGACATTCTTACCCACCTCTGTAAGAGAAGCTCAGCATCCTTTGTCTCCCACCGCAGTGCCCGCAACCGCTCCGCCGGTCGTGGCGGCGGAATGGCAGACGCCTCATTCCATCTCGCCCGCAATTCAGTCCAGGTACAATCCTGGATTGCCCTGCTAGAAGGTGACGCGTTGAAACGATGCCGACGAGATCGCGGCAGTGACCGATTCTTCTACGCCGTTCCTCGCATGCTCATTGTACTTCGCGCGATGCTCTCCTCCGAACCGGAGAAACGGCCGTCCGCAAGCAGAGTGAAGAAGTGTTTTGGGGCGGCGATTAAGGAAATCCCGTCTACACGTGGCCCTGCTGTTTCACTTCATTGCATCTCGCCTCCGAAGCAGGAGAAGAGCGCACCCAACAAGGCATGGCCGAAAGAGGCGGAAGTCATAATGGGGATGGATAAGAAGAACAACAGAGCGAGCATGGTTAAGAGGCAGGCTTCTGTACCTGTCTTGACGAAGTCGAAAGCGGATTCTGTTCTCTCCTCGTCGTCTGTTTCTGAGTTTGACTTTGGGTTTTCGGAGGCTGCTAGTGATAGTGAGACCAATCCGGAGGAATTGCAGGATGGGGCTGAGGATGAGATTGATCCTTCTATTCTCGATGATTTTGAGTCAATTGAACCGGTCGATCGAGTGTCGCCTCAATTATCATTACCGGATCTTGATTCTAACATCACCGGGATTGAGGCGTTGACCTTTCGTACTTAGCACTGGTGCGTGCGTGTGTCTTTGATTGTTCGATTGATATGTACGAGTTTGTTTATTCGAGATGGAACGGAACGTTGAATGGCTCGATGACTTGACATGTTTACATAGTATTTCTAATTATTTCGTTTGTACAGACTTCGGAGGCACTCATTTTAAAGCTATAATATTATGAATCTTGATCACGTTCGGCTACTGTCTACATAGGTATAAAATTCTCTATTTGAAGAATAGACAAAACCCGCCAGCTCTCTCCATATAAGTACTCGGGTATGTGGTTGCAATTTCACGCTGGTCTTATGTGGAAAGACCTCAATTTCCAGGGACTACTAGTATTCAAAGAGCCTGAGATTTGAAAAATATACTAGTATCATAAAACATTATTAACTATGCTAACCCAATGCAAAATCATAAAGACATTACCTAAATCCAAGACCAGTAACTGACTACCACAGTGCCTAACAAAACATTCCATAACACACCACTAAAAATCTAACCAATCATGCCCTTCTCCTCATCTCCAGCCCTAAATGATAACATACTTAAAATCATCCAAAAACCAAAGCCCGAACCTCAATACTCTCCCTCAACCTCGCACCATCAGGCGTCCTAGGATCCCAAAACGCAGTATGAGGCACCCACTGCGCAACATCACCACCCTCCAACCCCTTCGAATCCGAACACTTAAGCAACAACCTCTCATCTTGGCTCATCCCAGACCAATACTTCCACTTCTGCTCCGGATTGAACTTCACCCCCATAGTCTCACCCGTCCGATGCGGATACCGGTGTTGAATAGGGACGAGATCATCCTTATCCACAGACTGCGCCGACGCAAACGCCAACGGCGCGGACTGAACAGGCTCGGCCGTCAGAGGTCGCCAAACGTTCACGATGCGATAACGGCCTGCGAGAAGTCTCTCTGCCTCGTCTGAGTCGGTGATATGAAGTCTGACTCTGTCGGCTGCTGCGCGGGGGGGTTTGATCCACGTGGGCGCGATTGACGGGTTGGCGGGGGGCGTCTGGCTTTGCGCGGCGGATTGTGTGGTCGAATAAGACTATCTTCTCTGCGCCGGGGATGGAGGATAGAAGGAGTGATTCGACTTCCGGGTAGTATGTTTCGCGGACGGCGGTGTCCGAGTCGAAGGTTGAGGAGGTTGTTTTTGTGGGGACGGAGGAGAGGGTTTGGAAGGCGTCTTTGTCTAGATTGTAGGATTTTTCGTCGCCGCGGATGTCGTTTATGTTTACTTGATGCGTTTGCTCGAGGTAGTTGCGTTGTGGTTGGTTGGCAGGGGGTGCTTCGACGTAGTTGAATGGGGCGGAGCCGTCGGGTGGTGATGCGTAGAAGGTTATCTCTGCGGTTGTGGGACCCCGAGGGATGTAGCTTGGTCCGCTGGTGGTAGTGGTGCCAGTGGTGGCTATTGTTTCGGTGGTGGTGGCCATCTTGTATGATTATATACCGAGTATAGTTATAGTATACTAGTGCGGGTGGATGTGATGCGATGCGATGCGATGCAATGCGATGCGAAATGATGATCCTAGATGCAGAGCACACTCTTTATACCGCTGCAGAGTCGGAGCCAGAAGTTTAAAAGTCTCCGGAGACTATGATGAATTAGTGAGCAAGATGACCATTCGATGTTGCTGGGGGCATTTGTCATCTCGGCGAGAATTCCGGAGAAGCGACCACTCAACGCGCTGCAGATGTGGCGATGACCCAATTTCTGACCATGATCACATCATTCATGCTGCCCAGCACGCTATACATCCTGCAATGCAATGCTACGCTCTACTAAGAATTTCATGACAGTGTCAAACAGCTTACCTGGTTGATTTGTAGATGCTGATGACCAACCATAGCGGGTGGCGTCATAGTCATACGAGGTTGAAAGTGGAAGAACCGCGTAGTGTACTAACTAGATCGACATCGCATGTAACGCGATTCGGTCAAATGGAAAGCCAAGAGAAACGAAAACGAATGGAAGAAATCAAGTTCAGTTGATTATGCAGCTCAAGAAAGAGCGGGAAAAAAATAGACATGCGAATTGGAATACCTAACGCCAGTCCTCTCGTGCAATTGCAATCCACGGACCCATCCAATTGAAAAGAAGCAGATAAAGACAGAAATATCGAATAAAGACACCAGTTCCCTCCTAACTTACAACCAAACGCTAGATAAGTAGTCAGACGCCACCGGAGTAAGTAGCCCTCAGTGATTCCGAGTCCGTTTGCTGCTGCGCTCACGCTCCATCATGATGGAAGGGAACATCTCGAACCCCGGCTGCTGGCGCGCGGGCTGGAGTTGAATGTTCATACTAGGCGGGAAATCGGGATGCAAGGAGGAGATTTCACCCGGGTTAGGTGGGTGGCCATCGATAGGCTCTGACGGGAGCGGCCCAGAAACAAGTTCGATCAAGGATGCATCGATCCAGCCAGCAGGCTTGCTGCTGTGCAGACGATCGAAGCGCGCAGAGTCGTCGTCTGCCTCGTCATTGAGCAGGGATGTCAATGGCGGCGCGTTGCCCGTTGTGCGGACCTGGTGACCAGCGAGGACGTGGTAGGGCAGGCTTGGGCGGGTAGCGGGCTTGTCGGCAAGATCGGCCAAGGCACTGAGAGCGCTGTGCGCCGCGGTTGTGCGGGTCGAGCGTGTGACGTGGAAATTGTGGCTGGCGGTACGAATCATGTCCGATGCAGCGGGAGTGCCATTGTCTTCGTGGCCAGTGTTTTCCGGGGTATCCTCCGCGTCAGTGTTGTTGCCGTTGGTTACGGCGCCGGAGCCCTGGTCGGCGCGCTTGGAGGTGGAGAAAAAGTGCATGGTCGCAACATGCGCCTGGTTTGCGTGCGCGCTCAATTCCTTATCTGTGAAGAGCGAATGCATCGAGTATGTGGGCGCAGTTTGTTTCTCAAGATATGTCTTGGAGCGCTCGGCCGGGGTCGTGCCGCCCGTGTCCCGCACGGGAGATCCAGTATCCTCTTCGGGCGCCTTGCGCTTGCGCTTGTTCAACTCTGAGACAATGCCGTTGCCCAACTCGTCCAGATCCACGCGATGTCGGGTGTGTCGAGTTTTGCGGTTGCTGTGAATGCCACCGGGGCTGGCGGGGTTGGTGATGCTGAATTGGTTGGGATGTAGCAGTAGGGCGTTCGTGTCGGCGATGTCGAGTTGTTCCTTCTCGCGCATCAGACGAGTTCGCTTGCTCGAGATACTTTGCATCAAGCGCTCGCGAAGGGTGCCCGATAGCTGATTGTACTCCTCCTTAGCAAAGTGTACTCGCCAGTCGTATTCCCTCCAGTGTCGATCAAGGCTATTTTGGTGTCGGTTCTATACCACAAAAACGAACATGTTAGCAAACACATTTAAACTTGCCCATATTGAAGCAGCTCAGTGCGAGACTTACCATGACTTGAGTCAAATCCGAATCCTTCTGCTCCTTGACATTATTCACCTCCTGTACAAACTTCGCATACCAAGTCCCCGACAGACTTGCCATCTCCTTGGCGAACTTTCCCCCGCCGACAGTATCCTCAATCAGTTGCGCAATATCCTCAGATGAGTCCTGCAGCAGGGCAGTCTGGTAAGGGTCGGCATTATTAATGAGGGTCATATCGCATTGGAGAGAGTGAAGCTGCTGGCGGAATTGGGCGTCACGGTTCTGGCTGAATGTAGCGGTCAGATCATGAAGACGCTCTTGCAAAGCCGATCTTCTCTTGTCGCGCTTCGAGATCGGACCTGACGCTCCGCCAGTCGGGCTGGTGGAACGCCCTCGTTGTAGTCCGCCATGGTAGGCGGGCCCAGTGCCGGGTGATGGGGGCCCCGGAGAGTAGGCCATGGATTGAGAGGGTGTGTAGATTTAGGAGAAGTGATAGACAGGTTGCATAAAGACGCGCCTTTTAGACCAGCTCTGGGAGTATAACCTAGACCAAAAAGAAGCACGATAGAGGGCTCAGTGCCTGTAATGTGTAGACCGGCCTGTCGTCAGAAAAGCGGACGGTATTGTCTAGTGCCAGATGCGGTTTAGGCCCGGCACTACGTTTGACCGTCCCGAACTACTGGCGACGCTTGCCACACAAACTACATAGATTTAAGTGGGTTAGGCAGAGAAATAATGGGGTGAACATGCTTTTTTTGGATCAAGAGCTCTCAGGAATGAGGTCAAATTTCCCATTTCTTCTTTGATGACGTGCGTCCCGGCAGCACGGTATATGGCTCGCATGCAAGCAGCATGAGCTTCAAGCCTGAGTATCACGGATCACTCGGATCCAGCTCTCCATGGCTGGAGCCAATAATGTTCGAAGAATCCTCATTACGGGGCATGGGGTTGCCATTCCATATGCAAGTAGAGCAAACAATATGCCGTAGCAGATTCCGACTCTGCAAGGCAAAAATCCCTTAAAACAATGCCTAACTCTACTATAACAGAATAGTATTAAGGAGGGACTTCTTACTAGCTACACAAAAGGAAACGAATACCTCTAAAAGATTGTTTGTATTGGATTTCAACCCCAGTAAAAATTTATATCCATCATAAAAAAAAAAATCATCAAGTCTTGATCGCCAAAAAAGAAAGAGAAAAAAGACCAACATCATGGGTATTCACGTTCGTTTCCATCCGGCCAAAAATAAAATGCAGGACGGCGCACACCACGGCCGAAATAATAAAATATAATAAGGTAAAGTCACTGACCAACTAACTCCAGGGACACATACCAGAGGTCCGTATAGAAGAATCATTTTTAAAAACTGTATGGTTTCAAATGAGGGTGGGTGAGAAAGGAAAGTATTTTGGGTGGGAAAGTGGTCATTTCCGCAGGGTTGATCAGTTGGTTCGTCGGATAACGAACACACCCAGCTCAACCCCTTCGTGAGGCTCGCTGTCCTCGCCATAAGGCCGCTTGCGAATGCCTTCAAAGATCTCGCCGAGGAGCATGGAAGACGAGATGTCCTTGTCAGACATGTGCCCCGAGCCACCGTTGGACATGGTCTTGTTCGCGGGAGGCCGGCGGCCGTTCTGCCAATAGAGGTTGAGAACTTCCTTCATCCGGGCCTTCTCTTGGTGAATGAACCACTCCACCCACAGATTGCGGTCCAGATCGGCATTGGCACGACCGGCATCAGCCACCTGGAACTGTGACGATGAGGAGCTTAGAGACTCGCAGAGTGTGGCAATGTTTGCCTTCATCGTGGCAAAGTCATCCATTTGGGATACTGTGGATAGCTTGCCCAAATAGCGACCGACGTCAGCAGACAAGCCGTTCACTACGACTAATTGTCGCAGGAGAGGGTCGAGAATGGGTCCCAGATATTGGGACTTGAATGTGGAGGCACCCTTCTTGGTGGGGTAGATGAAGAGAAGCGAGCCTCCGTTTGGAGATAGCTCGCTGAGTCGGTCCACAAGGAACGACGGACGGGTAGGGCAAAACAGATCTCTATATTCCTGAGCGGAAGGCGGGGGGAGATATCGCTCTAGCACGGAAATATGAACACTGTGAGGGGGGACGATGTGCATCGGAGCATGTGCAAGTTGCCGCTGAAGAGGGCCACGAAAATCGTGGTACGCACCCACCACTGCGGCGCTGGAGAAAACAGTGGCGTTGAAATAGTCATCGGCAGCGGTTGGAGAGCGAGGAGTGCTTGGAGGAGAATGTGGCAGGTTGGACAGACTGAACTGTTCGGGCACTGCGTGTGTGACATTAATGTAAGGCGAGTGGCCAGGCTGCAGATGGCTGTGGACAGCCTGGACGATAGAGCAGAAGATAGTATCATTTCTCGGCAGCGAAATCGACTGATCTGAAGTCCTCGGGTATGGAAGAGTCTGTGAGACGATCTTGACGGCCTCACCTCGCGGATTTGATGTTCCCAAGGAGGACACTGTGGAGAGAGGTTAGAATTCTTGGAAATTTACGCCTGTGATTATGTGTTCGGATGTTATCACTCACCAGTCACGTTGATGCCCTGGTCTAGCCACGATCCCATATCTTGTTGGCAGTCCATCTCGTCCTGAGGGCCTGGGCTGCCCCCGGCGCTAGAAGAGCCATTCGACAGGCCGTCAGACGGACTACTGAGGGTATCTGATGGGCCAGTTGGGGGGGGAGGTTCCCAGGCTGTGGCTCTCATCCATCATCGCACCGGAGCTCGGCTCCTGGTGGGTATTGGTACCAAAGAGCATCATCTCGGACTTTGGGTTCCAGGCGACGTGGCTATCGTCGTCCGGTGGTGTGAGGGGCAGAACAGAAGGGTAGTCGGACTGGAAGGAGGAAGGAGAAGAGTTCCAGAAAGAGGTAGAGGTAGATGAGTTCGAATGCGCCGTCAAGGGTCTCGGCCCGCGAGACACCGTGGTGGACAGACGAAGACGAGAGTCTACAGACCGGGTTCGCGACTCGACCCGGAGCGGCGAGCCCGGCGAAGAACTGCGGTGTTCCCAGGAAGGGAAATGTACCGCGACACTGCCCTTGGAGAGGAACCGAGAGACCGGGGAGGGTTTGGTGCGGAGGGATCCTTGCGAGGCTCGTCGACGGAGTTTTGCTGGGCTTGGGCCGGTACGTTCGGCGGGGGAGGAGTCAGGGAGGGAGTGGTTGGAGAGACGACGTTGGGTGTCAAGTTTCAGTGTGGTCGGATGCATGGTTAATTTGTCTGGGGAAGTCACTGGCCCACACCGTCCATTGCACTGTCGATTCATCCAGGCCGAGTCGGGTGGGCGAAGAATGGCGGACGGCATGGGATTCGCCGTAGAGAGCAGAGGAGGTGGGAGGTTTGAGAATTCGACCAGGTGTGCGTGTGTGTGTGAAGGACGGAAAGGCAAAGACAGAGGCAAAGGGGAGACGAGGCGAGAAGAGAATGAGAAGAGGGGAGGTAAGGGGAGGAAAGTGGAAATGGTCCAGAGTTGGCCCAGTGTATCGGGTACTTTGGAAGATTATGGTGGCCCCGGGAGAATTGGAGGTACCGGGTACGTCTGCTGGGGCTGCTGCGGCTGCTGTTGGGGGTCTAGACAATGTTCTAGACCGGTCGTCGAGTCATCGGTGGAGGAGAGTAGCCCAAGGTAAGAAAAAAGCTAGAAGTACCTAGCAGAGAGGAAGAAGACTTCTCGAAGGTGCTAGTGTAGGGTCAGGAGGGCTTATATGCGATATTGACTACCGTCCTTTCCAAATAATTTAATATTTAATATTTACCATTTAACGACTCACGACCCCAGCTTCATCTCTGTTATGGTGTTGACGAGGCCCCGTCGCCGTGCTAAAAATGTGCTGCCGCAAGTCTAGACGCTCCACGGAGCTGCGACTGGCTACAACTGGCCACGACTGGCTGACGGGCCCCACGCGGCTGGGCGATCATTCTCGGTTCTGCATCGAGTTGATGAATCCAGGCCTCTCTGATTCTCCCTGATCCTCTCTGATCCTCTTCGCTGTCACATACTTGAAATTTTTCTGGACCTCTGGATATTAATTCCTGTCGAATCCCGGTGTAGGATGTTTCGTTTTGCTCATATAAAAAAGGGCTTTCCGAGGTTCATCCATCCATGGTGGGTGACGGTGGGTAGTTGGGTGGAGGGCTGTCTTGGGTGAATGTACTGGTACTTGGGCCAATGCGTGGGGAATGTACTGGGAACAAGTACCAGTACACCCCCTCTCATCACCGTTTCCGGACTCCCGCACAATTCTAGGCTTTGGGCTGTTGCCACTGAGAAAGAGAGGGGGTCTCGTCTGGCCTTGCTCGACACACGAGACCACACAACTCTCCCAACCCTGTTTTGTCCGGCAAACACTCAAATTACTTGTAGTAGGGCATCACCTGGGCACACAGATCGGGCACCCTCATTCAAGTTTACCTGGATGTAGGCCACCGTAAAGCTACCTCCTCCATCTACAATGGGATTAGCTAAATTTTTTAATCTTTAGGGGTTTTTTGGTTTTTCCACATATTATTACCAGTATACTCCCTGGCAGACCCTTTGCCCCTCCCCTCGCTCCGATCATACCGATTAGTTATGATATGGGGTTGGCACCAAGCAGGTGACGCCTCCCCTCCCCCTCCAGATCAGATCGGACGCCCGGTCATTCCATCGTGGCCGTTGGCCCGTTGTAATTTCCACCGTTGGCCCCGGTCTGGTTCCCAGTCCGGTTTTATCTCCCATGCCCCCACCCGAGTCTCACTTAAAGTACGTCCTTTGCCACTTTGGTCGTCTCCTTGAACGTGTCATGATCTTACCCAGCGAATCGCAATAGACCTACTATACTTAATACTTGTTATGCAGGAGAGTCGGGCGGGGCGCTCACTTTGATGAGGAGTACACTATGCGCAGATAGTACTGTACACAATGTGGAAATTATACCCAGAACTTTGAAGAGTTATCGGTGGTACGCCAAATGAAATGCTCCAGAAAAATGTATTATTATGAGATTGTATTCATATATTAAGATTAAAATTGATATTGAAAGACCGGAAATCGGAACGCCAGATGGCGAGACTCAAGCTTTTCGGCCGAAGCCATGACATGCTGTTTAGTTATCCAGTTCAAGTTGGGAAAGAAGAACTTCAAAAGAAGTAAAGAGCTAGAGAGCTAGAAGGGTCTGGATGGCTGCAGTGCGACCGCACCAGGCCCGGGGAAAGCCATTCATCCTCCTCCGACGAGTCCAGGTCTGCGAACCCGAGGATCCTGGCGCTGAAGATCTCGGTCGCATGAGGGGGTGTTGCAGAAAATATGCATAGATAAATTGGCGCTCCAATCAATCAATGACATCTCTTGGTAAACTTGAAAAAAAAACATATCTTGCCGGACTTATTCGGTTGCTTGACCCAGATGAGGATGTAATCAAAACACGCCACCTGGAAGTAAGCAAGAAGTATCCGCAAGCTGTTGATTGATTGCCAGTCGTCCACGTTGGCCACGTTGGCCACGTCTGCAAGGGTTGGACCCTGTGCCCTGTGTGGCATCTGATCAAGAGGACTTGGACTGATGTGATTCTTTCAACCCGCTGGCTGGTTCCTATGCCGGATTGGCTGGCCCTTATCAAAGGTTTCGAAGAAGCTTCGAGATGCGGGGTCGAGTCCAAGGTTGGGCGGGGGGGATGGTGTCATCACTTTTGATGCACCAGCGTGGTGGGTGGTGTAGGAGCTTGGTATTGGTCAGGAATTTTGGAAAAAAAATTCTAGTACCATTCAATCGGTGTAGAGTTTCACGAGGTCATCGAGCGACGGCGCGATTGTGTAGGGGCGACACCACCGAGCGGTTGACGAAGCTCCCGGGAGCAATCGTTCCATGAATTCCAGACCATGTGCGACCGGTAGCGCTGCTCCTCGCGTCCAAGCCGGACTTGTTTACGGGCAAAGCTGGAGGGCTTGACAGCAATTGTGCACTTGGGCGCGCGGTCGCAGATCGGATTAGGGTTCGCCATAGGAATAGTGACAGCGGGGCTGTCAAGTGTGGTTCGGAGCTCGTGGCATTGGCGAACCAGCTGTTGCACGCCATCGGTCAGGCGAGACGCCCGCTCTTCGATATCGGGCCAGAAAGCGTCGCCCCAAAAGGCGTCCTGGCGCACGGCGGTTTCGAGGGCGGCAAGCCAGCAGTCAAAGCCAGAGCGGGAACCAGCCAGCTGGGCAGCGACAGTGACAAACCGAATAGTGGGCTCGGAGTGAAGGACGTGAAGGACGATGCAGGCCGGGCAGCGTGCAGTGAGGTACCAGTCGTGCTCTTCCGTGAGAATACAATGCAGCCAAGCGAAGGCGCTGCGTGCCTCGCCGCGAAAAGCTCGTTCGGGTTCGGCTCTCTGCTTGCTAGGCAGCGCACGCGAAGCAATGCGCTCTGCTTGGTGGTTGATCAAGAAAAGTGGGACGAGTAGAGTGTGGATGATGTCGCGATGCAGGCGGAAGGACTCTTGTTCGGAGCAGCCCAGGTCGCCGTGGTCTGAGCAGAAGCTTGGCCTCTCCATGCCGCAGTCCTGGCGGCGAAGTTGTTCTCTCATAGCCCGGAAGGCTTCATTGCGCTCGAGCTCGAGTTGGTCACGGAAGGAAATACGAAAGGGGGAGGAGACGTCGTCCATTATCGTGATGTTTATAGTGGAATTTCGAAGGGTGTGGAGAGATGTCGACAAATTCGTCGATGGTTCAAAGAGCTATCATTCGGATGATGGAGTTATTTCAGGGAGGCAGATTAGAGGAGCATAGTGTAGCCGGGTGTACTCGTAGGAAGCGATAAAATGTTATAGATCACTGAAATCACACGAAAAAGAAGCTCTGTGGGGAACAGGGCCGGATGCGGACTTTATTATAAGACCCCCTTTACGGAAACGTCATGGGAACGAAGCAGGATGGGGTGTAGATCGCACAGGGCCTTCTTCGCCTCTTGGGGGGGCAGCGTCCAGGGTAGACGCAGTCGATCGCAATGGATGTTCCCCACTGCTGACGAACGCAACGGCAGAAGGCCACACGATTGGCGGAGTTGGTCGGAATGAGTGGACTGGTGGAGATGGGAGAGCCCGTCTGGAGAGTCTGGACTGCGGTCTTGCGCTTTGCTCTTCGCAATATGGTTCAGGTTCAGGGCTACTCTATCTTTAGCCCCTATCTGGTGGAAACTCGGTGTGGTGGTCCAACCTTACTCGTAGGGACTTAAATTGGTCCCAAGAAGAAGTCGTTGTTTATCTATGGTTATGGTACTATAGTACCTACTGGTAGTACCTTAAATAAGGTGGTAGTCCCTGGTAGTACTGTCCTCTACTTCATATCATGGCCGGAAATGACCGGAGATCATGATGGAATGGGAGAAAGAACCGAGTGGTGTATCGCAATCATGTCCCCATTTCCCATTCCATCCATTATTCTGATACGGCCAACCGATCAGCGCCCAAGTCACCGTGCCCAACACCTAGGCCACGGGCGAAAACACGGCAACGTTATCTGTGCGTGAAGAGGAGGGGGAGATCCCTCCCGTCTGCAGGAAGTGGGTAAATTAGGGGTCTCCATCGTGGCATCGCGATGTGGAAGGGATAGGCAGGGTATTGGGGGAGGGTGGAGGATGTTAGGGCTCCGATCGGACAGAGGGGGCCTTCCATACGGAGTAGATTGATTTCGAGCGTAAATTTTCTTTGACAAAATAAGGAGAGATGGAACTTGAAAGCTTGGAGGATTATTTTTGGATCAGGGGTTTGATAGCTAAGATCAAGGGTCCGAGTCAATAGGACGCCACAAATCAGAAATTGATTCCATCCAACTTCCGAGTCCAAGGTTGAAAAATAAAATAGGGGCCGTTGGAGGGGAGAAAAGGGTGGGACTCGGCAGTCTCCGGGTTGCCAGTGCCAGTGCCAGCGCCAGTGCCAGTGCGAGATTCGGAGCTCACGGGCATTCTTGGCTGTGTCCAACCGGGTTGTTTTTGTTTGCTATGCAAGACTGTAAACGGATTGAAATATCACAGAACTTGAACCTTGGAAACATATATATATATATATATATAAGTACCCAGGTATAGTATCTATATGTAGTACCTAGTAAAGCATGTAGTATGTGCTTCTGCATACTTGTATACCAGACTCTACTCCATGTCCAAGTGTAGGGCTAAACCCAGCAGCCCATCCGCTCTTTGTTTTGCTCTCCCCACCCACCAGACCTCACGCTACCCCTGCCAATTTCCAATTTGTCTGGCAAACAGATATGCAGGATCTCACATCTCACAACTCACACTGCATCTGTCTCTGTCTCTGTCTCTAATTTTATTTCTGTGTTGACTCCATTCCTTAACGCGTACTCGTAATTTCTCTTTGGCCCCCTTGGCATGTCGCGCCAGTGGAATGAAGAGTCCGACTCGGCGCTAAAGCACACACATCTGCCACTGCAATCTAGGAAAACCGGTTCCCAAGGTCCAAGGTTACCAAGGTCCAGGAATTCTTGTTTCATTTGATTTTGCCTTGCTTCTTCCGCCCTAGAAGCACTGGCAGTTACCATATTTCGTAGACTCGTAGACCTCGTAGACTCTTTGGTATATTTCCAAGTTCGCTTGCATTGATCGCACCTTCCCTTCGAGTTGACGGCCCTCTTGCCGCATCACTCACTGTTTACAATTAGACCTGCGACTTTCTGCCATCTCATCATCTCCAGCTTTCTCCCTCTTTCTTCCCCTATCGTCCCCCATCTTCATTCTACCCATTGGCTCTAGTGTTACCATTACCATCACTTATCATTGGGCATCAACATTGATCATGTTTTCCTCGCTCGCGCTCTCCGTGGCGCCCCTGCTCCTGGCTGGTCTGCAGGCCGTGACAGTGGACGCAGTTCCAACCATCTCCGCCGTAGGATCCAAATTTTTCTACGAAAATGGCACCCAGTACTACCTGAAAGGTTCGTGGGGACTTGGTTTACTCATGGCTGGGCCTAGGCTAATCAAACCGTGGCAGGCATTGCTTATCAGCTTACCCCCCCACGACCCGCTCGTCGATACCGCCCAATGCGAGCGCGATATCGCTCGCATGTCTGAGCTGGGCACCAATGCTATTCGTGTATATCACGTCGATCCCAAGGCCGACCACAAGGGCTGTATGTCGGCTTTCGCGGATGCAGGGATCTATCTGTTCGTCGATCTCGATACCTTCACTACCCAAATCGAGCAGGTATGAACTCCACCGTTCATCCGTTCATCTTCCATGACATACTGACAGGAAACCTAATGGTAAATAGACCGAGCCCCACTGGAACCAAACCCAGTTTGATCGCTTCAAGGAAGTTCTTGATGAATTTCAACAATTTGACAACACCGCCGGTGTATTAGTTGGCAACGAGGTCCTGACTACAGCCGATGGCTCTGCTGCAGCGCCCTACGTCCTCGCTGCCGCTCGTGATGTCAAGGCCTACCGTGATCGCAAGGGCTACCGAGAGATTCCTGTCGGTTATTCTGCCGCTGATATCGCTGATCTACGCCCCATGCTTCAAAACTACCTCGCCTGCCAGCCAAATGCCTCAGATCGTCTCGACTTTTATTCGCTGAATGCATACGAGTGGTGTGGTGACTCTTCTTACACCGTCTCTGGTTACAACATGTTGCAGAAGAATGCCACCGACTACCCCATTCCGATCTTTTTCTCCGAGACAGGGTGCAATACCCCCACTCCCCGAACTTTTGACGACCAAGCGGCTATTTTTGGCAAAGACATGGCTGACACTTGGTCCGGCGCCATCATCTATGAGTGGATTGAAGAAACCAACGACTACGGTCTTATCAGCTACGGACCCTCTGCCAAGGCCGCCACCGCCACTATTGTCGAAGATGGCTACACACGCAAAGGGACTCCGACACCTGTCTCGCCTGATTTCGGAAATTTGAAGAAGCATTGGGCAACATTGCACCCTACTGGAGTCGCGCTTTCCGACTACAAGAAGTCATCTAGCAGTCCTTCTCTCGAATGCCCTTCCTCAACCAAAGGAGGCTGGGCAGTTGATCCTAGCTCGCCGCTTCCGACACTGGGACAAACATATACCAAGGAATCAACTACTGGAAAACAAACTGGCACTTCGACTTCTGGATCAGGCAGCGCTACCTCCACCGCGTCTGGCAAAGGCAACGCTGCCAATTCCAAGGTGTTCGTTGCTGGGTCGACCACCGAGCGTATGCTGATGGCCTCTTTCATTCTCTCTGCTGGCTTGGGCGCTCTAGCTTATTTGCTGTGATTGATCGACGCCGACTTGGGGATAACCTTATTAATATGCATCCTTGTTCTTCCAATGTATAGCATAGACACGAGTCAATGAAACGATGTACCCGTTAGCACTTCCTCTTGGTAGTAATAATAAGTTCCATACAAAACTGACTCCATACTTGCTCCCTAGCATCGGCATTAGGTCGGACCAGCAGAGGTGCGAATCCCAAAAGGCTGCCGAATCAGTGGGTCTACCGCTGTAACCTTCTCGACAGTTCGGCCGAGTCAATTCTCATTTGAGATATTTGCCACGGCAATGATGACATGCGAAGGGGGTGGCTTGAGCATTTCCTGTTTGAGAGGGGAATTTATCTTGACAATTCTAAAAAAGAAAATCCCGACGCCTGTCAAAATTCCAGAACTGTCTTTGTATTGATGGGTGATTAGGGTGGCTTTGCGGATATCCACTACAAAGACTGGTTAGCATGCGCGTATGTAGAGTCAGCTTACCAGGCCAGACTTTATTTTATTCACACCTATTTTTAGATTAAATAGCTACAGGAAGAGAAAGAAGGTTGAAAATTGAAATTATCTAAATTCTTCTATGTCAACGCAGATGAAATGGGGTTTGCAGAAAGCCACCGGCATAGATGCAGTGAACCTTCATACTTATGCCCAAGCAAAAAGTAACTAAGCGAAGATTTATCATTCTAGCCGCGCTTACTTACAATAACATAGTTCTTCCTAGAAACCACAAATTTGATCGCCACGCAGAACCTTGTTGGCCACTCACTGTATAAGCATTTTTCGGCGTAGGTATGATCATAATGACACGGGCGGAATCAAGGCCCGCGGCCCTAATTCCAATGGAAAATAGTAAGTTCGAGTTTTCAGCATCTCATTGAAGTCCAAGATTGATTGAATGATTCCCTATGTACAGACACATCGCATCAATCCGGCACTCCTCTCTCCCGATTGCCTGCCGGACCAGCATCGCCATTCCTCCCAGGACGACGGGAGCCACCCTTGGTCCCGGAAAAAATTATACTCCTTCAACAGGCCCTTCTATAAGACCTCTACTCAAACTCAATACTACATGTTCCACGCCGCGGAACTATACAGCTGAGACTGTCGCGCCATCTGGAGACGGCCGCATCTTAACAGCCATCAAACACGAACATCGCGAGCTCGAAGCCGACGTTGATAAAATCCTAAATTCTTCAAGCCCTGACGAGCAAACCCGCTACCAAAACCAATTCACCTGGGAGCTGGCCCGTCATATGATAGGCGAAGAGCTCATCGTCTACCCTGCTCTGATCAAATATGTTAAGAATGGACAAGCGATTGCAGACGAGGGCCGGGCAGAGCATCAGGACATCAAAGAGCAATTGAAGATGTTTCAAGGGCTACGATCCACGGATCCGCGCTTTATCCCGACACTAAGGGCGTTAATAGGTGATCTGGAGAATCATATTCGAAAAGAGGAAGATCAAGACTTCGCGCGATTGGAGGCAACGATTTCCAAAGAGGATAGTGAGACATTGACGCGGTGGTTGAATCAAACAAAGATGTTTCTTCCGTCTCGCTCGCACCCGTTGGCGCCGACTAAGCCGCCCTTTGAAACGGCTGTGGGGCTTTTGACGGCGCCGGTTGATATGGTGGCCGACATGTTTCGCAAGTGGCCGAGGGAGAGGAAGGGAAATGTGCCTGTATCTAGATAACGGTATTTCGTTTATTCATATTGCGTAGTAGTGAGATATTTGAATGGAAGAGGAGATATTCTACATTCAAGTGTCATTATAATTGGTATACTAAATTCCGGGGGTTTAATAATATCTTGGAAATCACCCTCGACATGCTAGTACTGTGGAATCTGTTGTTACCAGAGGAGTTTCCAGGTATCCATGTCGGTGTAGTCGACGAAACTTGTTACTCATGCCCACATTACTATTCACCGTTGGGCTGTTGAGTTGCAAAGTCGTTTCGAAAGATCGCCGTCGTTTCCATGCCTTGCGAAATTGATGCTGCTCGTCATCTTGCTGTCTCGTGCGTAAGAGCAAAAAGTCACCATGCGCCTCCTTTTCTTCGCTGAGGGCTTGTATCTTCGTGGGAAATAATATTAGAATCGTTTGAAATGATTGCTTTTTTGATAAAAAACCATACGCTAATCTCGATGAAAACTCGGAATAACAAAAGGAAAGCAAAACATACATAGGCTAACCATAACTCTTGCTCCGAACTCCAAGCCTTCTGACATCTTGCAAGTTGCCTTCTTGCATCTTGGAGCTTTTTCTCCTGACCACTCGTCCAGCGGCATTGGCTGCGAACAATACTCGCCCAGCTCACCACGCGAGCAAGCTGCGGCCGTGCGGAAGGTTCGCACTTCTCTGCGAGCCGGTCGGGCTTGCAGCCGGGGATTGAGTCAAAATATGAGGAAGATGCATCCTCCTCTACTGACTCGTCGCCCTGTGTGTCGTACCTCATGGCTTTCGGGTCTAGATGTTGCTTCACCGCTATATGCAGGGCGTGCGAGACGTCACAGTGCAGGGATGCGTCGGGGATTTCGGCATCGTGATAATCAATTTGGGGACCGCTTTGTGAGCTATACCCTGAGTCCGGAGATTGAACTTCATCTTCTTTTTCTTTTCCCTTACTGCCGGCGGAGCTTGTTGACTGACGCCTTTTCCAGAGGAGGGAGAAGGGCAAGGCGCGATAGACGAGGGTAAGAACCGCCATGACAGCACCTGTTGAACATGGATGCAGTGAAAACAAAAAGATAAAAACGAATACCGAATAGGGCCACAGAAGTACTGGGATCAACTTGATCTGCTATTCTCATTCCTCGTCTATCGGTTCGCCCCTGGCGCTCTTATATGCTCAGTTTCTCGCCACGAGGGGTTGTACTTTGTATGCATTAAGACCGGCAATCCGCCTAACGAAAACGAACGTGCAGGAGGCGCTCGCACGGAGGTGGGGGTGTGAGCCCGATGTCCTTCAGATGCGTATTCTGCTTGGCTGCCCACGCGAGAGACACCAATTCACCGGGGAGTCCTGGTTGGTGCAGCCGGTTGAGGTCTGCGGCGTTGGTCGAGAATACAACCAGAGCCAGCTCTAGAGTCGCGCTCGTGTACCTGAGGACGCAAGCAGTCGTACATATCGCGGGGTTTTATTGATATGAAGAGGGATTTTTGCGGGGATAGACAAACATGGTAGTCTTGAAGACAGGAGGGAAGCAGTCCATGTCCCAGGGTTGTTGTGAAATCGACGTGATGTTTTCGTCTGATCTATACATCGCCACCAGCGTCAACTTTCGGGAAAACCAGGAATCACTATGCAGGAGTCGGGCGTGGTTCGCTAAGACCTCCATCTAGCACAGCTGCAGACGGCTAAACCAGGTACTTGAAACAGTCTAGAATTATGGCCGAGCCCAGACCTGGAGGTTGTAACAGTTTTACATTTATAAACAAGATAAATGAGACTGCGAATACAAAAAACGCTAAAAAGGTATCGAGGTCACGCTGAAAATGAAAAGCCAGAATTCAACATGAGTAAGGTATCTCAGTACAATTCCAGACCAATAACCGTGAGGGAATCATTAAAGAAAGAAAAGCCGCTAGAAGACAAACTACCGGCTTCATCATCATCTTTCCTAAGTATACGCCAAAAGAAATTCAGAATGTGTTCATCGCCATGTATCGACAGAGGCCCCACGGTTCGCCTGGGCCTTTTGCTCGTCTCGGATTTGCTCGCCAATGATTATGCTGATCAACCTCCTATGCAGATCTGCGTCGGTCCACTCCACTTGCCCCGATCCACCATATTGTACATCAGCATGCGAAAGTTCATGTACAAATCGATCAATAATCGAGAACTGCGCTTCAGAGATCGGAACTCCGTGGAGTCCATCTGAAGTCCAGATCCAATCGCCGATAATTTGGGCCCGCCCCGGTGCATCATAGTAGGGGAACCGTTCGGGGTGGCGTTTCGCGATTCGGTAGACGCGCCGAAGAGCCAGGTAGTGGTCATTGGAGAAGTAGCCAAACACGGCGAGTGGCCTCGGCCCTTTCGGCGAGTCGTGCTCCTCTTCGATCATATTTGCAGGGTTATCTTCGACAAGTTCGCTTGAGATGCTCCGATCAAACCGGATCCTCCCGCCCTCATCCTCGTCTTCTTCTTCCACTGAAGAGACAGCCTCGCCATGCTCTTGTTCGAGACCTATTGACTGAGGTGTCCTTTCAACCTCGAGAGGTGATTCGCCTGAATGATCCGAGAAACGGTCGGAAGCCGATGCGTGCTCATGATAGTGATGGTCGTTTTGAGGTGATTGGAGGGAAAGTTCGCCCTGGTCAACTTGACCATCTTCCAGCTCATCTTCAGAAACATCCCTAGGATCATCTTCAGAAGCAGAGCTAGACTCGTCATCTTCGGAATGGGCAGGGGCCTTGAGCCATCTAGGAGTAAGACTGGTGATTCGTTGGAACCAGGATGACCCCTGGGGTTCCACATCTGACTGACGCTGATGTTCCGGGGTCATGGTTATATCCCCATGTGCCGGTTCGGCCTCGTTGGAGGCTCCATCAGAAACGCTACCAATCTCCTCCACATCACTGATGTGAGCTTCTTGTTGGGAATAATTATGTCGGAAAATGGGGGATTCCTGTTCGGCTTCTGGCTCTCTCTCGGGGGATTGAGAGAGCGGTTGTAAGCGAACTCGTTTTCCAGAATTTCCTGACTGGCTTTTCAGGGCGGAGCCATTGATAGACGAGTGCTGTGTAGTGGAGCGTAGTATACTTCGGGGGGTGCTTGTCCCGTTGTAGTATCGTGCGCGATTAGGCGTATCATCCGCTGCGAGAAGGGCGGAAAGGTCTACTTCGCGTTCACGGAGTTTGCGGATTTGTGTTTGGTTCAAATGACGCAGGTCATCCTTTTCTAGGTCCACGTAAGCTGGAGAGGGGCTGAGATGATTTTGAGACGAAGGGTTTCCCGCAACATGTCGCCAAGGGCTAGCATCCTCTTCGGCAGGTCGCTGTTTTTGGTTGTCCGAATGATGCGAGAGATAACTGTTGTCACGGGCTTCTTGTTGCCAGATGTCGTCAAAGCCGTCTTCTTCGTCTTCCATTTCCATTTCATGGTTGGCTATTGGCTCAGGCTCTGGCTCAGGCTTGGGCTCATGTACATGTTGTGTTTCAAGCTTTGGATATTCGGGTTCCTGGCGCCAAATATCATCGTAGCCATTGTCCTCGCCATCCGAAACTTCGGGTTCGTCATATAAAGGCCGTTTCGTGGAAGTGGGACTGGAGAGAACAGGTCCCGGTTTTGATGGACCGATATTCTCAGGGTCGACAGAGCCAGCAAACCCTTCATCGGCAAATTGCTCGAAGTCCTCGGGCTCTCCCTGCTCATCTATGGTTTCAAATATTTCCGGCTCCCGGCGCTCTTCTCCACCGACGGACCCGAAATCGGACTGTAGATGATCGCTCAAAGGTCCGTCCTCTTCAAATCTTTCGGGCTGCCTGCGATCCTCCTCGCCGATGGACCCGAAATCAGACTGTAGATGGTCGCTAAACGCATTGTCTTCTTCAAATCTCTCAGGCTGCCTGTGATCTTCCTCGCCGATGGACCCGAAATCAGAGTGTAAGTGATCGCTATGCTCATTGTCCTCTTCCAATCCTTCATTTTCAGAGGCATTTTGGTCACTGTCGATGTAGATCATGCGGTTGGAATCGAGAGCATCTTGAGCATTTCGGCTGACAGCTAGTCGCTCCTCGTGCCATTTTGCCTCTCGTTGCGATCTCATCCTATCTGTCGGGTCGATTTGAGGATTTTCTTCTCGTTCAATTTGGGACGAATTGGGTATCACATGCACTTCGTCCAATTCTTCTTCCTCGTCCTCCTCATCCTCCTCTTCGATATCTTCATTCTCTTCCTCAATATCGTCTAGGGGAGTGGGTTCATTTTTGAGGGAAATTTCTGACCTCGCCTCTTCCTCTTCCTCGAGTTGGGGTTGTTCTTTCCTTGGTGAAGATGTTGGAGGGAGATCAGGATAAGAGACAGGACCCGCAGGAGATAGTTTGGCTGGACGATTCGATTCCTGGCGGGCGTGCGAGAGAAATCGAGAGCCTGGAGACAAACCATTGGTCACAGGGCTGGGCCTGGTTGAGCTATGGTAATCACTCTGGAAATCACTAATCCCTGGGAGTTTGCGTTTCAACCGATCGCCAATCCGTCCATTGTGTCGATCTTGTAAGACTCTCGCGGCATTGTCTGTCGCTCTGCTAGCATTACTGCCTAATCCAAACTGTTGAGCTGAAGGGAGAGTATCCAAAGACACCATGGTAAAGCCCTCGCTTTCCATTATCGAATCATATTCTTCGTGTTCGTCCATCGGGTCGGAGAGAGGCCGGTGATCATCATTCTCCCATTCTTGTTGTCCTTGTGCCTCCTGCGCTTGGTTTTCTTCTTCGGCCAGCGAGGAAGTTGGGGTTGGGGTGGGATACGTTCGAGGCGATGAGGCCATGCCAGCATCGCGTGCCGATCTGACTGACGAGGATCGCCTTTCTCGGGTCGGCGAAGGCATTTTTGACGGGGTTGAGTTTATGTTTTCCTCATTGCCGAGATATTGCTGTTCTGTAATAATAGGCGTGTCGTATGTAATCCTTCCATATTCCCGAGTGACGCTTGTATTCAAGTGCGCCCTATTCGTTTGCATTGGCCCAGTTAGATCTGCGACGGGCAAATCATCCGCTCCAAGTGAGTCGCTATCCAAGCCACCGTTTTCTGCAATATTGAGCGGGCTCCAATGTCGCGCTGGCTCAACGCTTCTATCTTCAACAATATCCATTGGGCTGAAATGAATCTGAGGCTCCTCTTCGGTCTCAAGAAGATGCATGGGCTCCAGAGCTGGTGTTGCCTCATCCTCAATCATGGGCGAATTCTGTATAGCTGGCCTAGGTGTATTCTTCCGCGGTCGGCCTGGTTTTCTCTTCGGTGTTTCTCCTGGTCGGCCTGGTGTATTTCCAGGGCTAGCTGGCCAAGGTGATCCATTGAACGGTTTGGTGTCTGACTTGCGCGGACGCCCACGCGATCTCGACGGTGTTTTTTCCGCCAATGGACTGCGGCCATCTTTCAAGGGAACCATTGTTGTAATGGTCGTCGGTTGGTGTCGTTTGCGCGAAGGGCTGAGCTGCATTTCACGCTCATTCTCCTCGTCCTGCGTCGCCTCGAGTGTGACTCGAATGCGCCACGGACTCACATTTCCATCCTGTTGGTCCTTCAAGGGCGAGGGAGATCTATGGCGACCGGCGAGTTTCATTGCAGGCGAGCCAGGAAGCAAGACATCGTCGAATCGGATCGAATGCGCACTCTTCGTCGGGCTGAGGCTCACGCGTGGTCGTTTGGCAGGAGTTGGCTTGCGTGCGCTGAATGCAGGTGAGTAGAAGCTTTGGCGACCGGTAAAGGGCTTGACTGGAGACGAAATCAGGTATTCAGCGTCGCCTGGCGGGCCTAGGACATCGGGGGAGGAGCTTGAGCTGCGCGTAATGGCGGACATGACGGGCTCGGTGCGATGCGATGGATTCTCGGCACGCGTGCCGCGAGGGGGCGTGGAGGGAGCGCACCCCGTGGAATGCAGTGATAATGAAGGGACAATGGCCACCAAACAGCCAGATAATCTGTTCAACCACCAACAAAACAGCGGGGCAATGCATAAACAAGTCTCCCGAAGCGGCGCGGGCGACGTATGGAGATTGGATTAGGTAATCGTGTCCCAAAGGGGTAATCTTGTTGATATGAACCTCCCCCTTTTTATCTACATTTATTCTATTCTATTATCATGCCAGTATTCTATTCTAATGTACTGATATTGAACAAACAGCTTCTTATAATTCTTCCTCCACAGTATGCACAGCAGGAACTCGATCCAGCTTGGTTCCACAAAATTGAGCCACCCGATGTACACAATCACACACCATCTCCATGTCTTTCTTAGACTCCTAATCGTCGAATGCCTCTCATATGCCAATGTGTCTCACGTGGAATATTCTGGCCCATGACTGCGGGTAACACAACCAGCTCGGTATCAACATCATCCAAATTTTGACGGTCTGCAAGATGGAGACCGTAGGCAATGTTGGCAACCCAAACCTCAAAATCGCGGTGTCTTTTGAAAATACTGAACAGACCATCGGTATTTTGTGCATAAAGCCTCGTGAGCCATGCCATTCCATGGTTGTAATTATCTTCGTCACACTTCCAACCCTCGCGGCTGAATGTCTGATCTAGGCCGTCCTCAGCCTCCACCCTACTGATAGCGATCCCGCTATCAGGGCTTCGGTGGGCTTCGGCTGATGAGAAGGCCGGTTGGCTGATCAGGTGGAGATACAGCTGTTCTGCCAGGCGGGGCTCTGAGGTTGTGGTGATAGAACTGAGTGTCGTTAGGTACCATTTGTCGGGAGAGATATCGGATGATTTGAATTTGGATTCAATTTCGCGGATAAATTCATCACATCGTGGTTCAACCAAGGCTCGGTCGATCCCTGGGACTTGGAGTCCATGATGGAAGGTATAGATCTCGGCTATGGTCGCAATGGAAGTGAACGAATCTTTCTCTCTAGAAGAAGTTTTGTTTGAAGATCAAGCTCTGATTTTACAGTAGTGAATAATATAATTCTTTTGTCTTCTTGAAATGACGCAGAGTTGTAGTGATCGGTTCAGAATGTGGCAAACCTCGGGCTTCAAGTCCAACGAAGCCGAACCTTGGTTGGCAGTTGAAGCTCGAGGGCATCATTATGTCTCTAAGTTAGCAATATAGGATTTTACAAAGTCCAGTGATGGCTCATGGTCTCAAATAGCCTTGGTCTTCCATACCCTATGTACCATGACAGAGAGCATCCATCTTCGACCGCTCGAGTGTGTCTCTAGAGCTTGCCGATCTTGTTCCTTGCATGCTTATCGATAAACTTGAAAGCTTGGCTCAGGTGACCCTGGTGATCTTGGACTGAAAATGGTTAAGTCGCCGTATCCCAGATCTGGTAGCGGAGTTTCTCTTTTCAAATGAGTATAGAAGTTCCAAGTTTTCATCTAACTGTAGTGGATCCTGTTCAAGTTCCACTGGCAGCCAAAGATAGTATAGAAATAATCCCGGTCCCCTCGAAGTTGGTATAACTAGATCGTTGAACTTGAAGTGACTTCTTGTACTGGCTGGTTGTGCTTTGACCACTGGCGGTATTCGATCGTCAATTTTCATGAAGGGCATCACCTGCATCATACTACCACTAACCAGCTGGATTAGACAAACGTGCGCGGGGTGCTAGTACTAGTATGTCGGCGTGATAGAACTCGGAATACCCAACTAGGTGGGCTGGGGAGCTTCCCCTCTTTTTCTTTCTTTGCTTTTGCTTTTGCTTTTGCCTTTGGCCCCAACTCTCTTCCTCGCTCTTCTGACCTGTAGGTAGTAGGCTTTGTCCTGGGGGGCGACCTTCCAAGCGGGGATTCCCCAAGGCAGTGCGCAGCACTGGTACTAGTAGTAATATATTTGATACTAGTTCCCAGATTGGATCACATTGAAGACCAAAGAAACGGGAGAAGAACTTGAATCTCCCAAGGTTGGAACTTGAATTTCGAATTCCAAGTTCGACCCGGACTAAAGAGATACTACTCCGCGTGTATCAAAGCGCAATATCTCTACGGAGCATCCAGGGACACGGTAGCTCGATCTTTGGATCTCGCTTGCAGTATTGATTTTATCCGTAATGTAAGAATTAATTAAACCCGAATAAGCGATCGGCATGTTATTCCCGTGAAATTGTATTGTGTTGTTGTGTTGGTAAGAATGTGGTCTTCCCCCACCGGAGAATTGCAGTTTTGCCTCCGTCACCCTTTCAACCCATTCAACCCTTTCAGCCATTGCTTGTCTCTGCTCCACCGACGCCCCGAGAGCCTTGTTGTGACTTGTTGTGCCCTGCCGTGCTCTGCCCATAGCCTCAACCCCCCCCAAAAGTACCGCTCGGTCTTCCTCTCTCCGCTTTTTCTCCCGTGCTCTCCCCCGCGAGGTCTCCCCCCCAATCATTGGGCCTGTCTCACGCCACTGCTGCCGGATAATTCGTGAATCGGTAGCCTACCCCGGTCCCCCAGCCCCGCCCCCCTAGCGTCGAGCCATGCGGAGGTAGGCTAGTCTGGAAGGATTGAATGACGATAGTTACTGGGATCGGAAAGGAGCTGGTTACCTTATAATGCGCCCTCCCCTCAGTTACCTCCGCACATTCCTGTGCCCTGCGCGGATTACGCCTCGACTCCTGGCCGTTTACTGCTTCTTCTTCCTCACTGCAATCACCTTCTTGGCCATCAGGATGCATCTCAAGTCCTACGTCACAGCTGCCCTTTATGGCATCCCAGCCCTGGTGAATGCTGCTCCCTCAGCAGCTTCGACCTCGCAGCCTTCAACCGCTTCCTCGTCCGGGTCAGCCTCGGGTGATCACTTCCGTGAATACACCATCAAGGCAGAGAACATCACCGCCAAGATCATCCCCTACGGTGCACGTCTGACCTCCCTCCTGGTCCCTGACCGTGACGGTGATATCCAAGATGTTGTCGTTGGATATGATGATCCCAAGTATTATGTCCACGATAGCGAGACCAATCGCACTTTCTTCGGTGCAACTGTGGGCCGCTACGCGAACCGCATCAAGAATGGCACTTTCTCCATTGATGGTCACGACTATCACATCCCCGAGAATGAGAACGGCGGGAAAGACACTCTTCACGGTGGCTTCATCGGTTATGATATGCGCAATTGGACTGTCACCGCTCACTCCGACGCGTCTGTCACTTTCACCCTCCTGGATCAGGGCTTCGAAAACTTCCCTGGCGATGTCATCTCCCACTCCACCTTCAGTGTCTCTACTGAGAAGTCCGCTGAGAACCCCAAGGGACTTCCCCAGTTGACCACGAAGCTGGTGTCACTTTCCCTGACTGAGAAGACTCCAATCATGCTGGCCAACCACATCTATTGGAGCTTGAACGCCTTCCAGAACGATAATGTTCTGAAGGATACCACCTTGCAACTGCCCTTATCCAAGCGCTTCATCGGCGGAGACAGCATCCTGATCCCCACTGGCGAGATTCTTGATGTTGACACCGCTTTCAAGGGCGCCCTGGACTTCACCGAGCCCAAGTTGATCGGCAAGGACATCGAGAAGACAACTGGCCTGTGTGGAGGTGGCTGCACTGGCTATGATACCTGCTGGATCACTGACCGACCGGCCGCCTATTCCGCCTCCGACTCTGTTGTCCCGTCCGTGCGATTGGCCTCCGACAAGACCGGTATCAGCCTGGAAGTTGCTACCAACCAAGGTGCCATCCAGATTTACACCTGCAACGGCCAGAATGGTACCATCGCGACCAAGGAGTCGCAGGCCAAGCGTAACAAGGCCAAGAATGGCAACTCTGGCGCCACCCATGTCAACAAGTACGGTTGCGTTGTTATTGAGACCGAGGACTGGATTGACGGCATCAACAACCCCCAATGGGGTCGTGACCAGATCTATGGACCTGACGACGGCCCTGTTGTCAACTTTGCCACCTACCAGTTCGGTACTTTTTAAGATGGCAATAGAATTTTCGTTCTAGCATCAAAACATTACGATGCACTAATTCATGCTTGGGTTGTCAATAGGTGATTGCCGAAGCAATCGGCTTGATCGTGTACATAAATAACACACATAGACCCAATGTGTTAATTTAACTACTCAATATTTTATCGTAATCTGCATCCTCTGCTAGCTCTCGATGCCTCCGGTCCTCGTCGTTGAGAAGTCAGCATATCATGTCAGCTTCATTTCTTGGCCTTCCATAATAAATGGTTGGTAGATAGATCGGCCCACGGGAAAGATGGAAAGGTTATCGTCGGTCATCCCAAGAAAGGTCCGCACTAAGACTTTGCGACCCCAAGTTGCTTGATTCCGATATTTACAGCTTGGATAGTATACTCGCACCACTCTCTCCACTACCTTTAACAATTTCATCTTCCCAATAATTGGGATTGAATGTGATTTTGTTCAAGGGATTTAGACGGTGGGCCCTATTATAAAGATCCTCGTATACTCGACCGTCATACCGACCAAGAGCACTAGTGAACCATGTGATTAGCACTATGGATCTTTTATCGAATTAAATCATTTTCATACCTGTCCAGAAGATAGTCTGGTATCATCCATGCGTCAACTAGATTTACCGCATGTGGTCGGATCCGTGACATCAGTTCTTGAACACGAGCAGGGAGACGGTCAAGGTCGATTTTCGTGACGGCATTGCAACGGAAAACTGGTTAACTCGGCATTAGCTCAGACTCTGGCATAAGAAGGAATTTCAATTCAGCTCACATTCGAAGGCTTCATTCTCCATGGTATAAAAAGCAAAAAGCCGGAAGAGTTCCCACATGACGCTCTTTGTAGGATCCGAGAGAGAGTTGTCAGTTGATAACGATTCGAAAAAATTGGCAATTAAGATCGACTGAGATTGAGCTAAATAAATTTATCAGCGATGAACGGATTAATTGTTGCATTTTTTGACCTGCCCTTGCTCAGCTTGTGAAGCTGGATGAGTAGGCTGTTCCAGCTCTCCTTTTTAAGCACGCGTTGTTCATACACATCATATGTCTGTAGATTGTTAGGAAATCTGAGTTACATTGGTCACACAAGGCAGCCATTAAAGATTTAACACTCACCAAGGCAGTGGCACGAAGCTCAAAGCTTTTGACGATATCCCGATCACTTGCTAGCACATCAAAACCAGTAAGCGAGGGTCCATTGCCACGATTTCGGATAAATTCCTTGAAAATTGCATCGGTCTTGTCGCTTGCAGGACTGGCTAGCGAGTCGACTGCCGCAGCCATTTTCTTGATCAAGTAGGCTGCCACTTGCTGAGTGATCATCCAGTTATCACCTTCGACCGTTGGCTTTGAGAGGTAGTCATTATTTAACTGAATAAGACCGCTCCCACCACCAAAGCCGTGCCCTCCCATTGCGCGACGACATGTCTCAACTCCGTCCGCAGCAAGCATAGTGCAGAGACTCTTTAGTCCGGAAGACATACTATGCATATGGGCCAAGGAACGGAAATCTCCTTGCTCAACATCTTCACGGGTACTTTTATAGATAGCACGCATCGACTGCCCCGTATAATGCAATGCAAACGCAGTGGCCAGCAAAGGCAAAATGCGTATCTGAACTGTGGGGTAGTCAAGGACTGCCATTTCTGGACCACGTTTGTCGCCATCTCGATCTTGAAACTGTCTCCGGATAGCGGTATAGCGCACCGCAACTGTGACTGCGCGTGCAAGTACGAGTCTAGCATGATGCACGATTTGTGCACGAACGTATGTCAAAGACCCGTAGACCAGAGCGGGCTGTTCAGGCTTTGTGTAGATGCCAGTGTTCGGGTTCACGCTGGAATATCGCGACAACATGGCAGAATGAGGAATCCTATGTCACTCGTTTATTTTCACAGTCCCTGCAAATGTGCTTGGGGGCTTACCGAAAATGATTAAAAAGCATGTAGGCGTTGTCCATTGTGATGTAGCCATACTTTGGGCCAATATCTCCAACCACTACGCCGCTCAGGGGGAGATGTGTCTTCATATCCCTCACCTGAACAATAAATGGATGGGGGCCGTGAGATACATATTCATTTTCCGAGCCATCCTTTGGAAGCAGAAGCTGCGCGACCACAATGGCATGGTTTGCAATACGGCCTAGGCTCCCATTCCACCACTTACTTGCGGTCAGAGTAGGGCTATGCAGAACGAATTCCTTTGTTTTGCCGTCCCAACGTGCTTCCAGCTCCAAGCCTCGGACGTTGCTACCATGTCCCAGCTCGGTCTGGGCATATGCGCCGACAATCTCCCATGAATCAATGAGTGGCATCCATTCTGTCCGCTGTGCCTCGCTGGCCTGTTCACGGATGGTTGTGATGAACATTTCCAGGTGCAAAAAATAAGGCGAGACATCATCAACCAAATACTCAGCCATCTTATATTCATCATGGCTCCATTTATGCTGGTCTTTCAAACGGCGAAGAAGCTTCGCACGCGCAAGTCCCAGCTTGAATCGCTCGGGACGAGACAGGTTCTGCTGCTTCTCCTTGGAGAAAAGTGGCTCTCGTTGCACTATTGGCAGAATCCGTGCTTGTCGCTCCAAGAATCCATCAGCTGAAAGAAGATGGTGGCTTAGCTCCTTCGGTGAGATATTGGACTCTGCTCGCTCGCGGGCAAGTGTAGTAGGCCCATCTGGTTGACTCGGGCGAAGATTATCTGTGAAGTCGGGCATGGTGCTTGTATCTGTTCAACGCTCCCAAGTGAATATTTTGGTAGCCCATCAGCTTTTAATATGAATGGACCGATATATCATCGTGCTACCATGTCCACCCCTCAATTATTTTTCCATTTACCTAGGCTTCAATTCCGCGTCTAGCCAAATTCGCCGAATGCCGAATGCCGGCTGAGACTTACCCCGACGAGCAACGCGGGGCAGATTGCGGGGAAGTAAGTAGCCGATTCAGATGAAATAACATCCAAGGGCAGAGAAAATAAAAGACGGATGAATTCCGATGGCCTATAAACCACTGTGTCGAAGGAATAATCGGAGCTTGATCGTTGACAACTTTTTGCTCTGAAGGTGGGCAAAGGAACACGACTTGGCAATGAATGACCGTACTCTCTACGTGCCTTCACACGAAGGAGAAAATGTTCTCCCTAACTCACCTTGGTTTCATAAACTGCTTCGTTACGCCCAGCGCAAACCATCGAGGGTCGCAATCCGAGATGTGAATGCAAATATCGAAAAGACATACCATGATCTTGTATCCGACGCGCTCACATTTCGGAATGAGCTCAGGCGGAGGATGAGCACTCAGACACTTCGGGACCTAGCAGAGGATAAAGAAGTTTATATTGGCTTACTGGCAGCCGGGGGATATGAGTACACAGTTGGTTTCATTGCTATTGTTGCACTTGGTGCTGCAGTACTGCCAATGGGTCAGTTCGCAATCGACCGAATAGTAAGAAGCCAGAGCTAAATCAAAACAGCTGCAGGACTTCCTGTGGAAGAAGCAACATATTTCCTTTCCAAAGCCCGATGCGTTTCTCTGGTTGCCAGTACGACCAGTGAGGACCTGGCAAAGTCCATTGCTCAATTTATGGGAGAGAAGAAAAATTTCCATATTCCTTGCATACCGCCGATCGCATCCTTCTTCCGACCCGTACCATTTCCAGCGAGCGAAATCGTGATATCTTCAAATCGGATGCTTGACATGAATGGCGCGAGTGCAGTGATATTCACCTCCGGCACAACGGGTCCTCCAAAAGGCGCGGTGCAGCGCCGTACTTGGCTAACGGGAAATGCTGAAACAGACGGAGACTTTTACGGTATCACGGAACAAGATGTTGTACTCCACACATTACCAGTACATCATGCTTCTGGCGTGGGCCTCACTTTTCTTCCTTTCCTTACGGCCGGCGCATGCATTGAATTCCGAAGCGGAAGCTTCAGCACGGCTTGGACATGGGAACGTTGGCGGCAAGGTGGCCTGACCTTCTTCTCCGGCGTGCCTACCATTTATATGCGCATGATGCGATATTATGAAGAGAATATCGCAACCAAACCCCCCGAAGTACGCGATCAGTATGTTGCTGGAGCCAGAAGCATTCGCACGATGCTTTGTGGCTCATCCGCATTACCCGGCCCCGTCCAAAATTTCTGGGAAAACTTGCGACAGAAGCCAATCTTGACAAGATATGGCGCAACTGAGTTTGGCGCGGTCATCAAAACCGATCTGGATACTCGGAAAACCCCGCGAAACAGTGTCGGTCGTGTGGCTGAGGGAGTTTGTCTCAAGCTTGAGGACGACGGTCATCTTCTTGTGAAGTGTCCATACATGTTCTCCAAGTATGTCTATGCACCCTTTTCAGTTGGTGGTCTTTACTAATCTGAAAAAAAACTTCTCAAAGATATCTTCACGATGAAAGAGCGACCTCAGAAGCCCACGATCAGGACGGTTATTTTAAATCGGGAGATATCGCTCGGAAAGAAGGGGATTATTACTTCATTCTAGGTCGCGCCTCGATTGATATTATAAAATCAGGAGGATACAAAATCTCGGCCCTTGACATTGAGCGTGAAATCCTAGGCCTCGACTATGTTTCCGAGGTGATGGTTGTCGGTGTTGAGGACGAAGAGTTTGGCCAACGAGTTGCGGCGACTATTAGCCTTAAGACAGACCAGAATACGACCCGCAAAGAACTCAATTTGGCAGAGCTGAGGGATGATCTGAGGAACAAGCTCACGGGATATAAGATTCCGACTATTCTACGTGTGATCAAGGGTGAACTTCCCAAATCGGGGACTGGGAAAGTGCAGAAGAAGATCTTGGGGCCGCGATTTTTCCCTTCCAACTACCGGGACATTCCTGAGATACAAGTTTGGAGCAAGGAACTTAGAGCTAGACTTTGAATTTAATATATTGTCGAGTCATCCATGGATATTAATATGAGATCGCGTACAAGCAACGAGCATCAACTAGTTACTAACTGAGTGTACTAGTACGAGCAGATATTCCAAGGTTGCCCAGGTAGATAGTATGCGATCGACTTGGAAAACTTTCCAAAGTTGGCAGCTTGCTCTAGTATATCATGTTACTGATTACTAGCTTCTGTAGTTTACATCGAAGACAGATAAATGTATCATTATGTGACTATACTGAACTAACCAAGTATCCAAGCGAGGGGTCAAATCTTAACCTTGGCGGGTGCAGAAGTCATTCTGCTGTGGACGTAACTGATTCGCTGAAACTTTTTAATCGCCTCTCCCCAAAGCTCTTGACGAAGAAGTGCATATACACTTAGATGATTGCAAGTTAGTATCATTCAGTCTGATGGTCGAATGTGACTTACCCCATCTTCGCCTTTGGTGCCCATTTAGCCCCAAGCTCAATCGCTGCATCCAGCATCTGCTCAGGCTCGGCGATAGCGTCAACAATACCATCTTCCAAAGCCTCCTTTGCTGTCCATTTGTGTGCTTCAAGGAGCATTTTTCGCGCTATATGAGGGCGCAACTTGAGTCGAGGGAGAGCCCCGATTCCATCAAAGTGTAAACCTAGGTTGACAGGCGGCATCGAGATAAACCCCCGGCGAGAGTTCATGATGCGATAGTCATGAGCTAGGGCAAGAGGACAGGCACCCCCAAATGTGTGTCCGGTAATCAATGCAATCGTGGGAAAAGGGAAATCTAGGATCGTATGAATGAGCTATATCCTCGTTGTTAGATCGCAGTGCTTTTCCATAATTTTGCCTTGAGGCATAGCGAGGAGGCTAACCGGATAGAATCCATCTGTATTTGCAAACGGATTGCTGTCCGACTCATCTAATTCCAGACCCTGTTGTCATATATATTAGCCTAACCGTCAAACATCTAGTTCTTTCGTTGAGCGTCCTACAGTGCACCAAAATTTGGCATCATTGCCGCGAGTTATAACAGCCCCCTCCGAATCAGGACCCAACAGTTTCTCAACTGTACGATAAGCTCGAATCATTTCCTGACAGTACCAGGAGTTGAGTCGATTCTCGGGGGCTTCTGCATTGTGAGGACAAAGACATTCCCATGTCTCTCCAGAGAGAGGTTCTTGAATGTTGGGATATCCGACATGTTGTTGATTTTGCTTAGACTAAGGCAAGATTCAGTGTTCACTCGTTGCTAAGTCTTGTTTCGCCTCCTGAGATCTGTTTTGGTGTTCTGAAGCTAGCTTGAGTCCCCCGCATCCCCAGATCATCCGGGCCCACTCAATGTTGAATCCATTGCCGAAATTCACCGACTGCCGAATGCCGGCCGGGGCCTGATACTAGTAGACGCCACCGGGCGAATGCGTTGGGTATTGAAGTGACCACCTTTGAAGGGTCAGGAATCCAGGAATAGGAATATCATAAATCACTGGTATTCCCTATATAAACCTAGACGCATCGACCGTTCTTGGGCGTGTCACACCATGGTAGTGCCATCATTTTTCATACTCCGATCAGTGTTCCCGAAAGAAAAATCTCTCCCTACTATAAAAATCACGATAAAATCTTGAAGTTATGCGTATGAGCTTCGTTTACTGTAGTTACCAAGGAGTATCACCGGCCCAATTCAAATCTCTGAACAGCCAGTCTCCCATGCCCTGGTATTGATTGTGAAAGAAATCATCATCGATGCTCTGCGTCATGCCCCCCCATAACAAGCCCAGTGTGGGGATCTAATATCGTCGTGAGCGGCCGATACTCCTTTGTAGTCGAAGCATGGGTCTCGTTGAAGTTGTCGAGTGAAATATTCCCAGAGTCACCTGCAGGGTACGCACTGGCAGTGTTTTCGCTCATTGAGTCGGTTGTTGAATGCATAAAGTACGGCCAAGCCCAGGATATATCTGGACCAAAGTCTTGGAAGAAAGGGTAATGTTCTCGTGGAAGCACTAGCTGAGTTTGATCGCCAGGCCTCATCGTGCCCTCCTGCTCACTGGCGATGCTCTTCAGTGCTCTGAGGCTACCTTTAGCAGATGACCAGCGCTGAGCAAGAACCTCCAGCGAAAGATAAATGGTTTGCAAGCTGTAGACTGCTTTCTCCCATAGCGACGGTATTTTGCGAATTGAGAGCAAGCCAATACCGGCAGCAAGCAAGTGAAATGTAAATATGGGCCCCAGAAATTGTATCTCGTCTCTTGCTAAGAAGTCTTCGAACATGCCTGCTACGAATGAAGAAGCCAGCACCACCGCTGGGGAGGGAGAGCTCCCCTGGTTGGGACGACACAATATTGCGAGGCAGATAAAATAAGCGATATGTAACTGACGCGCCTCAAAGCTGTAAGGACTCAGTATGCTCTGTGGTTGTTCTCTAAGCTCTTGTGGCCCCGTGGACGCTTGGTAAAGTCGTAAAGATGCCGGAAGTTCTCGTGTCCAGCGATATAGTTGATTCTCAATATTTTGTCGTATCTGTCGTGTGAGGGTCTTTCGACGGCAATGCTGTGTGAGATGACCCAGTATGGAGCTTATTTCAACATAGGCAATGAAAAGAGACCCGTTCGAACTCGAATCCTGGAAGTCTCTCATGTAAGGAGGTGCTAGCTCGCAATCTTCATTACATACCGCAAGTGGTCGGCCTTGCCCTGCTGATATCAAGCAATCCCTGGCCTAAAAGTGGTCATTATAGTCATTTCAGAAGGGACTAATGAATGATGCGTACGAATAATGTCCACCAAAGACGACGTCTCAGCGCAGCATCTTTTCTCTCCATGGGTTCCTTTTGAAGGCCAATTTGATGAGCCAGTCCTACTCCGACGTATCGCCAAAATCCACTGGTGTTTGTTGAAACATGTTCAGGACCTTCTGGGTTATACCAATGTAGGATACACACAGCCGCGACCACGGTCAATGGGTTTTTCTCGTATCCAGACCAAAACAAGGCTTTCGCACGCCGATAAAATTGATGCGTTGAAGCATATGCAGTCACTGCAGGTGCAGAAGTCACTCTACTCGCAGCGACAAATATGGCTTGCAAAAGGAGCATCGACGGTTTCTGAGAGCCACTTTCCTCTAACCAACTGCGCTCCACAATAGGCATCCAAGGCGAGCACCGCTCCATGAAGGTATTGATCAGCCCATCACGCACCGCTCTTGGTGGTAGCTCGAAGGCTCCTTGTAATCGTAACAGTTGATTATCATCCTCTGTCGGTCCATCAGCATCTCCGATTGGATATGATCTGGCTTGGTCCTCGTTTATAATCAAAGTATCATCGAAATAGCGGGATCTAGCCATGAAACTCATAATTGGGGCCGATAGATATGGATTTTCTGATGCAGTCTCATCAGATATTCCTGTTTGCCCTGCGATGGCCGAAGAAGCACTTCCACTTTCCACATAAGTGGTTGGCGTTTGTTCATGCAGCAAGTCAAGAGGAGTCGCATCATTATCCGAGATTTCTCCCAGGGATCTATCGGCCGCGCCTGTGGCTGAGATGTCTCCATGTTGATCTTCGGTCTGGCTCAGGCGACGCCTGCGGATTCTGTCTTCATTTGTAGTGACATGTGGCACGCCATCGGGGTTGCGCTGGCGTTTCCTCTTGCGCTCACGCTGACTGGCATACTCGTCAGAATATACCCTAATTTCGATATTTTGATATTAGGTCATACTGAAGTACTTACAAGCAGGGCCATTGATGCCGCTGGCAGTTCGAACATGTATTTGTGTTGTCTTCGAATATGCAGCGAACCTGGTACAGTGAGCGAGGGGATTCTTTGCGGAGGGTCACCTGCTAATCCATACTTTCTTCTTATTGCAAGCAACGCAGGCTGTCGGTGCTCTTAAGGGTGGTGGGCTAAACCGGGCCATTCCAAGACTTCCTGCACACTTGCCTCAGCTTTATCGAGTTCTTCAAGATAATGCAGGCCAAAAGCTATTGGGTTCGCCAGTGGGTCCGTTTCCCCCGCATTCAATTTGTTCCCGAGCCGAGGCTCAGCGACTTGAGAACTTGAAGACGATGAAGTGTCTATATTCCATGATAACAGATTCGCCATCTAACTACCGCATGCGAGATTTGGTCTCGAGAGCCGTAGGGCCCAACTCTCATGCTACGGGGAAGGCATAAATATCTCAAGTGTATGTTCATAATAGGGGGTATCCAGATGCTATTTACCGAGCGACATAGCAGGTCAACAGAGAATAAGTTCTGTCAACATAGTATCAAACGCAGAGTCATGGGGTTCATGCCCATCCGGCCAGGGTCCAGCTGGATCGATCCCCAGCACGAAGTCCCGATCGACGGTCAGGGACAGGTTGTTCCAGGTCTCGAGTCGCACCGGCCAGCCCATATTGGAGAAACTTCTCTCGTTCGATTTCCACCATTCCACGAATCTTTAAGCTAGTCACTAGACTAGCCCCAGCCCATGGTCCCAGGGACTCGATTTCGCGCAAAATTCCTTGGATGGGTACTGGTGTATCTTTGTTCTGTCGACGCAACTTTTGGTCCACGAAGTCGACCTCGGGCTCTTCATTGGAAGGATCAGACTTCTCCTTATCATCGTCCGTCGTGCCAGCTATGATATTATCTGGGGACTGGCTATGATTGTTGGTCTGGGATGTGATTTTCAATTCCTCCAATCGCTGCCGCTGTCGCTCGACGACCTTGCCTCGAATCGGGCTCCATCCATGTCGGTCAATCAACAGTCGTACTTCTTTCAGAATTCGCTGGCGCAAGCCAGGAATTCGAGCTCCACCGCCAACGAAGACAATGCGTGCCATGCATGTTCCTCTTGCATCAGGCGGCAGGGAGAGGAGAGAATTGTAAACAAGCAGGGGAATTGATTTCTCCTCATCATCCAAGTCACACTCAGGGACATCCGGCGCCAACATGACTTTTTCAACAGACTTTGCCATGTCGGAGAGCGGGAGGTCTTGGTACTCGTGCTCTGGATTTTTGGGGGAGGGAATCGAGATCATCTGGTCCGTTGCAGTCCGTGTGTCGGGGTCTTCAGCTTGTTGCCTGCACCAGGCAAACTTACTCACGACTTCTTCGCAGTATGTGAATCCCACAGAGATATCACCATCTAATGATTCCTCCTTAGCATCATCATCATCATTACCGGACGCCAACCGAGTGAGAAAACGGCCCGTTTCCAACATCAAGGCGCGCATCGCTCTCGTACTCCGTTTTGTAACGGTCTCTCTGTATTCGTATATCCCTGTCACTGTACTTTCGGCCCATCCAAGGTCCACGACCAGAGCGGATCGCAGTCCTGCCGCTGTCGCAGACATTGTGGCACTCGGAAGAAGGGTGATGCTAGGAAATCGCCAGCGACCGAATATAATGGATAGTAGTGACGATAGTAGTGGGTGTGGCATAAGCGCAGGGAGGGCCAGGACCAGCCGGGAGGTGCCCGCGTCGGTCAACAGGTACTGGTTGTAGATTTCGCGGAAAACGCGTTCGATCTTATCCTCGACTAGCCCCAAGTCAATTTTCCTCAGGTCGGGCTGCCACAATTCATAATCACGAACCCAATCTTCCGCATTGACAGGCTTGGGTAGCGACCCAGCGCCAATGTCCCCATGAATCCATCCCCGGTAGTCCGCTGCTCGCCGCATTTCTTCAGGTCCAAAGCGTTTGACGCATACAGGAGTACCATTTCCCTCGAATCCAGCTCTGATCCATCGCGCTCCTATCTCGAAAATGATCGCATCGTCCTCATTTCGAAAGGACGAGCCTGGTGATGAGGCGCTCGCGAAGGATGTGTTCGCTGAACGGAGCGGTTGCTGTGGTGTGTGGGGAGAGGAGGGCCGAGCTGTCTGACTATGGCGGAGATTGGATGTCGCAGACATATTGTGTTTGTGGTCGCTCGTCGTGGGTGTGGAGCTTGTCATACTCTTTCGTCTTGCGCTTTCGTTGCGCGGTTGTGTTTGCCCCTCGGAGCCAAAGAGATCCGCCGCGGTAAGGAACTCGCTCTAGCGACGTATGGGACAATTCTGCTCGGCCATCAGATGAGGACTCGGTATATTCAAGAGAAGCGCTAATCGTCAATTGGAGTAGTAGTAAATGGTGGGAGCTGATGGGTGGTGAAAGCTGGTTGAAAGCCGGGGGCAACGCGGATCTTCATCGGGCCGTGGTTTATTTACTTTTCCTTTCCGTCTAGTCAACCTTGCAAGCTCACCTCACCTTACCTCAACTACCCGTCCTTTTCCTCCTTCACATGGCTCTTCCGTTTGCATGGTAGGGCGATCTACGCAAAATCTCGGGTCTTTGGCATAATGGGAATCCCAGGGTAAGTTCTGCTAAAGGGAGAACGGGGATGTGCGTCCTATATCCGAAGTGCCTAGCAACGGCAGCTGGTCGACGATATACGATCGTTCAGAACGAATGAAAACACGCCTGCTAACAAGAGTAGACTTATTAATGCCCTGGGCGCAGGCGAGCGCATCGCACTGTCAAAGCTAGCAGTTTCACATCTCGAGCGTGAAAATAGGCCTATTCGCGTTGCGGTCGATATTTCAATCTGGCTGTTTCAAGTTCAAGCGGGCCGTGGAGGCAAGAATCCTGAAATTCGGACCCTGTTCTACCGATTGATCAAACTCCTTGCGCTTCCAATTCATCCGCTTTTCGTCTACGATGGGAGTAAAAAACCCCCCTTCAAGAGAGGCAAGGCAACAACATCCCGCGGCCACGGGAATGCACCGATTATTCAACGATCGAAAGATCTCATCAATCGCTTCAGGTTTCCCTGGCACGAGGCCCCAGGCGAGGCAGAGGCCGAATGCGCCCGGTTGCAGCAGGCTGGTATTGTGGACGCCGTCATGAGCGACGATATCGATACATTGATGTTTGGGTCCACCTTTATGATAAAGAATTTCTCAAAAGAGAGTGGTACCGGTACAACTGCCGCTACTCACGTCACTTGCTACAACATGAGCAATAAGTTTCATGTTTCAAACATTCCATTCGATCGACCTGGAATGATTTTGTTTGCTATGCTTAGTGGCGGGGACTACTTACCATCTGGTGTACTAAAATGCGGAAGCAAATTGGCCGCGGAAATCGCGAAGGCGGGCTTTGGTGAAGATCTCTTAAATATAGTCAAGTCCAAGTCTTCAGACCTTGACTCTGATTTGAATGACTGGCGAGAACGATTACAGTACGAGTTGGAAGAGAATGAGAGCGGCTATTTCACCACAAAGCACAAGGCCGTGCGAATCCCACTTGATTTCCCCGATCGTGCAATTCTCGAATACTATGCCGAGCCGAGCGTTTCTGCCAAAAGTGAGATGGAAAGCTTGAAAGCCCGCTTAGGAGAGGAGTGGGATCAGGACATTGATCCAATGGCGATCAGAAGTTTCGCCGCTGAGCATCTTGAATGGAACTATCGTTCTGGGGCCAGAAAGGTAATTAAACTCTTGGCCGAACCCCTTGTCTCCTACAGACTTCGTCTTAAACGACCTGTTTCGGGTTTAACGCATGGCACACTTGCTCCCGATTGTGGCTCCCCATGGCTCCAAAAAATCCACCGGAGCCGTGCAAACTTCGGCACGGATGGAATGACTGAACTTCAAACGGACATGCTACCCATCGACGTGGTTGGTATTGACCTTCTTTCCGAGATACCAAATCCTCAACCAGCATCCGAAGAGACCGGGCTTTCGCAAAGTACGGGACAGGCAGTCGAAGAAGAGGATAACGGAGAGGCAATTGGCGAGCTGGCACCGCCACAAACCTCTTCAAAGGCGCGAGTGACGAAACGCTTTGACCCTTTGGCCATTGAAAAGGTCTGGGTTTTCGAAACAATAGCCAAACTCGGGGTTCCCGAAATCGTTAAAACATGGGAAGATGAACAGGCTAAAAAGGCTGCCAGCAAGGCTGCTCCCAAGAAACCCACCACTCGACGAACTGCGCCTAAAAAGAAGGGTCCAATTGACTCAGGGATGAAGCGAGGTAGCATTTTAAAATATGGTACGCTTACCAAGGAGAGATCCGAATTGTCTCCCCCATTCAAAACGCAGTTACTAGAAGCGGCCACATCTGCCTCGGGAAATGGCAAATCCTCTCTCAACACTGCCTCTTTGCCGGAGCATATTGGCCTTGAAGGATACGATCTCTCTCCCAGTATGTATTCGATGCAAGATACTACAGCTCAGATGTCTGCTTTGTCGCAGGAGGTGGATGACCTTGTCGGGACATTCTCAAACCTATGCACAACATTACCGACACCGACATCCAAGCGTCGCCCTTTGGTAAACCCATTACGCATGCGATCGCGCACCAGCGTTCTAGGTGCCAGAGAAGTCGAATTAGAGGATCTAGACATTTCAATTGTCGATGCTATCGATCCACCACCACCCAGACGACTCAGGGCAGTTGAAACTAGCACTCCGGCTTCGAAGGAGAGGAAATCTGAAGCTATGAGACCAAATGGCTTGGACCAACGCCCTCCATGTCAGGAGAAACACATCCGGCAAGAGCTTGCTCATGAGATCGACGAGGTAGGAAAGGCAATTGGTTCATTGTCATTGGTTGTCCCTCCCAATTGTGAAAATCTTGAGCATGCAACATCTCGTCATTCCCGGCGGACTATTTCTCCCAAAAAAACAGCCATTGGCGGCGGTCGACCTTTGTCTCCAAAACCCCAATATTCTAGCCCATCTAAGTCTACTATTCTGTCAGAGCTCGAACGCGACACTGGTTGTCTATCATTGAAACAGAAATTCGATGATCCCAAAGAGATCTCCAGATCTCCCAAAAAGACGAAGGGGGCTGGCAGAAAGCCCGCCCGAAAGATTGGGCACATTGAAAACGTCACAGCCTCAAATGGCTTTTGGAAAGTCGATACATCTGTTGATCCAGAAGCGCCATCCACGGCAACGAGCCACTCCCAAAATGGTCAGAAAGACCAAAGCAAAAAGAAGCGACTCCCTCGCGTTAGCATCCTTGATATGATTTGAAATGCCTTCATATACCCAGCAGCATACCCAGCAGCGTGCTTTTTTAACATCTAAGTTTGGCGTCAGTCGAAGAAAGACAGAACCATTGGCTTATTACCGAGTCGCTGTTTTTGAAGAAAGCCCAAAGCAGGTGCATTATCGGATTCGGTTATGTACCATTGGAAGATATGTACATCAGCATCAGGAATTCAATCACCTCCTCATGAGTCTAAAATACTCTAACTAGTATGTACACTGCATAATACTAGTACTAACTAGTACTTTCATACCCCACAGGTACAAGTAACTTGAACTGATCCAATACAATGGTTTTCCGAGATTCGCTGAAGCTTGCTCCACTGTCCACTGTACAGTCCTAGTACTATTTCCGAAAAGAACTCTCACTGATAACTACTAGTAGTTACTCTGTCGTCAAAGCTTGATTGAAGACTTGAAAAATCTTCACCGGCCCAGTATTAAAGCAAGTCAGCCATTACACGTGTCAAGGCCTCGTTGTCGGCTTCAAATATATCTAAAGCATTGGGGGTAGGCAGCCCGGTCGGGGCAAAAAACCCCATATCCACATCACCAGGGAGATCAAAGGCCCGAGGGTCAAAATAAAGGTCCCCCGCAGTTTCGAAGAAACTACTCAAGTCCTCGCACATGTTCGGCTCAGTTCCTGAAACAGCATTTGAGCCCGTTGCCCAGAACGAACTCGACATCTCATAGGGTTGATGTGACGCAAGGGCATTCTGTGAAGCTGATGATGCCGACGTCAAATTCCACATATTCTGAGCTCCGGGCGTTGAAGATTGTGATTTTGTGAAATGATTCTGTTCGGGATTTTTATTCCCTCCGCCATGTTTCTGGCTCGAGATAGGCTGTCGATTTCCGGTTGTTTCACGCTTTGGATTGCACTTGTGCAGTTTTATTTGTTTCAAACTGCGGATAATCTTCTGCAAACGTCTTGATGTCTGGGCTCGAGTGGCAGAGCGACGCACGAGCTCCGTCGCCGTATAGAATTCTGGCCGACAGACATGACGAAATGTATTCGGTGCATGAATAACAGCCAGAAAAAGGGCTGCTAAGGCTGATATCAGGAAGTAATTGAACGGTTCTGGACGCTGGAAGTAAATATGCGATACTCCACTGAAATGTTCAAGCATGTGGATAGTTCGCTTTGCTGTTTCCACTGCCGTGGATGCGCCTTGGGGATCTTCCATGATGTGTTCACTGCTAAGGAGATTTTGTCGATACACCAGGATTCGTAGTTGATTTCCCTGCAAAGCAAGTAGTACCTGGAGCATCATGAGGCGGTCGTGATGCTCCGACTTTTCTGGTCCAGTTATAGAATTCGGTGTCTGGTTCGGATCGAATCTTAGCTCGCTTGGGATAGACCAGATCCACTGCTGCACTTGCGTGTCTAGGTAAGCACACTGGTCGGACGTGGCCACCCGTGAGCGATTCGGCCAATCCATAATAAGCCCCCAGATCTTTGTGCTTAGCCGAGCATGAGATATCATACAAGTAAGATAAGGGGTAGAATCGCCAGGCTCGGGCAGGTTGGTATCAATATCAATGTCTTGAATGCCGAATGGAAGCCCAGTGCCAAAAGACCATTTGCGGTCGAGTACATAGATGCACCAAAACAGTCTTCTGGCCCAGGTCCAAGCAACCTCGCCCGGAAAGACGCCACCCGTCCTCTGCCAGGTATCCTGACGATGTAAGCCTAACTCCATTGCTGCACTAGACGCAGTTCGTATAAATCGCCATGCGATGACTTCATCATCGCGATATGAATGAAAAATGGACTGACGGAGTGAAAAAGAAGTCAGCTACTCCATTGCTTTGGTGGGACCTGGGTAGTCACCAAAGGAGAGCAGGGTAAAAGGTAGAAAACACACCAATAAAGTCATTATGAGAATTTCTTTCATATCCACCTCTGCAACCCTGAATCGGCCTGAAAATCGATCTTCCACACTATCCGCTAGTTGGGCAGCGAACTCACTCCGGCCGTGAGACTCGGCCAAAAGAGCGGTGGCAAGAATTATTTTCAAGACTTGAATATCTCGGGCTGTAAACCAATCCTGATCTGGTGCATCCTGCGCCAAGGCTTCTGATGCACTGCTAATCTCATATATGCCATTCGACCGGTAATATTCATGGACATATTCTCGAACACTATCCAGGTCGACACAAGGATACATTATTCCAACACTATCCTCATAGACCTGGACCAAATTTAAGGTATCTTCAAGACTCAGGCTTAGTGTATCTCCAGTGGAGACCACTGGCAGAGAATCTTCCCCTCCTGATGCCACGGGGCTTGGTGTGTCGGAAATACCCATATCCTCGTCCTGGTGCTGCGTATCTTCGACTGAGACATTCTGCGGTCGATTTAACCCAAATTCAGCACTGGTAGGGCCGATGTAATGTGGCGATTTGGGTGCATTTAAGATCCGATGTAAGCCACTCTGTTCCGAATTCTTTGGCGTGGCTGCCGATTGAGGACTGGAAGACTCGAGCTTAATCAAACGATTCGACAACAGTTGTATTTGCCGCTGCAGACTCTCCAGCTGTTGATCCACGGCGTGGAATCGCGGGCCCACTCTATATGCATGCTCAGTACCGTCACTTGTGTACGGGCAAATTGAAGAACACCATACCGTGAATCCTTAAACTCGCCCGGATGAGCCGATACGCGGTTATTAGCGTAGACACAGGACACCCCATCTCGGTCACATCGTGTACAAATTTCCCCGCCGCTACATTTTAGCTTACGCCGCTTACATTCGTTGCTATAATTGTTAGTATTCTGACCAGTTCAATATTGGGATTCGGCCATACCAAGCGATTTGAGTGTATCTCGCTCTTTTCTTTGCTCGCTCCGATGATGGCGGCTCATCCTCAAAGGCATGCTCCCCGGAGCTCATTTTCTGAAGGCAATAGTAGATACCAGACAATTATATCGACTCATGTATGCAGCAAAAGCAAAAAGGTGAGGTGCAGCTCGGAACGCGGAATTTAAGGCCGAGGTCTCCGTATCAGTTCCGATTGGTCGAGATTAGGTGATGGGTGGGGCCATCTAGAATTAACGGAGACAGCCCCTATTTAGCCCGGATAGAATCAATTTTAAGTTGAGAACGTAGTAACAGATACTTATAAATTTAGAAATAGGAATAAATTCGATTGGAGGAGCTTGGAAGACAATGTATGTGCAAAGAAACCTTGGAATTGGCATGGCTATCTCTATTTGTGCTTTTGTATGTATCATCTTATTTACCTATTGAACTAGAGAATAATCACTCTAGTTTTCCTGCCGAAGTACTTCCTCGGTTGTACGAACAATAACGTCGAAGGCATTGCGAACATACTTCTCCTCAGCCATGGGGTTGGTGCTGACAACCCGAATGACATAGACACCATCAATCACGGTAGAAGTGATGAATATCTCACCCCTAGAGTTGACAAGCTCATACACCTTTTTGGTCAGACTATCAGACTCCTTGTCCCTCTTGCACAACGCAATCTTGCCGTTTGTTTCATGGGAATTGTTGGACGTAGCCTGGGGGTTCTTCACGCGGAATACAGTCAAGCCGAATGCCGGTTTTGTGACAATCTCAAAGAGGTCAGACCGTCCACGAATCAGATCCGCGAAGATATCACCAAGGCCCATTGTCTTGCGAATGTATGCCTTCATACCATTGAGGCCGTAGCTGCGCACCACAAACCAAATCTTGAGGGCGCGGAATCGACGACCCAAAGAGAAAGACCAATTGCGATAGTCAATCACGGCTCCCGAGTCCGAATAAGCGTTGCGAAGGTATGCTGGCGTCATATCAAATGCGTCGGTTAGATCAACCCGGTTTCGAACAAAAAGAAGACTATAGTGCAGTTAGCTTGATGAAGTTGCAAGTCGATCAGCCTGGGATACAGTTCAAGTAGCATACCTCGCGTCAAAGTTGACTAAAAGCCACTTGTGCATGTTCATATTGAAGCTGTCAACACCCTCCGCAAAACTCTTCGCAATATGACTACACTCCTCCGTGATCAGAGAAGCGCCAGCATAGGCAGCATCGACGTGGACCCAAATTCGTTGCCATTCAGGCTTCTCTCTCAATAAAGCTAGGATCTCAGCGTACCGATCCATGCTGCAGGAGTTTGTGGTTCCGAGGGTCATTGTCAAATGATAGGGAATGAGTCCGCTCTCTTCACACTTCTCCAAGACTTTTCGGAGGCGTGGCGCAGTCATCTCCATGTTGTCTGCCAGCTGGGTCTGCACACTGCGGAAACGAGTACCAGCAATCAATGCGCCCTTCGCAGCACTGCTGTGTGTCTGGTCGCTAGCAATGGCAACCAGCTTTCCCTGGTGCTCGATTTTTCGGTCCTCATATTCTGGAGTATCTTCCTCCATGCCATCCCCCAGTGCCAGTTCGCGTGCTCGTCTTTCTCTGGCAGCGGTAATAACAGTGGCAATGGCATCGCTAGCACTGTTTTGGATGACGCCTCCACCTTTAGAGGAGCTCAAAAAGCACTCAGGAAGACCGAAGGCTTTTGCCATCCAGTCCATGACGATAGTTTCCAGTTCCGTACATGCCGGAGAGCAAAGCCAATTAAAAGCGGGGGCATTGAATGTAGCAGAGTACATCTCACCCAAAATACTGGGGTAGGTCACTCCTGCCGGGAAATATGCCATGAAGTTTGGGGACTGCCAATGAGTCAAGCCAGGCTTGATCTTGGAGTCAATGTCATTTTGGATGGCAGCCCATTCCTCCGGCTCGTCAGGGGGGGTTCTCTGGTACGAGTGAACGAAGATATCCTGGTTCCACAGTTGGCAGGACTCTCTTTTCAGGCATAGAATCAAAGTGGCTGATGACTATACACAAATTTGTGAGACAGAGCACGATAAAGTAGTCTTTCAGGGGTTAGAAGTGAACATACTGTCATCAATGGCAGAATGCGCAGCTGCCCGAAACTGTGACTGATCCATGTTGGAATTGCGGGGATGTCTCCGTTTGCTGCACGTTGGGTAATCTGACACCTCACGATAACTGCAGGTCGTTCAATCGACAATATTGGATAATGCAATTCCTATCGAAAATGGAATATGAGTAGAGTAAAAGTGAAGGGTGCTCGGCTGTCAAGTTGCGATAAAATAAATACAGGTATCGGAACAGAATAAATTGTTCCCGTGGATGAAATGCGCTCGGATGGGGCATTCCGAGGCCGAGTGAACCAAACATCGGCGTTGCCCCAACATTAAATTTGCCGAGGGAACTTGAAGGAAACAATTTATGAGTTGCAGGAATGGGAGATAATATGCGTGATTTCCATTTCCATTATTATAACAATTCTCTTGGTTCGATTATCCTGCTCTATCTCTGTATTTCAAGTTGATTACCTAGAATGAATAGAAACCAAATCCATGATATTTACACTTAGAACCTTGGAATTATTGCATCTTAAAAACTAGACTTATTATCAATGGTGCCAATTTAATAACATAAATATATTACAACTTTGAAGTGAAAACAAACTCGTGCTGATGCACCACTGCTTTCAGCTCTTGATCAATAACCCTTGACACTCTCCCACCATCTTCGATTGCCCCATCAATAAACCCTCTCCAACCATAGGAAGAGTCAGAACTAGCAAATAGAATATTCCCATGCCTCTCACGTAGGGACTGTAGATATTTGGTCGTCATTCCTGGTCGAAGCCACTCCCAAGCACCACGGGCAAATTCATCTTCATGCCAATTGTGAAAAACCAGCCTTTTCACTCGCATACCAGGATGAAATGCCTCAAAGGCCTTTTTTGTCGTCTCCACATCTGTCTGTGGGCTCAGGTGTACATGGGGTAGCGAGCTACCAAATGCAACAAGATGAGTGTTGCCTACCGGAGTGGTTCCGTCTCCAAAAGTGTAGGTCAACTTCCCATCTGGATAATTCGTGGCACCCAGTGATCGCATTTCAGGGTTTGCTACCTCTGCATGACACTTGACAACCTGATTGGCATGCCCAATCAAGGACGCTTCAGTCTTCAGGGCCGGTAAAGCTGGCACAAAATTGATGGTGTGTAGAACATTCAGTGGAATAGTGCACACAATGCGCCTGGCTCTGAAAGTAGATCCGTCTCTGCTCGTAACTTCAACCAAATCTCCATTGTCATTCACTGTGTCCACAGCAATTGAAAAGCTGTAATCGACCTTTCCTGTGCCCCGAGCTTCGTCGAAGATGTGTCTTGCGAGTGCTGATTGACCACATCTTAACTTGTAGGTCAACCCAATCGCCATGAAATCGGCATAGTTGTAGTTCATCAATGCCCACCACCGCAGCAGCTCAAAAAATGATGCTTCGTCCCATTTTGCACCGTGCGTTATGGCCAGGAACCCTTCGAACATGTTCTTTTCAAGGGGTGTCAACTGAGAAGCGACTTGGGCCATTCGGTCAGCCATTGACATCTTATCGTAAGAAAGAACACCTTCCATATTGAATTCGATATCGTGTGGGTATGGAATGATAGAACGAGCGAATTGACCGTCGACATTTATGAACTTCTTGAATGCCGACTCAATCACCTCGTCCTAAGTTGCCACTCAGTTAGCAAGGGGTAATTCAATTAGAACGAAGGAGAACCTACCTCTTCATCATGTGAAATATGAAGCATTTCTCCGTTCAGCTTGACAGTGACTCGCGCACCACCCTCCACATTCTTCCTAGGCGAGACTTCCAGTTGTCCCGTCAGATCATATCGTCGCAGCTCGTTCCAGACGAAGGGCTGATTCCAATGCACCCAAGTACCGCCCATTTCATAGGGGTATCCGTCGATATTTGAAGACCATGAACGACCTCCAATCCGATCACGAGCCTCCAATAGTAAGACTTGATTGTCGGCAAGCGCGAGATTGCGCGAGGCCGTTAGTCCAGCATAACCGCCTCCAATAACTAACACATCATAAACCTTCTCTTTGCTGCAATGAGAGGATGGCTGTATAAGGCCCAAAGTAGGCACGCCTGCGACAAGGCCAGTTTCTTCGGTCCATTGGAAGCCATCACGGCTAGATTTAAGTGAGGAATCGTGCATGATCGGCAGCAGTTCTAGAGTAGAGAAGACAGTCTTCCCTCAGTGATCAAGTATTTCTTTATCCCATTATCTAATACTATTTATACTCCTGGTGACCTTGGAAATGCTTGGTGGGCCATTGTTTAGTTACCAGCCTCTAATCGGGATCGGATCGCCAGTTCCGAGCGCCGACCGAGCTTCCGTTCGATCGAGCCCTAGCTTGGCATTCCCTGGTAATCATATCTCTTGTCGTATGACTGCCGCGGTTAATGGGAAAGTACATGCGAAGAGATTATTCGGCAAATATCGGGAGAGCAATCGTCTGGGCCTACTAGTCACATTCAAGTTTTGGGTTCGTGGTTCAAATATTTTCTTTCTCTAGCTGAGAAAACGATTAATCACAAGGGGATAACAATATTTATAGTGTGGCGAAACTACATCGACTGTTCGCCCTGTCTAAGCCAGCATTCGAATCCGATGCAATACCATGCCCGAGAAAGCTAAACATCCAATCATGTAAGCATGCAACGCCAATACATGAGAAGAGATATGCCTGCTGCGCCATAAAGGGGGAAAATATAATAAAAAGAAGGAATATGCTGTATTTAGCCAAATACTTTGAGGAATCCCCAAAGTCCCAGCCCACTCAGAACTGGGATGGTCAGGTTGTCGTCCCAGCCCCACAGATCAATGAACTCGCTGCCAGCAGCCACAACACCAGACACGACGCTCATCGCGCCAAGGGCCAGTGGGCCAGTGATGACACCAGCGGATGAGGGCTCCATGCCAATGAGACCTCGAACACAGTCGGGAAGCAAATTCAGACGGCCTGTGAACATAAATGCGTCTTGCGGGTCGTTGGGGAAAGCTCCCATGTAGGGAACGAACCAGCCCCAGAATGAGGCAGCAGTGGCAACGCCAACAGCCCAGGCAGCCAGAGTTCCAGCCAAGCTCTTTCCAGGTCGAAGGCGAGGAGTGTAGCGACCGTAAAGGCGTCCAAATGTAGATGCGGCAGTGTCACACCAGCTGAGAAGAAGCACGCCCATGACACCAACGTCCTTGGGAAAGAAACGCAGGACGGCGTATGCTCCGAGGAGATACCAAATCACGCCATTGTAACCAGAGACCTCGGTCTCACGCATAAGAGCGCCCATGCAGCGGATGTAAAGTTTGTTAACCTTCTCCGAGCGATGACGGACAATATCAGTCACTGCGATCGGGACAAGAGCAGAAAATAACACGGGGGTAATCTGCAGTGTCTGAACCCCGCGGCTATACAGACCCAGGGTCAGGAAGCCGATTGACACGTGGAGAAGTTTGCGGGGGATTTCATGGCGGTGAATGAAGTTGCGATAGCGGGAGTGTAAAGGAATGAGACCAAGCGGTGATGGTGATCGTGATATATCGCGCGCGCCATCTGGAAGCTTGGGCGATAAAAAGCCATTGGAGGCTTTACCGTTGGGCGGCGAGGCTGGGATCATGGGGTTGGACCGACGCTGCCGCGTTGACCGACTAGGGGTAGATTCAGGTGGACTACGAGATCTCCCTGATCCCGAACTCTCTTCTGAAACCCCCGAAAGGTTCTGTCGGCGAGCTGCTGAGCGTGTTGTGGGCGCAAGATATCCATCACGTGCGTCAGATCTGTCGGAGAGGGAGGGTGAGGGAGAGATGACTCGGGGGGGTCTCCGGAACGGTATTTGGCGTCGAAGGCATATTGGACGATCGTACGGCGAATGGTGGAAGTGCCGGGGTATGAATGAGGCCAAGCAATGGCCGAGCACACGGATTCACGGTGTCGCTAGTAAGACTGCCACAGGGTATCAATGATCTTCCTAACGACGGAATGATGGGCGATCGTTCTGGGCACCCGCGCAAGGTCGATCAGGGACAATAGGTGTTGAAACACAGAGAATAATTGTAGCGCATTATTGAGTGCGCAAGAAAGGGGAAGATAACGCCCGAGAATGAACGAGGCAGTGTTAGGCGCGAAGTTTGTTAAAAAAGAAAGGGCAGTCATCCGGCAGTGCCGCGGCCAGGAAGAGTTCGGGGCCGGGGTTATGGGTCACGTGTGGGTCTTATCGATAACAATTTGCATTCTTGGCGGGTTTTTTTTTCTGCGGAGATGGAGATCTCGATCAACGTTTCCAATGCCCTTGAACTTCATATCAAACTAGGGTGAAAATGGTCCCAAAGCCGAAGCAAAAGCCCACCACGTCGTCCCGGACATGGGATGGCCTCAACCCTCCACTGTCGCAATGGGGTCTCGACGCCGTATCCTCTATGGGCTTCACCCGCATGACCCCAGTTCAGGCCTCGGCCATTCCGCTATTCATGGCGCACAAGGATGTGGTTGTGGAGGCTGTTACTGGTAGTGGAAAGACTCTATCCTTCCTAATCCCCGTGGTGGAAAAGCTTCTTCGCCTTGATGAGCCTCTTAAAAAGCACCATATTGGAGCAATCATTATCTCCCCAACAAGGTAAGCTCCGGCGCGATTGGTGAAAAGATACTCCTTGCTAATTCTTATTCTTTTCTTAGAGAACTTGCGTCGCAGATCTACCAAGTCCTTTTATCACTACTCGAATTCCACCCCGCATCTGCGGCGGCGATTAATCCACCCGAAGGAGATGCGCCTCGTCCCAAATCCTCATCTTCCACCTTAAAAGTGGTCCCCCAGCTCTTGCTAGGCGGTACAACAACCCCTGCGGAGGATCTCAGTTCATTCCTCAAGCGATCACCGAACGTTTTGGTTTCCACCCCGGGAAGACTCCTCGAACTGTTGTCGTCGCCCCATGTACACTGTCCGCAGTCATCGTTCGAAATGCTGGTCCTTGATGAGGCGGACAGACTTCTAGATCTCGGCTTTAAGGATGATCTTCAGAGGATTCTCCGCCATCTGCCCAAGCAGCGAAGGACGGGTCTTTTTAGTGCCAGTATCAGCGAAGCAGTTGACCAAATCGTCCGTGTGGGTCTCCGGAATCCTGTCAAAGTAGCTGTCAAGGTCAGGGGCGGCTCCGGAGTTGAAGACAAGCGCACACCAGCAAGGTATGTTGATCGTGACTATTCAGCATTATTCAATTTCCCAGTTCTGACATTGCTATCAGTCTGCAAATGACTTACCTGACAACACCCCCGGCGCATAAATACTCTATCCTGAAACAAATCCTCTCAACCGTCCAACCGACACCCCAGAAGACAATCTTCTTTGTTTCAACATGCTCAAGTGTTGATTATCTTACGATGATGCTTCCGCTAATCTTGGGAGACGAGTTTTCACTCGTTCCGCTTCATGGCAAACATGCTTCCAACGTGCGCCAAAAGAACTTTACTCGCTTCACCACCGCCACCACCCCCTCCATCCTTCTTACGACCGATGTCGCCTCTCGAGGTCTAGATATTCCATCCGTTGACTTGGTCGTGCAAATCGATCCTCCATCTGACCCGAAAACTTTCATCCACCGATGCGGTCGTGCCGGGCGTGCCGGGCGCCGAGGTCTGAGTATCGTCCTCCTTCACCCGGGACGGGAAGAAGACTATGTTTCATTCCTCGAGGTTCGCAAGACCCCAGTAGCTCCCTATAATCTCCCTATTCCTTCGGACGATGATGCTGCCGCTGCAACGGAAGCCGTCCGCAAGATTATGCGACAAGACCGCAATCATCACGATAAGGGCCAAAAGGCATTCGTTAGCTGGCTCCGAAGTTATAGCAAGCACCAGGCAAGCAGCATCTTCCGAGTCGCAGATCTTGACTGGGAAGCCCTCGGCAAGGCATGGGGTCTGCTCAAGTTGCCCAAGATGCCCGAGCTACGCAGTTTTACTGGAGATCGCACATTGGGCGTTAGTCTAGACTGGGATAACTTTACCTACAAGGATAAGCAGAAAGAGAAGCGGCGCAAGGAGATGATGGAAGAATATGCGCAAGCCCAGGCCCAGGCCCAAACCCAGGGTACCCAGGAGGACTCCCGAAAGCGACGTGCGGTTGAGAATTCCTCTTGGAGTCAAAACCAAGAGGCACGAGATAAGAAGTTCAAACGCAGAGAGGCCAAGAAGTCACGAAAGGAGTTGGAGAGATGGGAACAGCTGCCAGAGGAGGAGAAGCAAAAGGCGCGTGAGACAGAGCGCATGGTTGAGGATATTAGGGCAAAGAATGAACAGGAACGACAGGCAAGAATCGCAGCGAAGGAAGATGCTCCAAATGCAAATGGCAATGGGGAAGAATTTACAGGTTTCGATTAAACAATTACAATATCCACAATGAATTGATTACGTCCCAAAACCATGTCCATCTAATTCTCATTTTAAGAAAGAGAAGTCTATTGAATTTGAAACAATTAATAAAACCCGCCACAAATGATAAGAATGCAACTTCTCAGGTGTCATCAGTCATGAAGTAAATCAGCGCACAAATACTCAATACAAATTCTTTTGATGGTACATGCAAGCGCACAAGAGCCCCAGCCCAAAATCGAGTCAATTATTGGAGTCGTGAATCCCATGCAGACATGTCAACGGGAGCACCGTCAGGCTTGCTCATGGATGTCGCGAGCACAGTCCGCATCGCATTCAAATCTATCTCTCGCTGAACCGGATCATTCCAGGCTTCGTCCGCAATGGCGATATCCTCATCAGTGAGATCGACTCCATGGGAGCGAATCTGATCGATGAGACTGATCTTCGATGGCCATCTCAGCTGGCGCAAGTCCCCACTGGGGCATTGCCTGTAGAGCCAATCGGCGTCGGCTTCTCTCTCTATGTCCTCAAGGGTGTCAAAAAAGCGTGGGGGGGTTCTCGGGTTCTGGGTAGCTCTCAGGTGCTGGCTCGTTCTCGGGTGCTGGCTGGTTATCAGATGCTGGCTGCGGAACGGGTTCTTGGCGATCGAAAACAGGAGGGGCAATGTCGGCCTGGGAAAAGGGCGAGGTACGAGTCATGCTGGAAGAGAAGCGGTGAGCTTCACGCAGACGACTCGGGGTCTTCGGTTTGAATTGTTCAGCCTTGGTGCGAGCGCGGGTCAACGGCGATTCATCGTCCGAGTCGGAAACTGTGGCTGCAACTTGATCATCAGCGAGTGTACCGTCTGGGTTGAAATTCACAACGACGTCTGGAGATTCGTCCAAAGGGTCAGACGTAAGGGGGATTGAGGTTTCATTGTTGCCTGTCGCATTTCTGATGCCTTCTCCCGTGTAATAGAGGGGGAGAAGATCATCTTCACCAGAAATTTGAGAGGAACCTAGCAATGTCGAGTTGGTAGGATCTTCACTTTGGTTGTTGATCGTTCCAGGGGCTCGTCTCATAGGTGGGTGTTCGCGCTCTTCGCGCTCTCTGCGACGCCTTCGATTCCACATGGCAAAAATATAAGCGTTGGACATACCGTTGACAATGCTGGGGCCGGGATCCCTTGCCTCGGCGGGCTCGGCTTGTGTGGGCCAGTTCGTCATGTCACGAGACACGGAATTCGAGACTTGAGTAGGAAGGTCAGTATCTGAGACGTCCATCATTTCAATATCTGAAGAGCTGTAAGGCACTTCAAATGTCCCGTGTGGATTCGGGAAGAAACCTGGAACTCGAGTGATCTCCTGCGAAATCCTTGTGGGGGAAGACGGAGGGGAAGAACTGTAGGGGACTTCGAATGTTCCATGTGGATTCGGGACGAAACCTGGACCTCGAGTAATCCCCTCTGGAATCCTTGGGGGGGGAGGATGGAGGTGAAGAACTGTGAGGGAGTTCGAATATTCCATGTTGATTCGGGGTGGCAGTCTGAGAGGCCCGCTGCGTAATTCTTGGGGGGCGAAGGGGTGGGAAATAGTATGAAAATGATCCTGGGACCTGGTACTCACCAGCGGTATCGGAACTGGGATCCAGGTGCACAGCATTCGAATCTGTGGCGGTTTGGGCCTCGGCGTGAGCCTCGGCCTCTTCTAGCAAACGACTGGATTCGATCGTCTCCAGAGGGGTTGTTTCATATGTATGCCGGCGGTTTGGTTGGAATCCAGGCTGTTGTGAAGGTGATGAAGCTCCAGCGCGAACTTTCGTGGATGAACGGTGAGTAGAACGGCGATTGGGCCACTTTGGTTGATCAACGCGGATTTTTTTAGCGGAAGGTGCACCAGCTTCGACATGTTCTTCCTCCTCGGCTTTGCGCTTTTGCTCCTCGGCCTGGCGCTTTTCCTCTTCGGCATACTCTTCCTCAGTGAAGACAAAAAAGTCATCGTCCATACCGTAGCTACTTCCCTTCGGGTTTGGAATATCAGTCGGGGACACCTCACGCTTACGCTTTTCAGATGTGCTTTGGTCAGAGTCTTTTTTGGAATCCTGTTTGGAATCCTGTTTGGAATCCTTCCTCCCGTAGCAACGGGCTTTGAGCTCGGGGTCAAGTCCGCTTGAGTAAAGAGAGTATGAGCGAGTCGGTCTAGGGGTGAGTACATGACGGTTTGAGGGTTTCAAATCAGTTTGCGGCGGAGCAGACAAATTTGACGGAGATGGAGACAACATGGCATTCGCCGTTTGAGCACCTAAGATATCGATATTAGCATTGGATCTAGCAATGCGAAGCATGAGTACTTACCAGGGCTTTGTGCCTCAGTCGGCTGATTGCCAGCATATCGATCACGAATATTCGTCCATCGTCGAGAGATATTATTAAATGCCCATCTCACGATACCAGGAGAAGCAGGTGGGTTCTCTGTAAGGGACTCTGCACCGGCTGTCGGAATGTTCTCTGTCGTAAAAGCATCCTGGTTCAAATGAGCAGTGCGAGCTGCAGGGGCGGTCATGGGAGTACCAGACTGTGCGGTCTGGGGGGGTTGTTGGGTTAGCAGTCATAGCCACGTCTCCATCAGTTTCATTCTGGGACAAAAGCTCGGGTAGGCGGTACAGAGTCCGGTCGATACGGCCGCTGGCCTCAGTGCGACGACGACGAGAGATAGCGGCGTAAGATGATCGGGTTCGGCGGATCGGGGTAGTCTTGAAGGCCTTTTCTACCCGGTTGTGCTTCGAGGGACTATTCGAAGGGCTCATAATGTGGTAGGCTGGTTGTTTGTCTTTGCGAAATTGGCGTTTGGGTCCGATGGGGCCCCATTTTGTACCTGTGCGGGAAGGAGCTTTGATCAGCATTTGGTCCAGATTGGAATATCGCCATTCGAATTCTTCCTCGGCAACTGGGCTTCGAGGGCAACGGGAAGGTGTGAAGAAACAAGCAACTTTTCGCAAGGCCCGAGAAAGACAAGATCTGACACCTTTACGACCAGGAACCACGCGGTGGGTCGAGACATGTGGGCTGCCAAAAGGAGCCACATGCTCGTCAGAACGAGGCTCAAGTCCGGATGGTTCATGCTGTAGCTCCAGCGGATGAATATCAGAACCGTCGGAACTTGAGCCTCGTTCCGACGCCCGGTGAGTGGTTTCCTGGGGCAATATGAAAGGTCCAGGCGCAGGATCACGACCTGCAGCGAACCCAGCGAACCAGGGAGCCCCTGGTACGAGGCGAAGCCGAGGTACACGCTGCAAAGAATACTCAGGTCCTGGTGGGCATACGTCAGGTTCCGAGGAACCGCGCTCAAGTTGGAGGGGCCGAGTGACAGGGGAGTCGGAAACCATGATTGAATCAGAGAACGAAGTGACGAGGGAGTAGAATGAAACGGGGGAAAATTCCCGAGTCGATGGAGAAACAGCGGCCGGTATTTCAACGAAATCAGGGTCCTCGATAAAGAAAAAGGGAGACAGAACCGGCGCATCAGGGGATGAGGGGATGAGAAGAGGAGACAGTCGCTCGGGGGTGAGTCCATAGGGAGAAGATTGGGAAAATCTTCGGGGAACGGGCGCGAGACCAATGGAAGGAGATCGGGAAAGCACAGATCCGATGGGAGAATCTCGAGAAAAAAAAGTCATGCAACTCACTATTGGCGGCAGTATCGGGTATTTCGTCGTCGTCGTTTGTTTCGACAGAAGGGAGCACGGAAGTAGGTTGTTCAAACGAGTTGACGGCGGGCTCTACGGCTTCCGCTTCCGCGTCCTGGCATGGGCCTGTCGGCCCACCATTGACAGCAGATTCTCCGGTCAATGCAGAATCTTGGTGTTCGATCTCAACAGCTTCTCTGGTTGACGGACGGCCGGGCTTGTGAAGCTAATTAGCTGCCAGATCTACTCGAGGTTTCATATTCACTTACCTTTTTGCCCTTGGCAACCTTGGTAGAGCCCTTCTTTCGGCCACGAGCCTTTGAGGTCTTAGGAGCAGGGGCAGCCTCGGCAGGCTGGGAGACCTGTGGCTCCTGTGGCTGGGCAGAGGCACTTCGAGTGGTACGGCGGCGGCGGGTGATGGGGTTGTCGTCGAGCGACAGATAGGAGCTCGGGGAGAGCGGCTTGGAGCGGGTGCGCATGATGACGCGCCGGATACAGGCAGAGTGAAATTTGGACGAAAGTCGAGAGGTGTGTGTGAAAGAATGGTTCGATCGCAATGCAAGAGGAACTCAGACTGTAAGTCTAGGAGCAAGTGAATCGAAACGCGTAGGAAAGGTGGTGAGAGAAGAGAAGAGAAGGAAGAGACGAAGGTGGTGTTGTTGTTTTGTGTTTAGGCAGCGTTGCCGTGACAAGACGTGTTGGTGTACTCCAGAAGCGGAAGGGGCAACGGGGATGTTACTTTCGCTCTGGAGGGAAGGTGCGATCGCTGCGCGGAAAGCTGGTGTGGTTAGCCCGGGCTGCTTCCGATGGTTGACATGCGTTTTCTTGACTCGGGCAGAGGCAGAATATTTACCTTCTTGACCGCCTGGGATGTGGAGTGGATCCTGAGGCAGAAATCCATTCAGCAGTATACTCCGCAGTATACTCCGTACTAGTAATGCTACTTAGTAGGAAGTAATACAAGCACATCTGGAACATTCAACTAGGTAGTTATGAAGCGAGAAGAATAATATGAGTAATGAATACAATGCTACTATTTGTACATATAATACCGGCCATTGGGACAAGAACTTCAGGCTCAGACCGAAAGGGGATTCGTCTTCTCCAACCTCCGGTGTCAAATCCGCATCCAAGGAAACACGCTGAACGGTCTAGTCAAAATACAGGGGTATGATAAGTCTGAGAAATCATCCCCGAACAAGGTAGTAGAACACTCTACAGGCAAATCTCTCCCTTCCATGCGGCCTCGGAAAGACCCAACGTGCCCATCAAGTTTTGCCATCTAGGTCCACCACGCTCCTTCCTACGGATATACTGAAGAAGCTTCTGTCGCTTGTGGACAAGGATCTGAAGGTTGCGGCGGTTGTGTTTATCCTTGTTGGAGGACTGCAGGTGTCGAGAGAGGTTCATAATCTTGGCCGTCAGGATAGCTGCCTGAACCTCGGGGGAGCCGGTGTCGGGTCCAACACGAGGAACTTTCTCAAGGTGGTTGGTCGCGGACTCTTCTTGCACACTGGCAGGCTTGGGTGGTAAAACCGTATCGGTGCTGTGTCGACCAAATTGTTCAATACATTTTTGGACGATGAGGCGGAGGCGATCTTTGGTATTGCCATTGTTGAGGTTCACAATGCGCTGAATAGCCTCCTCTGCATTGTGGTGTTGTTGCTGATGCAACTCGGTGATTTCCTTCTCGGCTTGAGGGTCTGCGGTATCGCGATCCGGGTTCTGGAGCGGCTCGGTCAAGTCCTTGGAGAATTGAAACGCCCCACTCAATTCATCGGACTTGAGGTAGTAGTTGAGGTCGGAGCTTGAGGGGGGTTTGGGTGCCATTCTGAATGGCTTGGATTTCTTGAATGAAAGGTGTCGGTTGACTTTCCACGGGGTCACCGACTGAGGCCTCCCGCTCAGCCTGGATGTCCTTTTGGCGGGAGATGTTGGCCGCCTTGCGTTGACGCGCCTGGGAGGCTCGGAAGAAGTCTGTGGTTTTCTGTTGAGGCTTGGACTTGGTGGAGGCTGCCCTCACGGTAGACCTGGTTGCGTGTGACAAAGACACCAGCGGGCTCTGGCCGGAGATGGAACCTGCGACAAAAGTTGATCAGAATCAGAATCAGAATGCAAGACCGAGATACTGGGTAGTTAAAAATCGCAATCGTACCGGTCAGGGCCTTCACTGAAGGCTGGAAAAATAGACGTGGAGGCATTTTGAGCAGGTGCGGTTCAATGGCTCTCCAAACGGTCTGCAGTTTGAAGTTCTTCGCGCTCCCAGCTTTTGGGCCGGGAAATCCTGCGGACCGAAGCAATCACGCTAGTCCGCATTGATGGTAATATTCAAGCCTCATGTATCAGGCATTAATATGTTGATGCCTTAGAGATACCCGCGAAAGCTGGATGACTAATATCCGCTGCCCTAGCCCTAACAGCTCTCAAGCCCACATTTAGCGAAATTCGCCCGAACCGCCCGCGAGGTTTTTGTGACTCCGCCTTTGAATCTTTTTCCTCTATCACCACGACAAGAGCCAGACGATTGATCTTTTCCCCTTCGTCAATCAATCAATCGCCCAACATGGCCCCCTCCCAGCTCCCCCCGGTTTTCAACCCTACCGCGCAGGACATTGAGATGCTCCTTGCTGCTCAGTGCCACCTTGGTTCCAAGAACCTTCAGGTGCACATGGAGCCCTACCTCTGGAAGACCCGTGCCGACGGTGTCAACGTCCTGAACATTGGCAAGACCTGGTATGCAACAACAAGACCCCGGGGATGCGTGTTGGATAATGCAAGGAAAACTTTGCGACAAAGATTCTAATCAGTGTTGCGATGGAACAGGGAGAAGATCGTCCTGGCCGCCCGTATCATCGCCGCCATTGACAACCCCGCCGATGTCTGTGTCGTCTCTGCCCGTCCCTACGGTCAGCGTGCCGTCCTGAAGTTCGCCCACCACACCGGTGCCACCGCCATTGCTGGTCGTTTCACCCCCGGTAACTTCACCAACTACATCACCCGCTCTTTCAAGGAGCCCCGCCTCATCATCGTGACCGACCCTCGCACCGATGCCCAGGCCATCAAGGAGGCCTCCTTCGTCAACATCCCCGTCATTGCCCTCTGCGACACTGACTCCCCCACCGACTTCGTCGATGTTGCCATCCCCACCAACAACAAGGGTCGTCACTCCATCGGTCTCGTCTGGTGGATGCTCGCCCGTGAGATCCTCCGTCTCCGCGGTACCCTCGCTACCCGCGAGACCGAGTGGGACTCCGTTGTCGACCTGTACTTCTACCGCGACCCTGAGGCCGAGGAGAACAAGGAGGTCGCCGAGGAGGCCAAGGCCCCGGGTGCTGATGAGATTGGCGCTGGTGCCGTCGAGTCCGGCTTCGCTGGTGACAACTGGGATGTTAACGCTCCCGGTGCCGGTGCCCCTGGCACTGCCTTCGCTGCCGCTTCCGCCGCTGTTGGTGCTACCAGCTGGGAGGCTGATGGTGCTGACTGGGCTGCCAGCTCCACCCAGCAGAACACCGAGTGGGCTGCTGAGACCACCCAGGCCGCTGCCACCACCGCTACCACCGAGACCAAGTGGTAAATTCGCTAGGCGGTAACTTTGGATGGTGTTGAAAGGGGGAAAGTGTGATATCAACCCAAAAAGCCATGGCGATCTGGGATGATTGTGACGATTCCTAATGCCCTTTGGGTCACAGGGAAAAAAGGAAAATGCTCTTGTTTGTTCTTTCGACGCATCCATTGACAACAATGGAATCGAATTATCTCCCGAACCCCCCCCTTGACATGTCTATCCTAGTTTCTGTTCAAGTGTTCAAAAACAAAAAGAACTGAAAAACAGCAAAAGAAAAAAGAGCTTTTCACCGGGAAACTTCCAGTCTTTTTTTTGCATCAGTGGTCTCATTTACCAGCACTCTTCATGATTTTCTTGTTTTCGCATCCGGGAGGGATAGCGACGTCAAATATTGACTGGCGCTTATGAGGGAAAGAGATCCAGTCACGGATATGTGACTGGGGGAAAGCCCTGTGCTGTCAATCTACAAGGTGGACTTAATCGTTACCTTGGTTTCTCCCTGTATGTATCATCTAGTATTCGGAAAAAGGTGTGCTCGGTATTTCAAGTCCTGCGTAGAGCATGTAGTGTAACTGGCTGCTATATCAGAGACATCAAAACGGTTAGTCTGGAGGTACTAGTAAATCACGGCCCACACATCTCTGTAAGATCTATGGATGTCATGGATCCTGTGTGATCTCGGTCCCAAATTGCTGTAAAGTAAATAGTAGCGCGGGCAAATGGAGTTTTATTCAGATAACATTCTGTATATGCAAACGCCGGACTATCAAGTAACCATTATTCCGAATCCACAGCCGTCGGCCTTGGGCCAAGTTGTTCCTTTTCAGTTTCGCATGAACCCTCAAAGAATACTACAACCCCCATCAGTTTGGCCACCTTTTGTTGTGGTTGCCATCCCGGCCATCCGGGCCAGATCTTCAAATGTTTCAGCAAGGAGCTCGCCTGTCACAGCCGAACACTCGGCATATCTATCGCAGCGGAGCTCCTGAGCAATTCGATATGCCTTCGCGAGATCGTTAGTTTGGGCGCCGTCTTATATATTCTCTTTGTCTGAACGTACCTCTTGCGGGTAGATGATACCCTCCCCTTCGGTCCGCAGATCTCGTTTCAATCCCAGCAACATCACGGGGATGCGCTCACCATGACCATGTTGAAAATGTCGCGTTATTTCATCTCGCCACTGTCAGTCAAGTATATTAGCTTTTTGAGGGGAAACCGATATTTTTAACAGGTTTGGTTACCGCTTTAAGCCCACCTAGTGTATTGCGGTTGGAGATATCAAATGCTACGACGACCACGTCTGGCTGAAGGGACGTCCAGTGCTGGTTAGGACTCGCAGTGTCATAGAGCTCTAGAGTGAATTTCTTCTTTGCAAAGCGAATATCATAGATAAACGGCTGGTCACTATCGCGTAAAGTCTCGGGGAGGCTAGTATCTGTTGCCGCCCCGGTTTGTGATGGCGCAGGCCGCTTGCCACTCTTGAGACGTCTGTTCAACAATCAGCCCTAGAGTCAGCATCCATTTCCTCACAGGCAGCGTTTGTGAATGTAAGGGCAAATATCTCCCTCTGAGAACACAGGCGCCGTAGATTGGAGTCATGACTCACGACAAGAAGGTAGATTTTCCACATTCAGCGTCACCCACGAGTAGCAACGTTACCCTCTCATCAGTTTCTATGTCGGACATCCTATCACTTTTATCTGCTCTTTATATTCAGGAGGCTACCTGAGTAGTATTCTAAGAGTTCACAAGATAAAATGAGATTATGGCGGGGGGTAATGAGATGTTAATTCCAAGTTATCATATCCAACTGTCGGCCCGCAGATCAAAGATTGGCATGGATGTACACCGATATATAAACTTGGCCTGGGGCACACTGGCAGTTGTCAAGGTTTATGATTGACCACGAAATCAGGCGACACCACCAATACCACAGATTATACCAGTAAAACTAGTTTCAAACCAATATAGAGCCCTTCAAGGTTAGTTTGCTACTTCAATTGAATATATCAAAGTCGAAAACCACCCAATACATGCTCGCCGCAAAATACACGGCGGTTGGTAGGAGCATTTACAGTACAATACAGTAAATATTACGACAAATACCAGATCCTCCGCGGACATTAAATTTCTCCAGTTGCGGCCCAGTAAAACTCCACCCCAAGCGAGACAAATTTCTCTTCAGATCACCAGAGGTGGTATGTGGAGTAAATCAGTCAGATTGTCTTCGCAGGGTACTTTCATTAAACACGCCATCAAGTCACAAGCGCGCTCAATGACCCAGAACCGTTCGCTCACGCTTCAAAATATGGCGGTCGCCAGTGCCGAGGGGCAGCCCGACTACACGACCTGGTCCAATTCGAACTTGATCAGTCGGATCACAGAGCTTGAGCGACAGCTACATTCACAAAATACGCAGTATACGATTCCCCCGACACAAGAGTCGTCACGCGCGCCCGTCGCAGAAGGCATCTACGAGCCTGCCATTCCGGCTCCTCCATCCTCCGCCCAACCGAACAAGAAGAGAGCCCATTCCCCCGATGACATTGTCAACACACCTGCGCCACCATCCCAGACAGTCAAAGAGTCTCGCGGGTTTGATCCTTCCAAGTACAATACCCGATTTATTGCGCTTAAATTCGCATACCTTGGACAGCAGTACAATGGCCTCGAACACACGAATGGGAACGTTACACCACTTCCTACGATTGAAGAGATCTTGTGGAAAGCCATGCGACGAACACGTTTGATCCTTCCCGAGACGAGCTCTTCCGACGAGCCGAATGATATCCAGCCGCGGGAGCTACGCCCATATTGTATTCATTGGGATGGGTGTGACTACTCGAAGGCGGGCAGGACTGATCGCGGAGTCAGTGCGTTTGGACAAGTTATTGGAGTGCGAGTCCGCAGTGCTAGACCCAAGCTCGCGCCCAAGACTACAGAGCAGGAGGCGGAGAATAATGGCATGCAGGTGGAGCAGCCCACCGATCAGGATTGGGACGATGTCGCCGATGAACTTGAATATGTATCGATTTTGAACAGAGTTCTACCAGGTGATATCCGGGTTCTTGCTTGGTGTCCCAACCCTCCACCTGAATTCGATGCTCGCTTTTCCTGCCGCGAACGCAGATACCGGTACTTCTTCACCCAGCCGGCTTTCTCTCCTACCCCGGGAGCATTTGGGTTTGAAAATCGGGCTCAAGATGGCCAGGGACCCCGCGAGAAGCTACGCGAGGGTTGGTTAGATATCGAAGCTATGCGCGAAGCAGCCAAGTCCTTCGAAGGTACCCACGATTTCCGGAACTTCTGCAAGCTGGACACGAGCAAGCAAATCAAAAATTTTGAGCGAATGATTTTTCGCTCTGACATTGAGCGTGTCGACCCCAAGACCAATCCTTTGGGATATGTGACCCGCCCTGGATTTCAAGCGCAAGAGGACTCTCCACAGGATGTAGACATGGTTTCTTCAGACCTGTCTGCGGAGGCGCCTCCCCATGTGTATTCATTTACCCTGTACGGCTCTGCCTTCCTCTGGCACCAAGTTCGGCATATGGTCGCAATATTGTTCCTGGTCGGACAGGGACTTGAAGCCCCATCAATCGTCGCAGACTTGTTGGACGTGGAAAAGACCCCACGGAAACCTTCATATGAGATGGCATCTGACGCCCCGCTGGTACTGTGGGACTGCATATTCCCCGACGAAAGTTCCGGCAGCCGAGATGACGCCCTGAACTGGCTGTACGCTGGTGACCCACGACATAACAAGAACCGCAGCCCCAAGAGCGATAGCAAGTTCGGCATGAAGGGAGTAGTCGATGGACTATGGGCCGTTTGGAGACAACGCAAGATGGATGAAATTTTGGCTGGTGCCCTGCTGGATTTGACTGTTGGTCAAGGTGGCCAGAGTCTGATAGAGCACATTGATATCAAGCATGGAACCGGTAAGAAGCAAAACCGAGGCGCCAAGATCTGGCAGGGGTCTGATGACACTCGCACGGGTGGTAAATATGTTCCTGTCATGAAGAAAACCAGGAACGAGCCTGTGGAGGTTCAGAATGCCAAGTGGTTGGCATCAAAGGAGCGCAAAATGGCGGCCAAGGAAGCGGCGGAACAGAGCGCGTCCCTGTAAGATCGTGGCACATACTCATTTGGATATAGATCATTCCTAGCAAGAAAAATGCACAATTCGCATCATCCGTGCAAGGCTAAATTCTGAGGTGCTGGCAAACCTCAACGTGACCTGAACGTAGAATATATTCTATCATGATTTTGCATCATAAAGACAACGCCGAGAACCCCTCCACACTTCTTCTAGAATTTCCCGCTTCGGTAGTAATTGCTAAACACCCGCATCGTTAGCCTGAGTACAACACAATGAGAACGTAGGTCCTACCGGAAAGACCACCAGAACATCTGGCTCGCCTTCTACAATCACTGCCAGATAGAAGCGGACCTCGAATCCCTTGAAGGCTTCATGAATGACAATGTCTTGAATCTGTGTGGTTGGAATGAATCTTGTCGCAGCCGAAGAAAGGTAGGTCGAGGAGGATGTTGAGGTCTGGATGCCAAAGCCTCGGATAACGAGAAGTGATTCCTCTAGATGATTGCATTAGTCAATACATTGGTAGAAGCTTCCTGATTCATTCTTTTGACATACCGGTGTATCCTCTCTTGAATACCCCATAGATCACTAATACGCTGACCACCGCCATTGCCCACGGATTGTATCTGTCGACTAGGCTGCACAAATGAGCTCCAAATGGACTGGACCAAATGGCCTGCCATTGGGCCAAGTTTTCACCCTGGAGTAAAACTAAATTTCGAAGTCGTGCTGTGAGGCCAAGGACAACACAGCAAAAGAGGAGTGCGCGCAGGAGGATTTGGATTCCAAACAGGATCTTTGCGGGGGGAGCTGGAGCGCGGTGACGCGTTGGAGACGGTGAAGCTGACGGTCGTCGGCGACGGCCGCTGGACTCTTAAGCGGCCGGGCATTGTAATGTCGGGGAACCACGGTGATGCGCGTATACACTGGCAGTGATAGTAGTTAGAACGAGACCGAAGCGCTGCCCCGTCCTGCGCGAAGCTCAAATCGGAGACAGATATAGGCTAGCCTAATTTGGAGACAAAGCCTGAGGCTTGAAACATCCAGGGTGTTTCTCACGTGAGCTGGGTTGCCAAAGTTAGCTTCCCACTGAATCAATCATCGTTGTCCCAAGTGTTGCTTTAGGGCCCACCTTTTGTTCTGCTACTATTCTATTCGTTGCCCGCTGTGTGTGGGTTCCGTGTTCTTGACTACAGAGTACAGGCCCTCGTCACGTGTCTCCGATGTGCCTATCTTCGTTGGCATCGCTGCTGGGACAGTCAGACATCAACCTCACTCTTCTCCACACCGAAACTGGATGATGGGAGACCGATCACGCAGTAGGTCCCCTGACCGGCGAGATGATGGCGACCGAGGTCGACCGAAAAAGACCGGAGGATTTCGCTGGAAGGAGAAGCGGCGCGACGACGATGACCGCGGTGACGAGCGCAAACTAGATCGAGGCTACAGAGACCGAAACGATCGTCCTCGCTCACCGCGCAGAGAACGCGACGGCGACAAGAACAGAGATGGCGACCGTGACCGCGACCGACGACGCGACGACCGAGATGCACCACGGGAAGGCGGCGAGAAGAAGGAGAAGAAGGAAAAGAAGAAGAAGGACAAGAAGCCGGTTCTCCCCAATCCGGCGAGCCAATGATTGTGGTTCATGTGAATGATCGTCTGGGTACCAAGGCTGCAATCCCTTGTCTGGCATCAGATCCAATCAGTAAGTCCGGCTTGATGTTGCTTTCCGGACCTTGTTTCGGGAAACTGGCGATGGCCAGGAATATACCAAGACGACTCGCTAACGCTTTCTTAGAACTATTCAAGGCTTATGTAGCTGCCCGCATAGGTCGTGAGCCTCATGAAATTCTTCTCAAACGCCAGGGCGAGCGTCCCTTCAAGGACCAATTAACGTTAGAGGATTACGGAGTGAGCAACGGAGTACAACTTGACTTGTGAGCCTCAAAGCTATTTCAGACCCTTTTATCACGACCATCGGCAATGCTAATACCTGTCTAGGGAGGTCGGTACCGGAGAATGATGAGAGTCCATGTCGCGGGCCGGAAAACAGTGGTGGAACAATTCAATGTTTTCGAAAATCAAAAGGCCAAAGGAACCAAAAACCAGTTATTATCATGGACCAGGAGTATGGGAGCGGTTGACACTTTTTTTTCTTTTCCTTTTCGCTTGAATTATTTCATTTTAAATCGTCTTGTTGGCATTTTCTCTGCTCTTGCTCACATATTTGTATCTACCGACAAATGGAATTGCTTGTGTTCTTGTCTCAGGCAGTACATTCCGGGGATCTTCGTGCATTGCATTGCCGTTTTCTGCGGGGCGGTTGGCTTTGCCCTCGACGCTAGGCTGAAAACGGCAATTTGACACCTGAGGCTAGAAATCCGGCAGCCAACCCGAGTCCAAATCTTGTTCCACTCTCCAAAGAGGCTTTTTTTCGAATCGCGGGACTCACACGAGCTTCATCATTTTTCTTTTCAGATCCTGGTCTTCTCGACTTCGTCAAGTCTACTCACCCCGCAATGTGGTAATCGCTTCACTCTCCACTCCCACTCCTCACAGACTCCTCCTCTTTGTCCCTTTACCCCTCCGACATCGCTCCCCAGATTTTCCGTCCCGCCAAATTTCTCCAATCCTCCTCCACCTTCCTCTCCAAACGTTGACCGACCTCCCTCCAAACCGCCAATATTCCTGCCGACACCCCGTCAGGACCATCCAAAGCTATGGTTCGCAATCTTGTTGTCATCGGGGGAACTTCCCACCCGCAGCTGACCGAATCCATCTGCGGTGTGCTGGGAATCCCACCCGCGGAGGTTCTGCTATCCAAGTTCGCCGTGGGCGAGACCAGGGTTGAGATCCAGGAGTCCGTCCGTGAGAAAGACGTCTACATCATTCAATCCGGAGGTGGCAAGGTTAACGACCACTTGCTGGAGCTCCTCATTACCATCTCCGCCTGCAAGACGGCCTCTGCCCGTCGAGTCACCGCTGTCCTTCCTCTTTTCCCTTATTCTCGCCAAAGTGATATCCCCTACGATAAGGCCGGAGCCCCTCTCGTCAAGTCATCTGTGGTGAACCGGCCCAACAATGGTTACACTTTTGAAAGTACCCCTCCCACCCCGGGTCCGGGCAAGCCCGAGGGACTCGGTTTGATGAACGGCATCGACAATCTCCAGAAAAGCCTGGCCAAGGCCCAGATAGATGACAGCAATGCCAGCCCTGTAAAACGGCGCACTGGCAACGCACTGCCACGCAGTGAGACTACCGACTCGCTGAAGTCCACCACTACGAACGGAGCCGCGGAGGATACCGCGAGCACTGTATCTAGCACCAACGCTTCCAAGATCAATGCATTCCAGCCCCGTCCCGGTTACAAGCAGTGGGTTGCGCAGGCGGGCACTCTGGTCGCTGACCTGCTCACCTGTGCGGGCGCCGATCACATCATCACCATGGATCTGCACGACCCTCAGTACCAGGGTTTCTTTGACATCCCTGTCGACAACCTCTACGGCCGTCCTCTTCTGAAGAGCTATATCCAACGCACTATTCCCAATTACAAGCAGTCTGTTATTGTCAGCCCCGATGCTGGCGGTGCCAAGCGCGCGACTGCAATTGCTGATCAGATGGGCATTGAATTCGCCCTCATTCACAAGGTATGTTTCCATTTATATTTCTTCCTCTTCCTCCTCTCTCGATTACGTCCGAAAAAGTTCTGTATCATGACTAGCCTGACTGACCATTCATCTTTTCTTCACAGGAGCGTCGCCCCACAAAGATCACAGACCGTCAGAATGCCACCATGATGCTGGTCGGGGATGTCAAGGATCGCATAGCTATTCTGATTGATGATCTGGCGGACACCTCTAACACCATCACTCGCGCTGCCAAGCTTCTGAAGAAGGAGGGTGCCTCCCAGGTTTATGCCCTGGTGACCCACGGTATCCTGAGCGGCGACGCCATCGATCGCATCAATGCTAGTGCGCTGGACAAGGTTGTCGTGACCAACAGCGTGGACCAGGGCGATCACCTGCGCCGATGCCCGAAGCTTGAGGTCCTAGAGGTTGGCCACGTTTTCGGCGAGGTGAGTCACATGAGTTGAATTGCCTTTTCCTGGCGCCACATTTGCTGACCGCTTAAACTAGGCTATCCGTCGTGTTCACCACGGTGAGAGTATCAGTGTGCTGTTCCAATATGATTGATTTCCCCGCGACCGTGATGGGTGAATATATTTCATAAGAAATGAACGAAAAATATGACGCTGTGGGATTCGCTTTTCCAAGCTATCATTTCCAATGAATTTCCGAAGACTTTTTTTTTATCTTGGCGTTTCCGACATGAAGTCATTTTCTCATACTTCCCCCCCCCCAACCCCTCCAATATAGAACCACGGTCAAAGTAGACTTGGTGGCCTTGAGAACCCATGTATGTATTTTTTGTGATTCCATGCTGCTTTGAGACTTTGCTTGTTTCTGGATGTCATTTTCTGTTAACCTAGCTGCTGCTACTGCCGACCATCTGCACATATCGGCCTGAATCAAAACGAAAACTAAATCTTCCTACTCTTGACTTGTGCTTTTGCCCCTTCTATCCCTCCCGACCTCAGGAATTGATCGTATACTTAGTCTGAGTCATGTAAAACTACTCGTACTCGGCCTCGGGATCAAACGTGTGGGACGCGGGCTGGAACTGGGGAGGAGTCTATCCAGCGATAAAAAACCCTATTCGGCATTGTAGTACTAGTAGTACTACCTCGGATCCATTTACTGGTGATCTGGCGTCTATGGCTGGAAAACAAGAGAAAAATCCATCTGTTCGATGTGATTTGTTCTTCTATATCACAAAAATAACCCACGAAATTTCCCAACGCCTTAGAAATTAAGAAGTCAAGAATAGCCGAAAGCAGGTGTAGCCATTGTTCCGGCCGAGGGAGGTGGTGCGCTCACTTAGATACTCGGAAAGAAAACGAATTGGGTACTCGATACAACGAAATCAGCTGTTCGCCAAAGCGAATTTGCACAGCCAGAGTGGTAAATACAAAGAATAAGAAGAGATGCGAGGTCATGATGGCTGGGCTTAAAAGACGGAGATAAAGTTTCCAATTCTCTCCTTCTGGTTCTGAGCAATGCATTCCGAGATCCAAGTCACGTTCCGGATTTCCTGCCCGTTGTCAGTATCAAATACTACAAATCAGTGTTCGAAAGGAGACTGGTCTTACCTGCTCCTTCAGCTTCATCCACCCGTAAACCACCGCCGGGGTGAATTGACGAGTGAAGACCAACTTCGACATGTCCATCTCCTTTTGATAGAATAGATCTTCCAGACTCTTTCCATCAGCAGGGCCGCCACCCATGCCGCCCATACCGCTACCACCCTGGCTGAGGCCTACAGCGTCGAAGAACGCCTTGTAATCTGCGACGGCGCTGACTGCCAGAGCAACACCCTCAACATCCTCAGCACGGGAAAGCATTAGACTTCCCTCCGGGTAAAGTTTGCCGAATTCGGGGTACAGCTTCCTTCGCTCTTGCTTGGAGAGCTCAGTGCCGAAAGAGTTCAGGGTAATATTAATGGATCGGCGGTCGGCCTCGAACTGCAGAATCTCGGACATGACATCCTGCGTGGGACTACCGGCAAAGTCTGGGTGGGTGTTGACAAAGTTGAAGAAGTCCTCGAGATAGTTCTTGTACAGAGTGTTACGAACAATCTCAATATTGAGCTCGTCCAAGTCCTGATGGCTCAGGCTGCCCTTGAAGTATGGGGCGAGCGGGGTCTCGATCAGCACCGAGTTGTATAGTTCCTCAATGTTGGTTGCGACACATAGCACGGGTAGTGTTTCAAACCAACCCAGTGGGTGGCATCGCTCCAGGAGTTCTCGGGTGTCTCGTTCGTGCAAGGTGCCGGTAATCAGCAAGGCGATGTTATCGATCATATAACCATACGTCAGGTATTCCAGGAATTTGGCAGTTGAGCCGGTCGACTGCGCGATAAGGTAGCGGAACTCTGAGACCAGCTTGTCGGTCATCTTGCCGGCAAGCGCTGAGGTGGAGGGGTTCGGGGGGAGAGTGGCAAGGAAGTCGCCATAGGAAGGGCCCAGCTGGAGTTTTACATCTGCGAAAAGGCTTATTAGAATCTGATGAGTTGTTTCGAGGTACGAGAACTGGCCTACCGTCAATGGATTCGCATTGTGTCAAGTTGGAGTAGTTCTGGCCGGTCAGAAGGCTGTTCCGATACCCTCGGACAATACCCTCGACGTACCTAGGTCCGTTAGCATGGAATTAATCCACAAGAGAGACAAATCCACTTACCCGCCATTCACATTGAAGAAAAGGCCTTCCATGGTGTGTAGAATGGAAAGATGGTTTTGGGGGGAGGAACCAGCTGTAGCTCCCTCGATCGCTGTATGGCGGAGGTCATGACTAAGCCACAGCCACAGTGGCTTTCCGGGTCGCTTTTTCACTTTTCACTTTTTCTGCGCCAAAATTTCTAGATTCCTCCTCAACGGTTAAAGCGTCCACGGCCCACACCCTCTTTCCGTCTTTCTTTAGCCTTTCGACCTGGGCTTTTTTAATACACTAGCTGAATTTATTTTCGAGCTCCAAAGCCGTGGTTGCCCACCATGTCGCTGTTCATCTTGACCGAAACCAGCGCGGGTTACGCCCTGCTGAAGGCCAAGGACAAGAAGCTCTTCAAGCACGGTCTGCCTGAGGATGCCAACACCGCTGAGGGTGTCTCTAACCTGTATGTCGCATCCATGTTTCTTTTTTTTTTGCAATGGACGAAATCTTGGTGGGGAGGGGAAGATTTGCGGCCACGCGCAAATTTTTTGTCACGGGCGACAGCGACGCTAACATTACCTACAGGTTCAAGCTGAAGGGTTTCCAGAAGTTCGACAGCGCCGCTGCAGCTGTGGAGGAGGCTGCCTCCATCATCGAGGGCAAGGTTACCCCCCGCCTTGCCTCTCTCCTTGACAGTGTCAAGGATGAGAAGAAGGTTTCGCTGGCTGTTGCCGACCCCAAGCTCGGTATGTTCGAA